TGACTTCCTAATTTGTAGCCTAATTTACTACCAAAACAATATGTTTCCAAGCTAAACCGTGACTAAATGAAGCATCTCGCTGTCAGTAAAAAGTTTTCGTCGACCCACTCCTTGATACAAACTGCGTCCTATCATTGATATGTCCCTCTCTTCACGCTTCCCGCTAGCAAGGGTTAGCTTTCTGCTCTGCCATGAGTTGTAAGCCTGTGTTAAAATAATATCACGAACAACGTAGAAAACTGTCGGTAATGTTTATAAGCCATTTTTAATCATGTCAATGAATACAAATTAAAACCAGTCAATGTTAAAACTAACTTTTTTATTAAGTCTATATAGAGGAGATTTTAAAATACTTAATAAGCGCCTTCATCTTAATTAGCGATGTTAAACGTTTGCATAATGTCTACCACTAACCAATAAAGAACTATTATGCTGACTCATTTTTAAGATAACATGAAAACAATCAAATATTAGAGAACAGAACGTCACCGAGATTATGAAAAAACCCCAATTTGATTGACACCTCTTCACAATATGTTAAGAAAGGAAATTTGAATAATTTGCCTGTATAACAACCTAAAATAAAATACATAAACCAATTACCAATTACGGGTGTTGTATCCCGTAAATAGTCTTGCCTGCATGTATGGGGACACAAATACAGTTTTTTACTTACTTATTTATAACTTTTGGATATATGCCTTATTAAATTAATTAATTAGAAAGTAAATAAAAGAAAATACGTCTAATAGCCTAACACTTAAAACATAAATTTACACTTATAATATTACTCACAATACTGTAAATATACATAAAAGATGGTAAGTGGTGGTAGATTTCGATTCGACACTGCAATCATCCTCAGACCCATAGGCGAATTGGGCCATCTCATCATTGGGTTCTGTATGTTTCTTATCCAGCTTTATGTAATATAATATACTGTATGTATCCATGTATATTATTGTCAATAGGTGTGTTGTATTGTAGGATAAATTAATTGATCGTGATTGAACAGAGCAAAAAATGAAGATTGATTTTATAGTTAATGTGAAATATATGGCAAATAGATATATTGCTTATATTGAATTATTTTAATTATTTTCGAGAGAGATAAAGATATTTGCACCGACCTTTGTTGGTATTGTGGAGGTGAAGATCGGCGACGTCTGGCTGGGGTACCCCACCTTCAATGCTGTTGCCGTTGGTCGGCCATGATGGCGTCTATATCCTGCCCAGTACTGAATTGTACACTAGCACTGACTCACTTATTAAAAGTTTATAAACACAACTAAAATATCTCTCTCTCAAAATACGAAGAAAAATAAAAATTCCTTTCGATACAAAGAAAAAATAAAATCTTTGCCAGGGCAAATAAAAGGCAATTGTATGATAGCTAAAAATTATTGCGGGTAGCGTAATGCTTGATGTGTGTGATCACAATGATGAACGGCAGTGGACTGTGTCTGAGCTGCGGTGAGCGTGTGTGTGGTGGACACGCGATAAGAGAGTCCAAAGGTTAGAAGGAATTGGTTCCTAACAAGGTGTAGCCGTTGACAGAAATAATTAAATAAATTATTACTTCAAATGAGAAACGAGTTAAGACTAACAATAAATTTATGAAATGTACAAATGATTAGGTTTAATCTAATTATTGTTTTTTTGCAGTATACTGTTTAGATCTTTACTGACCGCGAGGCGCAGTTAGTATAAATCTTGCGGAACAAAGCGAGTCCCATTGGTGGTAGATAATGGAAAGCGCATTGTAACGTAAGGAAGAGCAAAGAGTATGTTTAAAGTGATTTTTAAAGTGTTTATTAGGCCTAGTGTTCTATACCTCAATCTATCAAGCTTCCGTTGGTCAAAGATGAAGAAATCAAGTATTACAAGTACTGCAAGTATAACAAGTAAGTAGGTAGAGAAATTATTGGGTTCCATCTAAATAATAATTGTTTTTGCAGTTCACGGTTAAGCTTGGATACAGATTGTTTTGTAGTAAAGTACAAAGTACAACGCCTTAGCATTTGTATACAACCTTTGAGAACTTAGCGATGTCGGTGCCTAGGACGCGACGCATCGACGGGTGGGGCTAGGCTGCGCAGATGCTTTGAAGAAGCCTGCACACGCTCTCTTTGCCGACGCACCACACTATATAGTGTATATACATCAGTTCGTTCAGACGACTAACCAAATATATATTTATAAACCGTAAAAAAATACAAAAAACTTTTTGTTTGTAACATTTTGCGCATTTTATTTGGAAAAAAATATATAGAGGGTAAAACAAAATTGTGTACTCTAAAACATAAAAATTATCAAAAAAACTTAAAATGCTATATCTCTTTGGATATAGTTTTATAAGAAAGCCTTTAGTACAAAAGTTGAAGATAAACTAATTACAAATAATACAAATTAAATTTCACTACGATGGCATGCGTAGAATTTGAATTATATCCAGTAAAGTGAACGACTGTAATTTCCAGGCTTGAAAGGGGTTGCGGGGAAAAGCTTAAGGGGGATAATCCGGAACTTTTTGAAAAAAAACACGTCTTAAGTGGTTCCATTACATATAACAAACTCAGCTTTCCACTATTTAGCTACGAAAAAAGGCAGTTTGTGCGTTTATTGGCTGGGCTAGATGCGATGACGCAGCGCAGAAGTGTTCAACTAGCCCGCACGCGCTCTCTTTGCCGACGCCCAGCTCTTCACCCGGTCACCTAGATGACTAACCAATAATATATTTGTAAACCTTGAAAAACGTACTAAAACTTTTGTTTGAACCATATTTGTGTATTATTTCTATTTAAAAGTATACATGGAGAAAAACAAAATTTTGCACTCTGAAACAAAGCTTTTAACGAAGTTTAAATTTTATATCTCCCTAAGTATTGGTTTTAGAAAAATGTTGTTAATACAAAAGTTGTAGGAAAACTAATCAGAAATAAAACAAAACAAATTGCAGCTTGATAGCTTACATAGCATTCGAATCATGACCCATTAAGTAAAACACTGCAATTTCTTTGTTTGGAGGGGGGTGGGGGGGAAAGCTCAAGGGGTAGAAGTGGGGACTTTTGGGAAAATACACCTCTCATGTGGTTCTATCACATATAAAAAATCCAGCTTTCCACCATTAAGTTGCGAAAAAGTGTGTTTTATTGCATTCATTGACTGGGCTATTAGATTTGCTGTATGAAATCTCAAAATCTACAAATATTACTTGTTATAAAAATGAATATAAGGAACTCAAGATTGTGTATAGGCGTAAGATTAAAGAGGCAAAAAAACAGGCAAATGTTAGCTTTATTAATAATGCAAAAAATAAAACAAAAGCGTTATGGAGTATTGTAAATAAAAATAAAAAAGGTATTGTAAATAGTAGTAAAAATAATTATTTTATACCAGATGAATTTAATGAATTTTTTATTAATGTTGCCAAAGATTCGATTAGCCCTAGTTCTTGTGTAAATAGTAACTGTGATTTCAATTTATATTTAAGTAACCTGATTGTACCTGATAATATTAGTGAATTTAGTTTTAAGTTTGTAACAGAAAAGAATATTATAGATGTAGTTAAGCAATTAGCTCCTAAAAAAAGTCGAGATCACTATGGTTTGACTAATGCTTTGATTAAGGAAGCCATTACCAGTTTTGTGTCTCCACTGACAGTTCTCATTAATAGTTGTTTAGGACAGGGAATATTTCCTGATGTTTTAAAGATCACAAAAGTGCTTCCTATTTATAAGAAAGGTAAAAAAAGAGGATATAGGTAACTATAGGCCTGTTGCGATTGTACCTGTTTTATCTAAGATAGTGGAACTAGTAGTTGGTACACAATTGATGGAATATTTGGAATCCCATGATTTGATATGCAAACAACAGTTTGGATTCCGAAAAGGTTTATCAACAACTCAAGCAATTATTTCTTTGGTTGATAAGGTGCTAGATTGTTTTGAAAAAAAGGACTTTGCTGCAATCACTTTCTGTGATCTAAGTAAAGCCTTCGATCGAGTTTCACATACAGTACTGTTAGAAAAATTAAAGCACTACAATATCAAAGGTGTGGCTTTAGATTTATTTAGGTCTTATCTGCAAAATAGATCTCAGTATGTGGCATTAGGAAATAACCTGTCTCAATGTAAACCTGTAACCTGTGGAGTCCCTCAGGGCTCGGTACTTGGGCCATTATTGTTCTTGATAGTGGTCAATGACTTAAGTGTAAATGTCCCTACAGATATTGCTTTATACGCAGACGACACCACGATAATCACCAGGAGTTCAGACTATAGTCAACTTTTAGAAAACTGTGAGTTGAATAAAAATGTTGTTGAGAACTGGCTCACAGCAAATAATTTAATTCTAAATAAAGATAAAACATCAACTGTAGTATTTAGTCTTAGAGAAATTCCTGAGATGCCAAATGAAAATCTGCATCCAAAGTTTTTGGGACTAACTTTTGATATTACTCTAAATTGGCAATATCATGTTCATTTGGTAAAGGCAAGACTTAGTTCGAGTATATTTGCTATGAAATGTTTGTGTGGTGAATTGAATCAGAATTCTTTAATACAGACTTATTATGGACTATTTCATAGCCATTTAAGGTATGGTTTGATTGTTTGGGGATCTTCTCCTCATGCAAATGAAGTTTTTATTATGCAAAAAAAAAAGTTCTTAGAGTCATTGCTGGTGTAGATATGTGTCATAGTTGTAAAAATCTATTCAAGGAGTTTAAAATTTTGACTTTGTTTTCTTTATTTATACAACAATGTCTACTTTATATTAGAGCCAATATTCATTTATTAGACTGTAGAAAAGATGTGCACAGTTATAATACTCGTTTTTGTAATAACATTAATTTGCCAAAAGTAAGACTAGCCAAGACAGATAAAAGACCAATGATGATTGCAATTAAGTTGTACAATAAGTTACCATTAGATATAAGACTGCTTAGTGATAAGGATTTTAAAACTAAATTAAATTATTTTCTATGTAAAGGATCCTTTTATTCTATAGAAGAGTATATGTCAAGACAATGGACTGTTAAGGACTTCTGTTGAATATTATTTATTTATAAAATTGACAAGCCAATGTATTTGTATGAAATATTTTCTGGCTGAATAAAGTTCTTATTCTTATTCTTATACTGTTTTCCCCTAGAAATCCTGTACTGGTGGGAGATGTTTTGGTGGTGTGGTTCATGCTGCAAAAGAAGGATTTCAGCCATTCTTATGCTTCTTGTGAATCCAGCTTCTGAAACATAAATTATGTTTCATGTAATAATTTTTACAATTAAAAATTAAAATATTATAAAAAACCTAGAATGAAAAATTTGACAAGTAAAAGACATATTTTGTTTATAACCATAAGTAGTATGCATAATGTAATGCAGTGGAATTATTCTTTATTGAGGCTAAATTACAATCATAATTAATCATGTTATTGTTGGCATGTTATTGTTGCATTGTATTTAATCAATGTTATTGTTACTAAACAATAACAATCATAATCATGACACTATGTTATCTTTCAGCGCCACTGTCAGTTGGGATCTGTTTTATGAATTTAATGGGAGCTCTAGGGTAAACTGTTAATACAGCATGTTGTTACTACAAATAATTTATTATAAACAGTTGTTATGTAATGATGAATGAGCAGTGTGGATAGGAGCCAAAGTAGGTGTTTATTGCCTCTGTATTTTATTTTTAAAAAATTTATTTTTTTCAAAGTTAACTTGGACTTCCAAGATAAGCGGCTTAAAAGTATTTTTCCTACAGTCACCCGACAAAGTTGGCTTCCTTGCACTGATTATAGTACAGAAAGCTGCTAATTGCTGCATTTACTTACTTTGTCGCAGGGTTTGTACTTTGGCGCACACCAGGATTCAAACCAAACAACACAAAACAGCGTGGTTTTATCATGCACATAATCTGTGTGCGCCTGGAAATAAGTTGGCAACACTTAAAGATACGTATACTATGATCAGCTGATTGATTATTAATACTACGATTTAACCTGATATTTTGTGTTTATATTTTATTTCCATACAACGCTTGTTTTGAACATAACCTAAAGTGTAATATTTTAAAGATTAATTGTAATCTCTTCGTGCGGGCCTAACATGTTTAAAAATAATGAGCTCAATGAAAGTGATTGTGAATATATGTGTAGACCAGAGGAAATAGCAGAAACTGCAAAACATGTTTCATTTAACCTGTTACCTTGAAAAATCAAGAAATAAGTATAAACGAGCATACAAATTGTTTTCCTCTTGGTGTGTTAGTAAGAAAGTTATAAAATTGTCAGAAAATGTTTTATTGGCATTTTTGCAGAACAATCTACTTGTTTTTCTGTTTATACTGATTTTTACTGTTTATATGTGTACTCTTGGAAATAAGTAATACCTAAAGATACTACTATTACAATCAGCTGGTGCAGTATTTCCCATTCCGTTCAACGCGTGGGTTAAACCTAACCTAAATATGTGTTGTATATCGTTTGAAAGACTAAAGCCCCCCACACACTACCAGGCCAGACCTCCAGACCAGACCATCTGGTCTGGAGTCTGGTACTTGTCTTATCGTGTGTGGGGCTGTCTGCAGACCGATTTTCTCGGACCAGACTGTCTGCGTGTCTGATGGTTGAACCCTCAAACCACGGATGGTCTGAGGTTCCCCCACCACTATTTTTTTCTGGTCTGTGAGTTTGTAGCGCTGACTGTCAGACGCCGACCGTCGCGACAGTCTTCATCCATTTGTTGGAGTTCTCACTACAGTGTCACAATTAAGAATGTTGGAATGTCTGGTCTGGCCGTCCAAGACATCTGGTTGCAGTCAGACAGTCTGGTCTGGAGGTCTGGCCTGGTAGTGTTTGAGGGGATTAATTATTTATATGCTTTATAGTGACTGTAGGAAAAATATTATGTGTAACACGACCGCAAATGGCATTTGCTCACTAGTTATTCAAATAACTATCGATTGTCTCAAGTTAAATTCATAACCTAACCAGGGTTGTATGAAGAATTGCAAGGACTAGTATAGGATGTAAAGGAGTGTCTAAACAGAAAAGCCAAGTGAGGATCTATTGTTTATGGGCAGAAGTAGGGTAGTCAATAATAATGCTAATTTAATAGAACCATTTGTTAAAACATTAAAAAATGCTATGCTTTAGTCATATATTAAAAAAGATTATTATTGTTTATTAATTGTTGCAAGACTTCGTTAGAGAGCAGTTGTTTAGGTAAGGGCTGTTTTGGCGTATAAATCCGCAGTTTGCTTGTATGCATTAACGAGGCTCCTTGCTACTTACTGTCATCATGTTTAAACAGAATGACACCATTTGCAGCTCTGTAGCTGACATGTATACTTCCAATTTATGTTTTACAATTTCTTTTAAGTATCGAATCTCCTGCCAGGTGCGGGATAAGGTCAGGAATATGTTTTTGATTACAAGAAACATCGAATGTTGACATTCATCGCAAAATGAGTGAAGGCTATGGCCCTAAGGCAATGAGTGAGGATTTAAACCGAAATGGGTTATGGAGTGTAAAATGGCCGTGAATCCTTTTCCTTTGAGGTCTTCTGTGAGAAATCTGGGTACCCACCAAAAACACAATTCCTTCCAAAATTAGCATTTTCACGGCCATTTTGAAACCCCCATTTCTGCACTTACCACGCTTATCTTGCTACATGGTCATATGATCCAGTCATCTGGCGATGAATAGCATTGGATATGTTTCTTGTAATCACAATTGCTTTAAAAATGAAAATTTTACGGCCATTTTTAAATTACGTTGCCAAATTTTGCACTTTCCCAGTTTTAGTGTATTGGCAATAGAAATTTTTTTTATTCAATGTATGTACATACAAGTAACAATGAATTAGTCCCTCAGCCACCTTAAACCTTCGGCTGTTGAAAGGTTGCAATTGCAATACAGTACTAATAATTTTGATTCTTAAGAGGTTGGTTCCTCTGATGAATATGTGCCAGTTAAATTTTTTGCACTATCCAGTGATACTATCTATATAGTGATACCAACATTCGTATCACTGACCAACAAATATAAAACGTTAATGTACAAAAAATGTAAAGTTTATTTTTTATGTTTGGGGGTATGGCATAAGAACAGTAGGCTAAGTAGTGAAATAATACTAGCCAAATCATGCAAGTTAAGTCACCGTGCACCTATAAAAATACAGAAAGAAGTACAAAAACATCTATAATTTTCATTCTTTCTTAGACATTTTGTTAAACTTAATCATATCAACATTGATTAGGCCTATATTCTTCATTGGTCACCATCCGCTGCCCCCTCAGTAACCAGTAACGGCAGTGTTTCCTTCCCAAAACCGCAGCCTTTCACCTCCCCCCCACCGGACTCCAACTTGAATATGGATTAATTCTGACGCTAAAAACTTTGTTCAAAATATCAACATCAAATAAGAAATAACAATCATACATTAAATCCGAACAGAGATTATTTTTTAACAAATTTATATTTGTGACAAACATTTTTCCTGCAACTAGCAGACGCTGCCCTGTTTGTTTATATACATAATTACTTCAATACCTGATGTATGTAGCATTTTAAGTTGCATTTTAAGTGGTTATGTGTTCAGCGAGATGATTCTTCTGAAGCATGCTCATCATTTCTTTTCCACCATCTGCACAATATGCTCATAACATTGACGAATGTTGATATGAAATGTCTACTTAGTAACTTAATTGAACAATAAAAATGTTACAATACCTCAATATGCCAGGTGAAACTGATTGAACCCAAAAGAATTATGAGTTTGGATGGTACCAAAGATCAGACTCAGTTGTTATAAATTCAAATTAATTTCCAACACACAGGTTATTATTTAGAGTCTATAATGCAGCCAATTCTTTTCCTTATAATATCTCCCCAGAGTACATATGTGTTGCACTGTGGGCAATATCCCTCGACAGGTAGAAGGTTTTGGGAGTTGTTTCCAATGAACAATGACGCAAGGCAAAGAAGATGACTGTGGAGTGAACACCCAGGTGTGACACATTGCACCAAATCTTCAATTGGGATTGTCTCATTACAAATAAGACAGGTTTTGGTAGAACTTGTTGGGACCTCAGTAGTACTTGTTATCACCTTCTTAGAGCGAACTGGACCAATAGTGATTGGCATATGCATTGGAGGACATTTGTCTACCTGCAATAAACAAAATTGGAGTATTAGTGGAAATACTAAAAATATATTACTAAAGCTTTATTTTCTCTCTGGCCCAGGATAAAAAGGTACCAACTCAAGTTTTTATCTAAGTAATAAATGAACGTTTGGATGGAAATTAATGCCAAATATGTATGATAGGACAACTTGAAAAGTTAATTTATCCAAATTTTCATTAGGCTTTATATTTCAAGACAATTAGCCTACTTTCACAGCAGGTTTTCAACTCAGTGACAGCTTCAATCAAGATTTTCCCTTAACAACAGATTAAACAGATTAAGACAGATTAACTTGGTAAAAATCCTTCGAGACTTTTAGGTTTGTTTATTCATCATGTGGTCAAAGCATAAATCAAGAGAAAACTGTCACAGGATTTTATCCCTCAATCCAGTGTTATGAACCAGATATCTAGGGGAAACAGACGTAGTAAAAACTTTTAAAGCTCTAAAGACGTGAGGGGAGAAGCAATCACAAATCAGATTAGCTCAAATAAGTTTCTGCAATGTTAGGTGAGCGCTCAGGTAGTTTAGTTATAATATTCTGGCAATGTTAATGCTTCCAATTTTGCCTACAGAAAAAAATTACTTACCCAAACAAGGACTTCCGATTGTCTGAATTGTATCATGAGTTGCCAATGAAAAGCTCAAGATTAATAAATACAAACGAACAAGAACTAATTTCTATGTTGAGCATAAAAATATTTAACACAACATGAAGTTTTAATGTTTGATTATAAGATTTTTTGAATCCATTACATCAGTATACATAGTGGAATCAAGGTATGAAATCATTAATAACAAGTTCAAAAAATCCATTAATAACAAGTGTTAATATTAAAGTGGTAGTTATTATATTATTTTTACCCTGCAATGTAACCTGTCATTACAGGTAAGACCCACTTACTGGAAATTCTTGGTAAAACTCCTCGGCCAACCAACGAACTGTTAAAGGCAATTTGCTCCAAGGTCCCATTCTTAGCATCTCCAGTAGAATCCTCAAACAATATTGGAATTGATTTTCTCTTGGCTTCTTCCGATGAAGTTCTCTTAAACGTCTAGATCTTTTTGGATGTTGCCAAGCCCATTCAAACTGAAAATGTTTGTTTTTATTAGAGAAAATGTAGGTATTTTACACAAAAATGTTTATAGACAATGCTGTAGGCTATCAGAGAATCGATAATAACATGTTGAAAGTTACAATAGGCCAAATTTTTCAACTATGAACTAATTTATATTTAAAGGCTATACAGAAAGAAACACACCTTTTGATATAGTCCAACAAGACATCAGTGACAAGACCATAGCGAATAACAAACAATCGGATAAAACAGGGATCTCCAACCTACGGCCCGCCACAAAGGCCTACTGAGAAATAATTATTTTTATATGATGGTAGGTAGGCCTATACACCGATGATCGTCAAAGTCGCGGCAAAACTTGTCTGCTAATCTTGTGGTCTCGGCAAAATTTTGATCATCTCCTGCGATCGCGGCAATACTCGTAACTAATAAATTTTTAGGTCTCCGCGATACCATGATCGGTACTCACCGTCGCGGCAACAATAGTAAGTAAATGTTGCTGTCTCGGCGATGACATGATCGTCACTCACGACCGTGGAAACACTCGTGAGCATATCGTGCGGTCTCGGCAATGCCACAATCGTCACTTATGGTCACGGCAACATTCGCGAGCATATTTTGCAGCCTCTACCATACGGTGATTGTCTCCTGCTAACGTGACTGCATGGTACATCTCTTGCGGTATCAGTAATACTGTGAGGATCTCCAGCAATCACAATTTACTAATGATGTTAAAAGAGAATGAATGGAAAGCTGTCAATGAATTGAGGCTTATTGGGTATTAGTGATAATTTTGTAATCCCTGGTCCATACCAAATTCAAGTACCATTCTCAGTGCCCAGGTTTGCTGAAACCCTGTTTGATAATAGATAGTACACTTTTCTCACTTGCAATGTTTTTATCAATAAATGAAAATTATGTGTAACCATGTTCGTAGTGATCGAGCTATCTAAATACAGATCTTCCAAGTTAGATGAAACTTTGATATCAATCCTAAAGATCAGAACAAAAAATGTTAGCCCTGATTTGGCTCACCATTGAGTGGTATAGGCCTTATGCGAAATTCTCTCTTAAAATTACTGTTGTTTTTAGCTTCACACTCATTGAAAAGTCCTTGTCAAGTTTTCTTATCGCAATTACAATCAAATGTTAAATTAAGTAAAGTTTGTAGTTCATCAAAAAGATTTGGTATTGTGTCATACTGTTTTTTCATCAACCCTACTTAAAAAATCCCATTACAGAACAAATATAATATCATGTTAACACACTCACTCCCGCGTGATGTGAGACCTTACATACAGAGGTGTGTGCCGGCTGGGACTGAACCTGTTAAATATACTTCACAATTAATTCATAGGCTAATAACTCAAAAATCTTATGACTACTTTTGTTATGACAAATTATAAATATAACAAACACAATTTGTAAACCCATAAAAAAATGTATGTGAGGTTTGTGGCTATTCAGTTATTTTGTTTGGCCACATCATTATTTGCACAAAAGCATAAACAAATTTAGTTAGTAAAAATTTTTATATAAGCAACTAAAAAAATCAGCAAGCTCATTTCAAAAATCATCGATCCTAATTAAAAACTATTTTTCTTACAGTCACCCGACAAAGTTGGCTTCCTTGTACTGTTTATAGTACAGAAAGCTGCTAATTGCTGCATATTTATACTTTGTCATACGGTTTATACTTTGTCGTACGGTTTATACTTTGGCGCACATCAGGATTCCAACGAAACAACACAAAACAGCATGGTACTATTATGCACGTAGTCCGTGTACGCAATAGGTTGGCAACACTTAAAGATAATAATACTATAAACAGCTGATTGAATATTTTAACTACGATTTTACCTGTCATTTAGTGTTTATAGTTTTGGTATTTCTGAACTTTTCTTTTAAACGTTTTTCAAACATTCCTACAATCTTAACAAGAAAATACCTTTAAAGCATCTTTTTAGGCACAGAAACCACTTCAAATGACAAAAAAATATGGAACTATTTTGTCAAGTGGCGGAGCACATTGCTTGCCGAGGAAAAAATAGCGGAGAGATACGGACCGGTGACTACTTTCTCTAGGGCACCTATTTATGTTGCCAGCTGAACCTAAAAATGTGTTGTATAGTGTTTGAAAGACTAATTATTTATATGCTTTATAGTGACTGTAGGAAAAATATAATGTGTAACACAAGTGCAAAAGGCCTTTAGTGCACTCGAGATCATTGCATCATCGAGATATTGCACAGATTATAATACAGAAAGCCTTACTTTAGCACACAGTTTTTACTTTGGCGCACACCAGTATTCCAACCAAACAACACAAAAAACAATACACAACGTTTCGGGATCTGGAATCTGATCCCGTCTTCAGGTGAAAAAAACTTAACTAACACATTACGACTAACAATACACAAACGCCCAACCTAAGTTGGAATACACTACCGAGGGTAGTAGTCAAAAAATATGCACTGTATAGCAGTCAAGTCATGATACAACATGCAATTAATAACAAATCACAAAACACTATAATCTATAAAAGGTTTACGTACAAAAAACTCACACAATGGAACACTAACAACACCGTACGCTATGACTCCACCAATGAGACTGAACCAACATGGCTGACCAATCGGAAACACGGAGACAACAGAAATGGCTTCCGGTCCCTGGAAAAGTAAAACCAACAAAATGGCGGAGCGATGTACGATGCCGCAAGATGGGTGTTAATTATGTTTATTCATATCACGAGTTTTACTACGAGTGAACATAACGTGCGAATTTTGAGGAGAACTCATTATTTCCCTATTTATTGAACAATTAAGTTCCCTATCCTTTAGTTCCTTGTTCAAAATGGGTAGCCAAAGTGGCCTTATTTCAACCGATGACTGACTGATTGGTTGGTCAGCTAATTTAATGTATGAGGCTTCAATGAGTTTACGTTTGAAAAAATGAGGTTCCTTATGGACAATTTTTGCCTCTTCAAAATTCATACGATGATTTTCGGACCAGCAATGATGAGCGATCTTAGATTTTTCCACTAAACCTAAAAGTGAGTGGAAAAATCTAAGATCGCTCATCATTGCTGGTCCGAAAATCATCGTATGAATTTTGAAGAGGCAAAAATTGTCCATAAGGAACCTCATTTTTTCAAACGTAAACTCATTGAAGCCTCATACATTAAATTAGCAGACCAACCAATCAGTCAGTCATCGGTTGAAATAAGGCCACTTTGGCTACCCATTTTGAACAAGGAACTAAAGGATAGGGAACTTAATTGTTCAATAAATAGGGAAATAATGAGTTCTCCTCAAAATTCGCACGTTATGTTCACTCGTAGTAAAACTCGTGATATGAATAAACATAATTAACACCCATCTTGCGGCATCGTACATCGCTCCGCCATTTTGTTGGTTTTACTTTTCCAGGGACCGGAAGCCATTTCTGTTGTCTCCGTGTTTCCGATTGGTCAGCCATGTTGGTTCAGTCTCATTGGTGGAGTCATAGCGTACGGTGTTGTTAGTGTTCCATTGTGTGAGTTTTTTGTACGTAAACCTTTTATAAATTATAGTGTTTTGTGATTTGTTATTAATTGCATGTTGTATCATGACTTGACTGCTATACAGTGCATATTTTTTGACTACTACCCTCGGTAGTGTATTCCAACTTAGGTTGGGCGTTTGTGTATTGTTAGTCGTAATGTGTTAGTTAAGTTTTTTTCACCTGAAGACGGGATCAGATTCCAGATCCCGAAACGTTGTGTATTGTTTTTTACATTCGTGATGGAAAATGTCCGCAATAAACCTTTGAACAACATTAACTCACCATCACCAACAATGAACTTCAAACAAAGAACACAAAAAAGTGTGTTTTTACTATGCACGTAATCCGTGTACGCTTGAAAATAAGTTGGCAACACTTCTTGATATTACGACTACAATCAGCTGCTGCAGGGTTTCCCATATCGTTCAATGTTTGGATTTGACCTAACCTAAAATCATGTTGTACAGTGTTTGAAAGACCAATTATTTATATGATTTATAGTCACTGTAGGAAAAACATAATGTGTAACACGAGAATCTTTCCACACTCGCCTACCGCTCGTGCGTAAACATTTATCTTGTGTGCAGCAAAGTGCCACTTTGCCCACTAGTTACACAAATAACTATTGTTGTGGGATATTTCGGAGGTGGCTACCTTTCTGCACGGAAATGTTAACAATCCGACCTTCCCTCCAAAAATTTACCATGCGGCCCATGAGTAAAATAAGGTGGAGACCCCTGGCATAGAAGATAAATAGCTTGGAGTACTATGGTTGTTAATATGGGAGCCTTATTGTTTGTTGTCTGTAATTATCTTAAATTAGGCCCGGTTCACACGAACGACAAACCTAGCGGACTAGGCTCGGACTAGGTAAGCACGACTGGGAAGCGGACCACAGGATCAAATGGAGCCGTTTACACGAGCCTAGGACGCCGACTAGCTAGTCGTGTTCGAGCTTGAAGTCCAAAAACCTAGTCGGGCCCCGCTTCCCAGTCCGTCGTGGCAACTACCCAGTCTCCCAGTCGGACTGCGTAGCAGTACATGTAGCCTTATGGGAGCGTTCACACAAGCGATCGGGTAGTCGCGCTGCAGCTCGTATTCTTCCCTTTGTTCTCACTGTGGAACAGTGATGGATCAGAGTGGTTTTGATATCGATATTTTTACCTAGTCCGTGGAAATGTCGCTCGTGTGAACCGGTGTGATCCTGTAGTCTGCTACCCAGTCGTGCTAACCTAGTGCATACCGCATACCTAGTCCAAGCCTAGTCTGCTAGAAAAGTCGTTCGTGTGAACCAGGCCTTATTGTCTTTAGGTACTTGTACATCAAAGCCACTTATAAATCTTACTCTGTACCTTGGTCTGTTTCACTACAAAGTAGCTCTGAAGAGTAAGGCCAGGCGCACACAGGCGATTTTGAGTCGCGCAACAGTTGCCCGACTAAAATGTTCAACATTGTTTTAAATTGGAGTGCGCACACGAAGGAAACAGTCTGGGGACAGTCGCGCAACTGTTGCAACCGATGTTCCCGGACCCAATTTGCCAGCGACTGCTCTGCGACTCAATTGTTGTGGGACTGTCGCTCCAGGTTTGGTATCCATTGAAACAAGTGTAGATGCGCACACATGCAACTAAATAGTCGCTTTGTCGCTCAGTCTCACCCCAGGAGTTCAACTACTCGCGGCCAGAACTGTCACTGGTGTTTGCTCTCTTGTTGTGTGAAGTTTTTAGAAAATTACAAGTATGAGTGTGCGTGATGAGGATGTCGAACAATTAATTGATGAAGTTGAGAAGAGGCCGACTATATTTAAAGTCATTGAAACTGTCCTTTCACAAGTCGCTCACTATATATGGGATGAACCCAGTATCTTCTCTTTATCTTTCGCGCGCGAAACTTCAGCAACAAAGCACATACTACGGCTGTATCATTGAAATCCATTCGGAACGCTGTAACGAATGTATTTCCAACACGTCTCAAGACTAGATCCGCGACTAAAAAGTTGCCTGTGAGCGCACTCCAGCTCAACTGTCGCTAGACTTCAGAGTCTCCGAGAGAGTTGCGCAACAGTCCCCCGATTAGTTGGGCAACTGTTGCGCAACTCAAAATCGCCTGTGTGCGCCTGGCCTAACACTAAGCAATCTTACAATGTCAAACAAGTAATTACTTACCCTTAGTGCAGATATATCGTTGGGAAATCCATGTACAATCAGGACCATTTCCCTGTAACATTTTTGCAAGTGAAATATTTTGCCGTAACTTAAATGTTAGGTATAGGCCTACTGAAATGTTTATAAAAAAAATATTAAGTTTATGCTTTGATAAGTTTATGTGAATGAAAAAAGTGCAACTGATAATGTTCAATAATTAAGCTATCTTACCTAGACAAATGTTAAAATACTGATGAAGGAGAATCACATAGATTTGAAAGTCATAGACTACTACCTTTTGGTATCTTAATAGCTGAATATCAAAATGTGCATTAAGTAGCCCTTTGAGCCCTAGGTATTTTTATTGATTGCAGACCTACCCTAGAACTATTTTTAACAAGCGAAAAAAATCAATGTGTGTTTGATATTGGTTAATGTGTGAGTGTGTTTTCATACTGAACAAATAATTAAAAATTACTGACTCATGAAAAAAATGTTTGGTGTTCACACTTCAAGGAGGTGTGACTACAACAGGTACAACTTTGTAAGTAGTAAAATGCCTAAATTGAAGAACAACAACTCACAAATACGCCAATCCAAATTTTTACCTGAGCTGTTGGCCATTCAATTAGGAGGAATTCTTCTGCCAAGCTGTGCCACAGAGGGTTAAACTGTTCATGAGTTCCACTGAGACAGGATTTAATCACTCAATCTACAGTAGCCTACTGGTACCTGGCCAGGGAAGCAGCACCTTAGGCTACGTTTATGCACGCGGAGCGGTTGTAAAAATTGTGCCAAATTGTGCAATCTTGCCAACCCTCTGCCAAATAACAGTAATGGTCTAGCCTACAAGTGCAATGGATCCCTTTACTATTTGTAGCACTTACTTAATAATTAAAAAGAGAAAACTAAGACAAAAAAGATTAGGTTTAAATCTATCCTTTAAATCTTTTTTAAATCTCTGTTTTTTAAGCCTTTTGTCTCATTTCATCAATGGATTGTTCATCAAAAAGTGTTGCTCTTCTTCCGCAGACTCCATCACTCCGTCAAACACGAGCTTACAGTAAATGAATAACCTCTGACCAAATCCAGAAGAAATTGCATGTGCACGTAGGTAGTTTGGCCAAGTTGGACTGGATTCCCGCCGTGCCTAAACAGTCTCATTTGACTCAATGTAGTTGAAAACAGCTTACTCTCAAATAACCAATGCGATTTCTAACTAACACAGCCCTCGAATTAGAAACCGCTGCTGGGGGACAACTGCGCTACCGCTCCCTATGACTAAACAGTTTTATTAAATTCAATGGTGTTGGAAACCGCTACCGCTCCCGCTCTTCATGCATAGACGGGGCCTTAGACTGCCTGGCCATCAGACCTATCATTCTAACACATCATCAATACAGGTACCTATGACTTAAGGCCAAGCTTGATTGTAAACATGACTCACAGATTGCAGAACATGTCAAGTAGACCTACAGTTTTTAGCTGTGTTCGATGGGTTGGCTTGCATAGGTGTAATTGAATGTTAGGTTATGTTGCTCTAGATGATCAATCCTAACCAGTAATTTAGGGCTCAAAGGGACACAATTTAAAACCCCCAATTGAATTGAATTGAAAGGGAGGGGGGCAATTTCAGGGGGAGAGGGCGGATGTGGGATCTTTTTAGGGGGGAGGGGGGGTATGACTTAAGTTACTTGCTTTAGTCTACTCACCAAGGTCCTCTATTGTTAGTACGCCTTGCTCCTCCTGACTGAGAACCTTTATTGTGTTGAGTTATTCGTCTATTGGGGTCTACTGTAAATCCAATATAGGTTCTTCCTTTGTACTTTTCATGTAAACTATACAGTAAGTACACGCCAAAAAAGTGTTCTACAGTGTCGAATGTAGAAATTTCACTTTGAGAAGCCATCACCTTATTCAAGTTCTCCAATCTATGATTGTGTTAGATTAATCACTTTCTTTTAGGTTCTTTCTTTCTGTTTGAAAATTACAACTTGGCTAATATCTGTAACAGGAGAACAATGAAAAATTAAACTTAAAAAGAAAATAGAAAACAGAATTAAAACTGAAAACTGTAATAAAAACTGTAGGGCAGGCCTAATCTTTTTAGGCTAACACGCTGTAGCATACAATTTATTATTCTTTGTTCTATGTATTTTTGCTAAGTTAAGATATTTGCTAAAATTAATACTTTTACAAAACTTTTAGACCCAAGATTCAAGTAGGCCTTAGTTAGCCTACTTAAAACAACTTTTTTTAAGTTCACAATAATATTCATAGAAAACCACTTTTGAAAACCATTGACTTAAAGTAATAGAAGAAAAAAAACTCATGCGGGATAAAACAGAATTTTCTTCACCCAGTAAGCGGAATTATTGTTTTATTTGTGTGAATACATTGTTTATTACTCATTATGTCGTCATATCCTTATGAAAAATATAGGTAGTGTACATGTTGCTCGAATTCAATCAATTGCAAAGTACAGGAGTTATTTCAAAACGAATAACAGTCATAATTTCCGAAGAGTTTAAAAGAGTCAACTCAAATATTACGTAACTAATAAAAATACTCAAGATTTACATAACAGTTCAATATAATTAACATTTCCTGTAAATAACATATGTTCTTGTTCTCACTTTTAATTTCTGACAACAGCTGGAGTTTTATAACAATGTTTGTTTCCCATGTTAATCTTATGGAGAAATAAAAAACTTTAAAGGGCCCCAGGGCCTCAATCTCTAATTATTTCCCTAAAAAGAAAGTTTCTTGCACAACTTCACGCTACACTCTTTCCCATGACACCAAAAACATGTCAATCGGTTCCGTAGTTTTGGAGGAGTAATTGTCACAAAAAACTTGCTTGCGTATTAAATAAGTATAGATTATTAAAGAATAAAAAATAACAATATCTTAAACTACCATTCTTGAGCATATCTGACTTCTAGTTGTAGTTGTTGGCACAATAGGAAACTAGATTGGGTAGTCTTCTATGAATTCCAAATTGGGCTATAATTACTATCCCCAAATATTTTTTGAGACAGTGAAACAGATAGTGCTGTAGGCCTAATTGAGTTTAACCATATTTAGAACCACTCAGTTCAAAAATGTTTGCAAGTATAATATAATATAATATAATATAATAATATAAGAGCAGATGATGGACTTTATTTTTAAGAACTGCATTTTTAAGATGCAGCCGAACATAGCCCAGCGGCTCCCGCCCGTGGGCATCAATTCAACATGGAGCGCAATTTAAAACTCCCTGTTCAGGACTTGGTGAATTTCTAAATATTTGATCCAAAAATAGTATTAAAAACATGAACAGGAATCAAACTAAAACAACTAGGAAAGTTACAATCCTGCTATGTAACCTGAATATCAGAAAAAATAATTATTTCATTTCCCACACTGTAAGGATTTGTGATTATTTATACTTGCTTATAAAATCACTGACTAAGCAAAATTATAATCTACACTGTATTAAAGTGAATCTTTGTGTTAGTGATTGTAGTGATTCCAATACAGCAACTTGTCTATCTTTGACATTTTATTTTGTATTAGTTTTTAATTGCTTGCAAATTAGCCTTGCTTGGCAACCTAGTTCTAGTTCAACAATGTCCCGACTGATGGCAGCAACGTCGTTTACCGACAGTAGATCACGTTTGATTTTTCGAGCAAGCTCGCCTAATATGTAGAGATATGCATAACATAACAGGATGAATAACAGGGTTGCCACACAACAACTATTGTCAGGCTAACCTGTTGCCGGTTGCCGCAAACTCCTGGTTATTATAATAACACGTTGGGGCAACACCTTGGCAGATCCAACGAATACCGTTATTGAAAACCAATAGTTCTGATAAATTGTTGTCAAACTCCCTTTAAAAGAAACATTATTGATTATGTTACCTCATCATTGCCAGATTCTCGAAGATTGTAGATGTTTAAGCTTGAGTAAATTTCGCTACAGGTGTGGCATCTTCAGCAGCAGAGTTTGTAATCACGTCATTTAAAAACACTAAAAAACCATATTAATATATTTATTTACATTATCGGTCGGATGAAGATTTACAGTGCGGGTGTAGGCATACGAGCATGCACGGACCAGAGGCGCTACATATGTCACTGGCTGATTGTTTGGCTATTGTCCTTGTATTGGCTTGAGGTATGTTTGGAAGGTCAGGGGATGGGGGTGAGTTTATGCTCATTTAATTGAAAAGTATTCAAGTATGATGTTAGACCTTTCTCTTATAAGACTGTGACGTTGTCAATTCTCTGTGGCGTTGTCACATTGTTCTTCTAGTTGGTTTACTAATTTGTAAATTATGCAATTATTGTAGTCTTCTTTTTTGTTTGGCAGGGTGTCTGGGTTTGAACTATGGATATGTATAGATATGGTAGCTTTCTTGGGCTTCAGCTATTGACTTAAAATTTGTACGTTTGAGGATTTTTAATGATTCAGGAAATGAAATATGGCAATTCTGATTACTTTTCAGGTGTTCAGGTGGCTCCCGAAGATGCCACACTTGTGGCAAAATGTACATAGAGCCTTAACATCTACAATCTTCAAGAACCTGGCAATCATAAGGCAAACCAAAAAGTTAATCCTTTGTTCTTGAAACTGGGAATACGACATAAATTTAAGGAATGTTATCTTGCAGAATCACTAAATGGAGGCCTACATTTCTATAGCCTTATTAACCTAGTGATAATTTTTACTCAACGATGTTCTTCTTCTCATCATCGCAGAAACTTTCTTCACTTCATCTTGTAACTTAACTTAGCAGCACCGTAGGCCTAATCATATTAACCTAATTAGGCTAACTTATAGCGATGTGACGCCATTAGGCTTACTGCCGATGATATATTCTCCAAAAGTCGTATTAAACAGTTACCTATATCACCTAGTAATATTCATTAGCAGTAAAAAATAATTTTTGGATTCAGGAGGTACCGTAATAACTAGCCTGTAAAAGTTTGTGTCGAGGCACCTATATCAAGTAAGTACAGTACTTAAATGCCAGAGCAATTTGGATAAAAACCTTCCTACTGAGATGAAAGTGAATTTCCTGCACCAATATTTATTGGTAACTTATATAAGTTGGTGTAATTACACACTGTTACCCATACTCAAAACTACGCAATGACAAGCATAACTTAAGTTATAGATAACACCTTATCTCCAAGCCCCTTCAACCACTATAGAATGAGTTAGTTTCATGCCATACTGTTGTACTGTGTTACTTAAAATGACTATGTGTCATGTAAGTCACACTATAATTGAATCAATATAATTTAGCCTAACTTATAACTTAACTTAACACATACACCAAGTTGGCCGGGTACAGGTTCTAAACTGGGCTACGGTAGTATCGATTCAAACTATTAATTAGGCCTCATAATCAATATTTTTAACTATAACAATTAAAAAATGAAACTGTCAAAACCTAACTTAACTAACCAAACTTGCTGATAATGAAAACCATTGAATGAAGGTTTACTAATTGAATCAATAGTTTCTATCGATATTAGGCGTACAGTTTCTGGACTATGCAAATATCGATTGAAACCATCGATTCTATTAGTAAACCTTCATTTGATTTTTTCATTATCAGCAAGTTGGTTAGTTAGGTTAGGTTATGACAGTTTGATGTTATAATTGATATACAGTAGAACCTCTTTAATCCGAACCCCTGTAATCCGTACGTCCACTAATCCGAACCCCTCATTGCTGTACTCTATACACTGCACAGCAGTTCTTTATTGTATACTGTATTTAATGTACAGTGTACTTAAGTTACTGTTTATTCACCATGTTTACTACTGTACTAAATAAACACTGTATTTTACTTTATAAAACATTTTTCACTTTTCCCTAAATAATGTTGATCAGTTTTAGCCATGTTTTAGCTATTGTTATGTAAAAACAACAATATGTTCTGTAATCCGTATTTTCCGTGTTTGCACGTATTTTAGTAGCCTGTACCTAATTTGCTATGTTTTTGTATGTCTTACACTTGAAATGATTCAGCCTATGAATGTATTTTTGTTTTCTTTTATACTGGTTATGACTTTTGCATGTCATGTCTGCTTTCTAATTTATTCTTATTATTGTTCATATTTATTACCTAATTATGCTATGTTTATAAAGTGATTTAATCCTATTTAATGTTATTCCAATGTAAAAATGGTGTTACCGTTGAAAGAATAAATAAATAAATCCGAACTATTCAATAGTCCGAACTACCCCTGGTCCCAATTAGTTTGGATTAAAGAGTTTCTACTGTAGTTAAATATATTGATTATTAATTGACATTTTCAATTTGATAGTTTCGCAGTTAGCCTAGGTAGGGTAGGCTAAACTTACTGCCCGCACTACCGCTAAGTTCACTCATATTATTCCGATCACACGAAGTTTCTTCTGTTAACTTATATCCCCTACAAGAGGTTAGGGGATTTATTTATTCATTCATACGGTAAACACTACTTTTACAATCAATACAAGTTACTTGTACATTAAAATATAAATTTTCTTCTCTTTCATTTAAAAAGTTGTTACTTAACCTAACCTAGCCTGTGGTCCGTAGCCTATAGGTACCAGAAGAGTTTGACCTTTCCTTCAGAACGGTTCTGTTTGATCTGATACTAAAAATGCAAGCTGTCGGCAAAACCCACAGTTGAATAAATAAACGGGCCTGTCTAAAATCCTAATCTAAACCTTAATGTAAATCTTTAGGTTAGGTTACCTGTGTGTGTGTGTAGTCAACTCCTTCGCCGACCAGAGAGAGAGTGACACTAGCACTAGACAGTTGACAGGGTGACAGCTGAGCACTGAGCAGCTGACAGCTGGAGCTGACAGCGACAGGTGACAGGAACCGGGACCACAGGGGTTTCTCTACGCTATGTGGCTATGTGTTCAGTCACTGCCGCCTTCAACTCCAGGCCGCGGCCTTCGAAGTGGCAACGTCGCAAGTGGTGTTGTTTGGAACAGCTGTTTTGTTTGGAAGCAGCTAATTGTATTTGTGTATTTACGAAATATTGGTTACTGGACTATGACAATATTAACTACGCTTAAAATGTACAGATATAGATTTTTAATTCATTTTTTTTCGGTTTTCAATTCTGTATGTTTTATTTTCAATATTTTCATAAATTTATGTTCATAAATTTAAATCAATAAAGTGCGAATTAATGAGCTGATGTCATCTGTCTGCCATGTTATCTTATGGACGTCTGTCACTAAAAAACACCACTTGCAACGTTGCCAATTCTACCAGGCCGCGGCCTGTAGTTAAATGTGGCCGTGGTTCAGTTTAAATCCGTACTGTATTAAATACTAAGTAATGACTTTTCTAATACAATGTATTATTTTTATTTTGGAATAAAGAACTTATGACTTATTGTAACTTTCAACAAGCTAACTGTTATCCAAGTTCCTCATCCCCCCCATAAACATATTAAATTTAGGCTATTAAATCCCTAGCTATAAGCACAGATAATATAACCCCTACTATTATAGTAGGGGTTATATTATCTGTGCTATAAGTCATTTGATCTTCCCTCTACTGTTAAAAGAGAACAATTTTCTTAATAATTTTGTATTATAATCTTACAAGCCTACAGGTAGTTCTTTTCTTGGTTGGGAAATTTAAAATAAGTTAATCCCCTGTTTTATCTTAAGTCTTAAACCTGATTAATATCTATAGCTTCAAGAAAACTTATTTTTTCCTAAATATTACACATTATCAGAGACTTCCAGACAATATTAAAGAATCTCTCCGTCAAAAACTGATTGCATTTTTGGATTCAGCGTGAAAAAAAAAAAAAAAACTGTTAGTAGACATCAAAAAATTACATGAAATCGCGTTGTAGACATAAATAATTGCCAAAAACCCTTTCTGTGTAATATCCAATTATTGACTCTCGAAAATGTCAACAGTTAGTATTTATAACCAATCGTAATAATTGAGTTCTCGGTCTCCATATTTTTGTGGCAGAATCACAGCTGTTCATTTTTTAAACACCTTGACTAACTGACAGGTGACACTGACAGTTGACAGTTAAACGTTCAACCCTTCAACCTTGTCGTACGTCAACCAAATTTGTTAGGGAAAGTCTTAATTTTTTCAAATTCCAAATGGAAATAACCTTCATTTACTACAGTGAAATTTTCAATTTACTTTTAACTTTACAAGTTTTTTTATAACTGATCACAAATGGCATCACTTACTTTTAGTAGAGGAATTAAATACCTTCAACTGGACGTCAAAAGAACAATTCTAACCTCAACATATTCTGTTTATCGCACCTTTTCTAGTCAGGTGAGTTTAGAGTATAAGACTGAGTTTTACACGTTTTAATGAACTGTGGTTTGTATTGTAGATTTTTTTTATCAATCAACAAAATTATCCAGTCCTTTTCAGAACTAGCCTATATAAGTTAGGTAGGCCTAATCACATAATTTTTCCTCTATTTTTATTGGTTTTGCTGTATCAGTCTATTTGATTCCAATAGCCTAAGAACTGTTCGTTTGTTTAGCTCCGTAGTTCACGTGTACACCCCAAAGAGGCGGCTTGCAACTTACTGGCATCCCTTGTAAACATAATCACGCTTTATTTAGCTCTTTAGTTGACATGTGTGCTTCGCTTGATCTAGAATTGTTTTTTTTTTTACTATTGAAATTCCCGCCACATGCCAGATAAGGTCAGTAATACGTTTTTTGGCTGCAAGAAACAAATCTGCAGCAGACAATCATCATCAGATGAAAACTGAAGTTTATGTACGGCTCGTAACATGTAAGTAGGCACTTGGCCTAGCACGGGGAGTGTTGGCGGGAGGAGGGTGGAGGTAGTCCCGGAAAAGACCGGACTGCAAACATTTTCGCTGCCTCACGGGGTTGACTACCCTTGTATTATGTACCAAAAACATACTAGGCCTACTATAACCCAGAATGTTGACCGCGTGGAGCTTTGCCTGTCAATTAGTAGGCAGCGCCACCAGCATTGCTATGCTGGTGCATTGTATGCTGGTGGCGCTGCATACGAATTGACAGGCTATGCTCCACGCAGTCAGCATTCTGGGTTATAGTTGTTTTCTGTGACTTGAGCACCTTCATATGGGTCACGAGGACAGTTGATGCAACCCGCATGACGGGACATAATGTTTTTGAACTAGATACTAGTAGCGATCAGCCAAGTGCCAGCTTAGTTGTCACGAGCTGTACCTAATGCAATGAGTGAGAGTAACATGCGGAAATATATGTCAGGGTGTTAAAAATTTTCCATTTCGTAAGAAATTGTGTTTTCATTGAACACCGAGACTTCTCTTAACACGTTCTTTACGGGTACCTTTGCATAAAAAAAATCCGTAAATATAGCCCGGCCGCCTTGGCTGTTATGTCGAAATAGCCTGGCGGCTCAGACCTTAGTCGGCCAGGTCCGGTGAAATAGCCTGGAGGCTCTAATATGAGCTGGTGTTACAGTGTGTCTAAAGGGTCGATTGTGAGAGACACCTGTCTATTTTAGAGACTTGAAACTTTTGTAGCTATCTATAGGGATACGGCCGCATATATAGGCCTACCGTATCTATGGTCTCTAGGTTTCTTGACTTTAAGGTAAATACAGTATTGGGTACTTTCCTGTTAAAGGGAACATTCATTATTATCGATGATTTTTTCGATTTATCGATATTTTTGTTTACCGATCCATTACATATTGACAACTGATCTTGTTTAGGCTAAAATAGTCTTTTATATGGATTAAGAAATGAAACTGTTCTAAGCTAACCTAACATAACCAACCAAACTTGCTGTAATATTTAAAAATTCCTTTTGATAATAGAAAAGGCAAGTTAAACATGGAATGTTACACAGCAAGTTTGGTTAGTTATGTTAGGTTATTTTTTTAGAACAGTTTCATTTATTTTATTGTTTGTTGATACTGAACAATATTTATCCTGATATGTTTCAATTTGTCAATATCGATATATCGAAAAAAAAATCATCGATAATAATGAATGTTCCATTTAACAGGAAAGTACCCAGTATTGCTATGTTGATTCTCCTGGACAACCACAGTTGACTTGCAGCCGATCAGATTTTTATAACTTTAAACTAACCTAAACAGTGCGAACACGTGTTTTAGTGTTGTAGATGGTTGAAGTGAGACGTGTAGCGACTATGGTAATGTGTTTTATGTACCTAGATGTTGTAGACCGGGTGGCTCCCATATGAGCCGATCTTAAAAGTAGCCTAAATCCTAAAAAAGGTCATATTTGCCATCAGAATGATAGGCCTAAGCTAAATTTAATGAAATCTAATTAATAAAAGAAATTTTTTTCCCGGCTGTGGGGTGGTCATACTTTAAAAGCATATCTGGGCCACAGCAAAGGACTTTCTTTTAGTATCGCGGGCTTACCACAATGACCGGGCGCGGCTCATGGGTAGCGAACGTGTTAAAAGACCATAAAGAAAAAAGGTTAGCAAGTGTTTGGATTTTTCAATGCATCACGGAGATGAAGGGAATTAAATGTTAAGTTTAATTGTCACTGGAACATGGGTATCTCATATCACCTCTGAACTCAAGCAAATATGACGGCACCTCAACCTCTACTGTCAATTTCAAATCCAAAGCCCCATCAAGGCTGTAAAAATAGGCCTACATTTCACTGACTTTATCTAGGAATCATGGGATAGATGATTCAATATTTTTAAACACCCCCCCCCCCCCCGCAGCAAACCTGCAGAATATAGAAATATAATACACATTTTTAATGAGAAGGCGTGGCTTTAAATATTTGGTCTAAGATAAGATTCAATGTCATTGATACCGATCAGTCCAAATTGGGCCTCCTGAGAGTGTTATATTTTCATAATTGATTAATACCTGAGTAACGTTTTCTGAGCACCAAGCACAAGAATTTAGTCACGCTCATAAGTCTTGACTGCTATTATTTTAAATCAGTCGCATACCTACTTTTTATTTTGCTAAACTAACTAATAGTCTTATCCTCATTCTGAAGTATGGTTGACTGTATCTAATTGCCAGTTAGCTGTGAACGCCTGACACAAACAACCCAACCAATACTTCCATATAATACTCATACTCAGAATGTCATAACATACCACCGCAGAGGCCTCTGCTTACCACAGGTTGGGAGCTGATCTAGAGAAAATTCCTCAAACAAGACTTTAAACAACCTCTCCAACAGGGGTCCCCCAATTTTTTCCTTGGACCAATCATCACACAGAAATTTTTCACCCACACATTAAAATAATATCTTAAATGACAACCATTTTTACTATTTCTTTTTCTATTCACAATTTTGTGTGAATTATCTACTAAGAAATACACCTCTTATTAGAAACAACAAAAGGTGATACAATATATTTAAATAAAACACGTTTTATTTCAGAAACTAACTTAATGACACTTGTCAACCTGAGATTTTCTTTCTAAAAGATAATACATGTGGACTGAATGTTGATAACTTTAAGCTATTTTATTTGGAAAGTAAGAGCTTATATTTATAAATAAATCCGTAAGCTGTTTTCGGCTACTCCTGGGTTGAAATAACTATTCTCCATAGTAATTTCCATTTGGTTACTGCATCTCTATTGACATATCATCATAAAGCTATGCAGCCAATTTATGAAAGAAATGTTATTGTTATAAATCAAAATTCAGAAAAAGATAAAATAATACTTCCTATTTTGTGGCCCCCTCCTACAAACCACTAGTGGGAACTACTGTCCTAGTGAAAGCCAATCTGCTAGTTGTCTTTCAACTAGCCTAAGCTAAATACAAGACTTAGTATATACAAATGAACTAGTCATAAAAACAACTTGCACATTACGGTATTTTAATTCCGAACAGTTGCAAATATCTAAATGTACTACATTTTCAGGAGTTTTAATCCCATTTCACTCAAGACCATTAACAAAATAATTTGTTGATGTTCTTTACAAAATCTTCGGTAGGGGTAAATATTAAAGAATGGTTTTGATGGTTGAATAACTTTAAACTACAATTGGTGTACTGTACTGTTATATGTAATGCAAGTTCTTTTTTCAAGACTGCCTTCTGGATTGTCCTGAGTTTTTTTTTTAGATCCAAACAATTTACTGAGGTGTTACAAAGTACTTGTTTATTTTTATCATTGCTTGGCAGAAAAGTAACATTTTGCAAGTAGCCTGCTTGTGTCACTTTATGAGACTACTGTACTTTAGCCAACACTTAGCTAAAAATAGGTCAAGAAGGCTTCAATTTAAACCCCATTCTTTTAATGGATATAGATTAGTAGTGATGTTATTCAACATACAATACCATATAACAAAACTAATTTTGAAACAGATCTCAACTATCTGATAGATCTATATTTTATTTATTTGTTTGAACAATTAACACTGTCCTACAAACAACACAATAGATTTTTATTAGAGTTTACATTTCATGACAGTGTTTAATATTTGAGTTGTAGGCCTAATTGAATAATAAGTACAGTAAACCTTCGATAATTCAACACTCGATAGTTCGATACTCCTTGTAGTTCAACACGGGCTGAGCTATTTTTTCAATTGATATTTAATGGTTACTATTGTAATGTAAGCTGACTTGAACATTAATTTGTCATTTATTGTTGACTTGAGACTTAAATAATGAACAGTGAAATTAATTGTTAAGCTGTTTAGTATTTAATAAATTTGGGTGCTTTCTATATAAGACTTGTGTTTTTACTTTCCTATATATTAAACTCCATTTCCTCCCTATAGATCAACATCCCAAAGTCCACAATCGTTTTGCCTATCGAGGTTATACTGTACAAACAAACCACATATCCTGAGACAACAATGTCCTGAATTAGTCATCAAATATTATGATTAAATATCATTAGATTTGAGAATAAAAATGTGTTGAAATAATCTGTTCCCTCTCAAGTTTAATAATTAACAATAAAAATAGCGTTCATCAAAGATTTAAAAGGAGCTAACTTAACAGACCACTTATTAGTTTATATAGAAATTCAAATTTGTAACTACTAGGTTGGTTTTTTAAGTAAGGGCTGGTTTCGCATATAAATCCGTAGTTGGCTTGTACACCGTAACGAGACACATCACCACTGGCATAATTTGTGTAAAGAATTAAACAAATTTCAGCTCTGTAGCTGTCATGTACATGTTCTTAAATTTTTTAAACAATCAAATCTCCCACCGCGTTTGAAATAAGGTGAGTGATAGGTTTTTTGATTACAAGAAACATATCCCATACTGACATAAATGGCTGAAGGTGATGTCCCTAATGCAATGAGTGAGAGTAAAGTGCGGAAATGGATTATGGATTTGAGTGTAAAAATGGCCGTGAAATCTCTCTTTTCTTAGTGGTCTTCTTTGAGAAGTCTGGGTACTGACCAAAAACACAATTCCTTTCGAAATGAGCATTTTCACGGCTATTTTTAAACTCCTTAGACTATTTCTGCACTGTCCATGCTATCTTGCATCAGGGTCATAATCTCCAGTCATCTGGCGTAGAATGTCGGCATCAGATATGTTTCTTGTAATAAAAAAACATGATCACTGACCTTACCTTGGACGTGAGGGAGATTTGAATGTTTAAAAATTTTAAAAACACACAGCAAAGTGTACACGTCAGCTACAGAGCTGAAATTTGCGTAATTCTGTTTACAATGATTTCAGTAAATGGTGATGAGTCTCGTTGCGGCGTATAAGTGAACCACAGATCCATACACAAAACTGGCCCTTACTTAAAAAAACCGCCCTCGTATTTATACCTATAATTCTTCAGTCCTTCAGATGATTTATGTTCAAGAAAAGAGGTGTATACTTTTTAAATTGTGACCCAAATATTTCACCAAAATTGTCTCATTGTTAAAAATTTACCTCTTTTGGCGAAGCATGTAATCTCTTCCATTGATAATGTGAAAACGTTGAAAATTGTTTCATTAATTTGTTTTTACATGGGTTTTTTCTCGCTATTGAACTCGAACTCCATTCTACTCTGACCCTGCATTCATTTCAAATAAGTACTCAAAGACCATTGCTCTCTTAGTGAAATAGTGGTTTTCTATGCTGGTTTTTTTTTCACAACTAGATTTACTTTTCTATGCTGTTAGTCATCATTCTTTTTTTCAGGGTAATGAACCATCATTCGGACTTCTTTTTGACATCGATGGTGTCATTGTTAGAGGAAAAAAAGTTATACCAAAGGTACCTGAAACTTTTAAAAAGTTGATAAACTCTAAGGGGGAATTTCGAATCCCTACAGTGTTCCTGACTAATGCTGGCAATGGGTTGACTGCCGACAAAGCTAAGCAACTGAGTGAATGGCTCAATGTTAAGGTAACCTACCACTTCACTTATATTAGAATATAGAGATTGATTTATAACCCTTTAAACCTCAAAGGTTGATATATCGGACATCAAAGGGGTACATAACTAAACCTTCACTTACAACTACAGTAGACAGCCGATTATCCACAAGTGGATTAATCACAATGCGGATCCACCACGATAAAAAAAAATCAAAATAAAAAGTATACTTTGCAAGTTTAATGTACATATACAGCGATGACCAATTTGTTTAGTATGAGATAGCCCATAACTTTTCATGCAGAATATTAGAGTTGTCGTTGTTTACCTCACCGACCACTGATGAATTACCAATTACATCCAATGATAACTACATTTCATTTCTGTTTATATTTTTGTTATTGCTATGCTTATACAAAGGCTATCTAATATTATTTGTTTTGTAAATAGACGTAGGCTATTTGTCTCTACCAATACTGAAACTTAAAAAAATCAAAACAGAAACGTAAATCTTTTAGTTGCATGGTCAAGGTTACAAAAAATTACAGGTAACAGGTGATAAAATATTTACAATGATCTTTAGGGCTTAAAGAATTAATGTGGTTTTATGCATAGAAATAAAAAAATTAAAGGAGATGTAAGATGTTACATAAAGGTATTTTGCAAAACAAACATATTTCAACATTGTATGCCATTGTTAGTTTCTCTAAGAAGGTTGTAAAATATCAAATAGAGTATTTACACATCGATGTAGAAGTCCATTTTATCTGTGCATCAGTTAAATTGTGTTTTTGTTTTAGGTATCTGAAGAACATGTTGTGATGGCCCATAGTCCTCTTAATGTCTTCCATAACTTTCATAGTAAAAATGTTTTAGTTTCTGGGCAAGGACCAATTGAAGAAATAGCAAGGAATATTGGTTTCAATAAAATAGTTACCGTAGAGGATGTTCGAAAGGCGTTTCCTCTGTTAGACGCAGTAGATCACAAGCGCCGCATATCACAGGTTTGACAGACTCTCTGTTTTGGATCATGCATTTCTCATGGACAGTTTCTATTTTGATAATTAATTTTGCATGGCTACTTTCTATTGTATTTCATGAATTTAAAAACAAAATATCATTGTATAGTTTTTGAGGTTAGTTTAATGTCAAGTTCATATTTTGAGTTGTTTTTGTCTCTGGATCACAGAACATACCTTTTATATACCTTTTATAGTTAATGTCAAGTCTTAAACTCAGAGCATACTCATAATCAGAGCTTGAATTAAGATAACTTAAACCTATGTTCATAAAACCTCACTGTAACTTACTAACCCTCCTCATCACTGTTCTCTATCCACTCACTTCCTTAACCATTAGACAATTGTGCTATAGTAAAACAAACTCTAAACAAATATTTGACACAAGTATTTATGAAAACTCTTTTGTTTGCTAAAATTCTAAAGCATTTGCAAATACAGCTCATTTAGCAAGTGTTCTGTTACCAAATATGTCAGTCCGTTGGATTATTGAGTGTTACTGTTAACTGCAAGACTTTCCCAGGATTACAATTCGCAATACAGATACATTATTATTTTTAATTATGTGTAGCCAGCAAGCAATGACCCAAACTTCCCTCGTATCGAGGCCATCTTACTGTTTGGAGAACCTGTGAGGTGGGAGACGGCTCTTCAACTGATGATGGATGTGCTGATGACTGATGGAGATCCTAACCATCTCCCTAAGCACCACTCTTACCCTCACATCCCCTTGTTGGCCTGCAACATGGACCTTCAGTGGATGGCAGAGGCCAACATGCCTAGGTAAATGTAGGTAGTGAAATACTGAACGTTCTCTTTTATCCAATCTGAACTGGTTGCGGGATGGTCGGATAATACAAAAGAATAATAAAGCACCATTTAAACATGTTAAAATCTTTAACCCACTGTTAAACATAATCAAGATTTAGTCAGTTTTTCATTGAATCCACTTACAGTTTTAAGCACAAATAACATTAAAAATTACCGTAAAAGTTTAAACACCACAACTGTAACTGTATTCACTGTACTGTATTAACTGTAACTGTACCTATTTTGTAGGTTTGGGCATGGAGCTTTTTTACTGTGTTTGGAGGAACTTTACAAAAAGATTACAGGGAAAGATCTAATTTACGAAACACTTGTTGGAAAGCCAAGTGAGGTCACCTATAGATATGCCCAAAAGATTATTATGAATCAAGCCAATAAGATTCAAATTGGTGATAAAATCAAGCGCCTTTATGCCATTGGGTATGTATAACATCAAAATGTGTCTTTGTTGAATGTGTCAGTTATTTATAATACATTATGAATCAAGCGACTTTACGTTATTGACGTTATTGACCTCAACTATACAAAATGTTCTTTTTGTAATTTGTTGTCATAAATTCTTGATTCTTGAATCATTAAAAATATCTCATTATTGATAAATATTATATACACCATGATGCAGTAGAATTGTGTTCTACTAGTCATTTTAATTCTACCAAATGATATTTTATTTATTTTTTCCAAGCAGAACCTATCTTCTTTACATAATACAGTTGCTCTTGTTAGAGAATTTCCCATCAGGAAAGTTCCTATAGGCCTAAACCTTACTCATCACCTAAAGACGTAGGTCTGGGTCCACTGTACCACTGTACGTTTAAGTGTTAGGGATTCTAGAAAATAAGTAGACTCCTCAATCAAATTTATACATATCTATTAACACTAAAACTCTTTTAAAATATCTTTTTTTTACGTTATTTATCTCAACCTACACTATGGCTTGGTAGGAGGAAACCAAAGTTTAAGAACCAACCAAAATTGTGCTTGATCTTAGGCTGATAAATTCATTAAGTACTCATGATATTATCAGAAATGTGAGAAATCTCATTTAGTTCATCTTAGAAAAAGTTTAGTCATCAATTTGTTGCCCTTCAACTTAGTTGTATGTATCCAAAAGTTTAGTTAAAAAAGAAAGAACAGGGAAATAGTTTTTCATCACTCCGTACAGAAAGTAGCAGTAGTTGAGGGATTTTTGAAATGGTTAAGAGTTGAGTCAATTGTCAACACTCAACTCGACAACCAATTATTTCAAAAATAGGTCCCCAGTTGAGAAGTTCTTATCTATAGGAAGGGACAAACTATCAGCTGATTTGCCCTTACTAGAAAATTTTTTTTCCTTGCTATCAATCAGTTCTCCAATTACCCACTCAGGGGTGTGACATGAAAGAAATATTGTGGGGGGGGGGGGACACTTAGAATTTCATAACTAACTGTATTACACGGATTCACATCTATATTCAAAAATTCCCAACTTTCACAATTTTCAAAGATAGTTGGGTGGCCCTTGGGCGATGCCCCTGTGCCTGCTACGTGCATAAAAAAAATCATTTTATATTAAAATTCAGCTATTTTTAATATGGAACAGCAATGTAAATGTAAACAAAAGTAGGCATATGAAAATATTTTTGTGTATTTAGCGTAGTGCGAGTTTACTGCACAATAAACATAGCCTGAAACTTCTAATTTGTAAATAGCTATCTACGTTTGCTTTTATTTTTATGTATAACAGTTTTGATTTAGAAACGTAATACATTTAACTTTACTGAGGTATGTTATTGTTTATGTGTTTGTTTTTGCATTGTGACATAAAGTATCGTTCATAACTCGTGTTGAAAATGATTTTCTGGCGTTTGGTCCAATTATCCCCATCCCCAGCTAGGAAATATTTGCAGTCGAGACATATTTCCCCCAAAATCAGTCTATTGCTGCTATACCTCTTGTGCTGCAAACTCCCCTGCTGCAAAGCTGTTCCAGATGGCAAATCCGTTTTGTTGTGGGTGCAGGACTTCTGTAAATGTGATAGTGATAGAACTATTGTATTGTATGTGATGGTGAAGATAGTTGGGGCTCACAGAACCTTCCTAACTCCAGAAAACATTTACCTTATCAGATCGATTTTGCAGTCCCCTCAACGTTCTGCTCGTAAGAATGCATCCTCACTGGCGTTGTCTAATTGCACTGTGGGTCATATTCTCCATGAGGACCTACATCTCCATACAAGATGGTAGTTGGTTTTTATGAACTCACACAATGAGACTGGTAGCAACAAATGCAGACATGTGAAACCATAATTATGGGCCTGCCTCATGATGGTTTTGCTTAGTGACGATGTTGGATTGTTACTGGGTATTGAAATACTCACACAGTCTTGGTTAATTCACTGGATTTATTATGATTAGTTTACAGCACATGACAGTCACAATATAGTCATAATATAGCATAAACGGAAGTGGTAAGTGGTTGATGTTCAATCTACAATATCCAAACAGTGTTACCAACACAAGACAACAAATCACATAGCCTAGCTAAGACAAAGAATAAATATAATTAAGGTATATAACACTATAATACAACATCTCCCTTTTCTTACATTTTTTTTTTTTTTTTTTTATTGATACCTAACTGGGGCGTTTAATTGCCCTTCCACTCCTAGTATGGTACACATTCTCATCATTATTGGTATTTTGATTGGGCAGGCCTACATCTAATTGAACAGGGTTAGGGATATTTACATTTTGGTTAGGCCTATCTACATTAGGTTGGATTTGGTTAGGATTTTGGTCGACAACAACATTGGGATTAGCTTCATCCTCAATTTGATCATCAAAAGATTCATCGTACACTCTAGGCCTATACCTGTTAAGAACTGGTGTATTATAAGATTGTCTTAAGTGAACTGAATTTCTTGTCAGTACTCTACCATTTTCCTCCCTTATTAGGTAAGACCTAGGACCTGTAGCTTTACCAATAATCTGAGCTGGTTTCCAAAGATTATCTTTTTTATACACAACATTTGGACTTGTAAACTCTGGTTTTACTTTAGAATTTTTATCATAGTAAACTTTAGACTTAGCTTGTGCGTTTTTTATTTTCATTTTGACATCTACTTGAACTTTTGGCTTTAAAACATTTTTACTTATGGGTATTTTAGATCTTAGTATTCTACTCATGAGAACTTGACATGGTGCTAGGCTAGTACCTTTTACCGGAGTTGACCTATAATCTAAAAGTGCTAAGTATACTTCACTTTCATTATTGGACTTCTTTAGAATGTTTTTTGCGATTTGTACGGCTCTCTCAGCCATACCGTTTGACTTAGGGTATGTAGGGCTACTATAAACACAATCAATGTCCCATTCTTTACAAAACTGAATGAATTCAAAAGAATTAAATGGCATGTTGTCACTACAGATTTGTTTTGGGACTCCATGTTCAGAAAAAATTGACTTAAGCCTCAATATGACTTCACTAGCTTGCTTATTTCTCAGTGATTTGAGCTCTAACCATTTTGAATAATAATCGATAAGAACAATGTAAGGTTTACCCTTAAAATCCAATAGATCCACTGCAACCTTCTCAAAAGGCAAATCAGGTACTGAATGTGGAATCATAGGTTCCTTAATGTTGTTAGGCCTAAAACGCTCACACACAGTACATTTACTAACGATATGCTCAATATCGCGACTAATGTTAGGCCAATAAACTGTCATTCTGGCTTTAAGTTGAGTTTTTTCAATACCCATATGTGACTCGTGAAGAAGATTTAAAATCTTACTTCTCAAAGAATTAGGGACAACAATTCTATGATCTAAAAACAATAACCCGTCATCACATGTTAACCTGTCTCTTAACTGTAAATAAAATTTCACATGACTTGGGATAGTATGTCTATCGTCTGGCCAACTGTCTTGAACATATTTAACTACACAATTGAGGGTCTCGTCATTTTTTGTTGCACTTCGAATTTCAGATTTTCTAGTTTCTGAAACTTGTGCATGTTTGCTCAAAGAATGAACAACTTCTAGCAGTTTAGGATCATCATATACTTTGTCTTTTAAAAATGACCTTGAAAGACAATCAGCAACATACATTTCTTTACCTGGTACATATTTTACGTTAAGGTCGTACTTTACTAACTTAAGACGCATTCTTTGAAGCCTAGCGTTATGAATATTTGCAATATTCTTATTCATTATCGACGATAAAGGCTTATGATCAGTCTGAACTTCTACATTTGACCTACCATACACAAAATGATGATATTTTTTAACAGATTCACAGATTGCTAACATTTCCTTTTCTGTTTGTGAATAGCCTACTTGAGTATCTGTTAAGCTTTTTGATCCATACATTACAGGATGACCATTTTGAAATAGAGAAAAACCCATTCCGTGTTTAGAGCTATCACACTGTAATACTATCGGCTTACTATCATCAAAGTAAGCAAGTACCGGTGAATTACTGATTAACTCCTTCAGTTTAGCTAACACTTCCTCGTGTTTAGGCATCCACAAAAACGCTATATCTTTTCGTAACAGTTCTCTCAAAGGACTAGTAATTTCTGCCATATTTGGAATAAAACTTCTCATAAAATTGAACATTCCCAGCAACCGTTGCAATTCTTTTTTACTTTTAGGGCTTTCAAGGCCTATGATTGCTCTAATACGGTCCGGGTCTGGTACACGACCTTCTCGAGAAAATACTTCACCGAAGTATTTCACACTTTGGACTTTGTATTGAAACTTTGCTTGGTTAAACTTAACATTACATTCCCTAGCCTTTTGAATGACTTTCTTAAGAATAATATCATGTTCTTTTTCGTCTACACCAGCAATTAGGATATCGTCAAAATAAATTACAACTCCTTCAATGCTACCAAAAATTTGTTCTGTGAACTTTTGAAATATTTCTGGAGAAATATTTAACCCAAAAGGCAAACGTAGGAACTTAAATGTTCCAAAAGGGGTACTGAACGCACAATGTTCAGAAGATTCCTCATCAAGTACAATATTATAAAAGCCATCTCTGAGATCCAAAAGAGAAAATACACATTTATTAGTAAGTTTGTGTGAGATGTCTTGCATAGACGGAATCAAATGTGGCATTCGTTTAGTTGCTTGATTTAGATCAGTAGGATCTATACATAACCTAACGCTGCCGTTTGGTTTTTCAACAACTACAAGGTTACTAACAAAGCTTGTCGGATTATCTACTTTACAGATTATACCTTGACTTTCAAGTTTAACAAGAGCATCTTTAACTTTAGGTTGTACTGATAAAGGTATTCTTCGAGGCGGCTTGACCGTAACCTTACAATTAGGGTCAACGTCAAAATGACATTTGTCTTTAAATTTACCTATTCCTTCGAACACGTCAATGTTTGACTCAACGAACTTTTGTTTTTCAACGCTTATTACATTATTAATATTACTGGTTGACACTTTGTCAATTCTTTGAATGAGGTTGAACCTTTTGCAACTCTCAAGGCCTAATATGCCTACATCATTTTTAGTTTTGGTAACTACAACCTCAACAACTTCTGAACTACTTCTAGACATAGGCCTACAATTCAATTTTATTACCCCGATTGATTCTATTTTAGAACCACCATAGGCTTCAAGAGCTACTTTGGTTCGCTCTAACCTTATTGAACCATCATTTTGTTTTAACTTCTCATACAATTCAATGGGGCATGTATTTACTTCTGCGCCAGAGTCTAACTTGAACATAACTTTTTCCTGATCATTTAGGACCATAACTTCATACCATTGGTTATTTTTAGGTACTGGCAAGTTTTGAATTGAATTCAAGAAAAGACAATCACTTTCAACACTAGAACCAAGGTCTACTTCATCACATTTAACACTAGCATTAAGGCCTACTTCATTTACAATTTTACTCGAACCCACATGTGGCTTATCATGATTAGCAACTTGAATAGGCTTACGCTTTAAGTTACACCCTACGGCAAAATGATTACTTTTGTGACAATAATTACACAATTTTCCATAAGCAGGACAACTTTTCCGGCCATGGGTTAAACCACACTTTTTACATAGATAACTATCAGTTTTACAATTAGGATTAGGTTTATAATTTAGGCTTGAGTTTTTATTAGGTCCACTGCAGTTACTAAAGTTAGGCCTACCGGTACTTGACATTTCATGCTTCGCAGAATGTCCTGGACGACTTCTCACTGCGTCGATTGCTGAATTCTGACCCTGCAGCTCCTTAGCCTGCTCTCTGCCCATCTCTGTAGCTCTGCATAGTTTGGCAATCTTCTCCAGACTCAAGTCTACCTCCCTAAGCATCCTTTCTTGAAGCCCTTTGTCGGCAATGCCCAGAATTATTCGATCCCTCAGTAAACTGTCCTGTTGATCACCAAACTCGCACGATTTTATCAGTCTCTTCAAATCGGTTAGAAAGTTTGTGAAAGGTTCCCCCGGTGCTTGGCTCCTCATATTAAACTTGAATCTTTCCATTACGACATTGCTTTTAGGACTGGCGTAGTCTTCGAATGCACTCATAACTTTATCAAAGTCCTTTCTTTCTTCTTCCGATAAATCAAACGTGTAGAAAAGATCGACTCCTTCTTCCCCAATTAGGTTAAGTAGCATTGCACATTTTATTTCAGAGGTCTTGGTTTCGTGTCCAGAAGCCTTCATAAAAATCGTAAAACTCTGCTTGAATCTCTTGAAGTTATCGCTGAGGTTCCCACTTAGGGACATAGGATTAGGGGGTCTGAACTCCATTTTACAGCTTAAGTCTGTAATTTTACTATATAACTTAGGTTATATTTAATAATCCTAGTGATCTTAGGTATCACTACTAAAACTTTGAAATTAGGTAGCTAAATCTACATTTCAGTCACATGGTTTTTCGAAACCTAACCTTGATGTGAGGTTAAACACTTAACTAACACATACACTGCACATCACATCGCACAATGTTCATTTTAAGTTCGTTTTTTCGCTGCCACCATGTTGGATTGTTACTGGGTATTGAAATACTCACACAGTCTTGGTTAATTCACTGGATTTATTATGATTAGTTTACAGCACATGACAGTCACAATATAGTCATAATATAGCATAAACGGAAGTGGTAAGTGGTTGATGTTCAATCTACAATATCCAAACAGTGTTACCAACACAAGACAACAAATCACATAGCCTAGCTAAGACAAAGAATAAATATAATTAAGGTATATAACACTATAATACAACAGACGAGGCACCTTTCCATATTTCTGGAGTGGTAAATAAGCAGAATATGCATTATTTGAGTGGTTCTAACCCTAGGATAGTTCATGAGAGGGCCTTAGATGTCTTGAGGGGTGCAATTCACCTTGGACTTGGCCGCTATTCACAAAAAGTGCTTCACAGTTTATGATTCACAGTTATGATGAACTTCAGAACTAGACTACAGCAGTGTATTGACAATGAGAGACACCATTTGCAGGATGCACTGTTTAAAACTTAATAAATGTATATTAAAACAAACTCTCAGAAGTAAACTTTTGATCCCAATATACAGTTTAGTTCTAACATTTTTGGTTGTCATTTAATTTACCTTTAAAATTAGGGATACTTCCTGGCCCCACCGAGTACTATCTGAAATCATTGTAATTTTATGTTACTTACTTAACCACTATAGCTTATATAAATAAATAAAAGCTGTTAACAAACATGTGTATTATCTAAAAAATAAATAATCCTTTTTACTTTTTATAATGTTAGTTTATATGTCCAGATCGTTTTCCAGCCAAAAACTCGGTCCCATGGAGGCCGGATATAAGGGGTTCTGCTGTATACAATTACGGCTGTTAAGTATTATGATTTTGGAATCCTACCCCATAAAAAATCGCCAAAATGACCTTGATTCTAAAGCAAAATTTTTTATTAACGTTTGTTAATGTTATAGGGACAATCTAAACACAGACATATTTGGTGCCAACCTGTTCAATGAGTGCTTGATAAACAAGAAGAGCACACTTCCACCAAACATGAACATAGACAGAAGTGGCTTTAGTAACCCAAATATCACCGAATGCGTCAGTGTTCTAGTCAAGGTAATGTATTTCACTCGTTTACAGTTTCAAAGAAGCTTAAGTAAAGTAAAAACTATTCTTAAAATGTATGATAAAGATTTTTTTGGCAACTGTGAACTGTGGTGAATCTGCTACACCAAGTTATAATTGTGTTAGTAAAAATAAGTAAAAGAAAAATAACTATACATTATACAAACAACAGTTATCAAAGTAGTTGATTAGCAGATTGAATTTAAAGTCAAATCTTCTTATTCTAGGATTTATCAGAGTTTATTGTATGTATAAAGTCATTTTCTAGGCTTGGATCACCACATCACTATCATCAGGTACGTGTTATTAAATTACCTGAAAGTACAAAAATATGTAAAATAACAAGTCTTGTTATAATAATATATTTACACTTATACTTTTTACTCACAAGACGGTAAATCCATAAAAAATATGGTAAGTGGTGATCAATTTCGATTAGACACTCCAATCATCATCAGGGCCAATAGGCGAATATTGTAATCCATCCATCACCACTTACCATCTTTCATATGTATTTACTGTCTTGTGAGTAAACAGTTTAAGTGTATAGTTATTTGTGCAACTAGTGAGCAAAGGGAGCAATTGACTCACTCGAGAGAAATACTTACTCACGAGCCGTAGGCGAGTGAGGAATGGTTTCTCGAGTGAGGCAATTGCACTTTGCACTCGAGTTGTACATTATATTTTTCCTACAGATACCATAAAACAAATAAATTGGTAAAGAAACGTGACATATTTTTACACAGAAGTGAACTTTTAATATGGCATTTAATGATACAACAGAACAACAGCTGACCAGCTGATTTTCAGCCAGTGCTGCCAACGTATTTCGTGCGCATACGACCTTGTCTGCATGTTACGCGCTCACTATTTTGTGCCTTCATGTTGCAAATCTGGAGTGAGACAAAGTAATTAGAGTGAGACAATGTTAACATTGTCTCACTGATGAGCGAATTGGCCACTTTGCTTTCTCAAATCAGTGAGAGAACATGTAAATTGTTAGGTAACTGTAGGAAAAATATATTATTAAGCCCTACAAGTGTTAATTGACACATTTTGTACTTTAAGACATATAAATAGAAAGAAATATTGTTCTTCTGTCTTCAAACAGCAATCTTCCCTTGGTAACTAAATTTTTGTTGACAGACTGGAGTGTTTTCCAATGAACTGTCAGACAGTGAGTTAGATCATGCTCCGAGGGATTTCCTCCACTATGGCAACAAGTATCGCCAACCCTCCTTCACTACTCAGGATGTAAACGAAGCTATAGACAAAATCTTTCAGTTGGAGGGCTTTCATTAAATGTAGTTTAGTTTAGTGACTGTTGTTTATATAATATTTTTATTTTGTATACATATTTTTATTTTAACATCATACATTCATGCAAATCCTATTCTCTTGACTCAGTTTAGACTGTTACCTAGGTAGACAATCCACAATAGGTTGATGCCTGATGGGGTTTGTATTTGCTAGGCGGGTGAAATGTTTCATGATAATTTTTGTCTTGATATAAAAAGACTGCTGAAGTGAAATTACATGAAAAAATCAATGAAAATTAAGCCTTTTGAACATTTAATACTGGACATAGCTGTCAATGATAGTTTGGCTTTTAATTAATGATCCTGGATAATGTTTTAAATTTATCAATTAATAATCAGTTGGTCTGAGTATGTAACAAAGCTACATCTCACTCCATTTTATATCTACCTTAATCAAACACACCCTCATTGTCTGTCTAAATTGATTAAGAAACCGATCAATGTATCAAAATACATTGCTCATTGAAATTAATTGATTATAACTATATCATCTTGATATCGTGAATGACCGTAGACATTGGACAAATTGAGCAATAAGACTCAATGTTACTCTAAAGTTGATTCTTGGTGCGATATAAGTAATGAATATTGTGTCATGTCAATTGTAAGAGAAGTGGTTATAGGGTAGCATAAGACATTCTTTTAGGTACACCTAGTAGGCTATATTTGATCAAGTCGAAAAATGTGAATGATCATATCATGGCAAAAATAAATATTTGATAATATTTACCAATTCCAATTTTAGGTTTTTTATCTTATTATGGATCCCATCATAATCCAAATAATTGAATTCATTCTCATAGTTTGAGTTTTTTTTATAGTATTTTGAATCAAATTGATATCTTTGATATAGCAATATCATAGAAGAAGAATTAATCTCTTATTTTAAAATTTAATTTAATTTTTGACACACAAGTTGTATCGTGGCAGAAGCATGACTTGACCAGACTAGAGTTATGCATCTGTATCTGTTGCCAGAATGATCATGTTTTCTTCTTTGCTGAACATTATATTTTACCAGGGTTCTGTTTAAAAGAGGTCTATTCGACTGAAGCATGCTTTTATGTGTTTAATATTTGCACTTTATCACACCAGGGTACAAACATTAATATTCATAAATAGATTGATATGTTTAGTTAAAAGTGTTTTGATGTTGGGGAACCAGGAACAAATAGTTAATATAAAAACACTGCTCAAGTTAACTTGGTCAGAAAAATCTACCATCTTGCAACAATCCTTAAGTCAATGATCCTTAAACTTGCATGATACTGGGAAAATCAGTTTAAAAAATACAAATAACCTTCTATTCAGAATAATTGTATTATATATTATTATTTAATATTTTATTTGTTTATTTTTAAATCTTGTTATGTAGTTAATTAACTAATTAAGTGTTTTCGTATACCTAAGTCTCTGTTGTGTAGATAATCAATAATTATATATTTAACTTTGAAATGTAAAAATGCCCATTGGTATTGGCAGTTACATTTCTATTGTGAAGGATAAGATTGTTATCACCAAAATCAGATCAATGTAGTTTTAATTAAAGTTAGCCAGCTCTTAATGTAGTTAACTGCTGTGCCTGTGACACTAGAATAGAATTGTGTGGACATGAGCTATCCAACTATTTTATGTTGCCTTTTTAACCAGTTTCATTCTTGGTTTAACCATTGTTCATTCTTGATTTTAACTTACAAAGTAAGCTGTTATACAGTAAAATTTTACTGTACTTACTTTTAAGATCGTGTATATCCAATGTTTTTCACTAGTTAATTAGTTTGACAAATCATTAGCCAATCTTATCAGCCAAAATCTGTTTACAAGTACTATATTGCAGTATAGTAAAAGCCTGGGTGAAAATGTGTATTGTCAGACGTTCAAGTCTATTCTAGTTTAATAATTGTATTTATTTAGTAATACTTTAAAATAAAATTGTATTATTTGTTAACGGATCGAATTTAATTGTTATTCTTGTTGAAATGTTTATTTGTTATTTCTGTTTTAATAGTAAATTTTGTGATCATAGGGTAAAATGTAAGATATTTTAATTTTGTTTAGTGTTGTGGAAAGTAGTTTATGAAAATGTATGCTATATCATATTTATTAAAACACTTAATGTAAAGGTTTTCAAAATCTAATGTGATGAAAGTTTTAATGAATGATGTATCTGTATATTTTTCAAAAATCATATAAATAAAACATTGTATTTTTAAAATAATTTATTCCTTTCCCTTGATTACCTGAAATGTAATAGGTGGGACCTAACATTTGAAACTTAATAAAATTTGTGTAAACGTGATTTTCATAAAAAACAAAATCATAGACATTTACTGAATTTTATCAAGTACAATGTAAGTGGCATTTTGACATCAAGACTATCTGGACAGAATAAATAAATAACCAAATCAATTTTCATCACAATTACTGGTACCTACTGTAATTGTTCATTCTAGTTAAATAGCAAAATTCAGTAGGTAAGACCTACTGTACTCAGTTCATGCTCACCCTAAAATGAGTTATCAATACAGTTTTTATGTAACATTGGACACTGTCTTTAACATGATTAAATGCAAAGTTTTGGAAAATACCCTTAATCTTTTGTTTCTATGACAATGATGATGTGATTGACAACATTTCACCTTGGTTTCATAAGAAATATTATACCCACTCTACTACTATCTACCATTGACAAGGTAAACAACTACTTGACTTTCTATCTCAGCAACTAATCAATCAGCTTAGAGATTTGGAGTATAGTAAGTTGAGGAGGTAGCAGCGATAACCACTAGTCTGTTAGAAGAGTTACAGACAAGGGCTGAAGGTGAAGGAGTGTGATAAAAAAAAACACCTAAGAGTGTCTTGTAGAAAATTTAATTATTGACTATGAAAATTCTTTCAAATCTTTTTTAGCTCCTACCGTTTTCGAGCTATAGCAGTAAAAAAACGTGTTTCTAAAAAAAGGGTACCGTATTTAAGGGATTTCTTTTGGGGGGGGGGGGGTTGGTTGAAATTTTTAAATGTAATTTTTTTGGGGTTTGGGACCGAGACGGACCTCCACAAACATCTACACCATCATGGTTTGACCAAACAGCATCAAGGATATGTTATGTGATCACATTTCCAAAACAAAAATTCAGTAATTTATGATGATTGAGATAATTTTTCTGACGCTTTTTGATTACGTGCAACAATACTGTTCCTAGTGCAAACACAATATAATTGTCAAAACCGACGAGGATCATCAGTAAGGACACCGGGAGGAAAATGTTGGTCAGATCACGGGTTCAGAAAGTCAACTAGACATTCGCCAAATGCTTGCGCAAATTACTCCCAAACCATTTGGCGACATAAGTGTGTATTATTCATAATATGCTTCTTTTTTGTAATTGGTACATCATAATTTTGTATGGATGAAAACACAATTCTAATTTTAGAATTCTTCTCAAACTTTGATCCAACATTCCTAAAGCAACAGCATGCCTCCCAGCATGTCTTAGCGACTTCTCAACCACTGCTCTGACCAAAAACTGCATTCATAATTTCACCTCGATCACCGAAGACGAAGATGATGTCTCCACGATCGCGCATGATTTTCACTATTTTGCTGAGAACGTAGAAGATGTTCACGATCACGGTAAATGTCAGGGCTAGAGACAAGGCCTAGGCCACGCAAGCTCAGAAAGTGATGCCAGGTGGCTCCCCACCACTCCGCCGCTGTGATGTCACAGCGATACCTCGAGCTCCCGGCACCGTATAGCTTTGCATGTGTGAGTGGTGGTATTGCCGCACATTTAGTGTCGAATAAGCTCTATGTTAGACATTTTTTATTAGGTTTTACTGTATTTTATAAAAGTAATTGATTTTCAAATAGGATTACGTATAACAACAATTTTAATAAATAAAAAAATTAACTTTAGTTGATATTAAAGGATGGGAGTGGACTGTAAAGCGATGGCTAAGAATACTGTAGTTATTGATCCAATGTATAAGTTACTGTGTAATGTCTGTGTTCGTATTGCTCAAATGTATCTTAATGTATGGATTTTTAATTGTATTTATTTATTATTTATTCATACCTTTTAGAATTCATTGAGGTTATATAAAATACATTGAGGTTGTATACAAATACATTAGGCCTATACGGTACTTAGTATTTTGTAACTTTTACAAGAAGGAAAAGAATTATTTCAATTTATCAATTACATTTTACTATACATATTTCAATCAATTAAAATAGAGTTGCCTGACTAACTAACCTCAATCTGACAATCTCTGTTGACCAATAACTAACAAGTCGAGTTTTGGTGTGATTTTACTTTATCAGTTTACATTATGATTATAAGTTGTTAAGTTGTAAATGTTTAGTTTCGATATTATTTATTGTGCCTCGACTGAAATGTGACATTACTTTTAGTTAGAAACTTGAAACACTATTTTTAGCCGGTTTTTGTGAACTTCATTGACTGTTTACCAACAACGAATATCACGGGTGTGTCTTTATCACTTTAACCATATTTATTATTTGTAAATTTGTACATATTTAGTTTGTAAACTATTTTATGTGGATATACTTATTTAATTTGAGGTCTGGGACATTACATTCAGCCCGTTTTTGAAACATTTGGTCATAATGAACAAACAATTTGATCACAAAATGAAAAAGAAATAAACGGTATCAGCATTCTGACACATACTTTCTCCCATAAGTTTGTCAACAACCTTTATCATGTGTAAGCGGTGAGAGTAAATATACGGAAATGGGATTTGTAAGATTTTCTTCAGAATTTAAAGGACTATAACATACTAAATTTTTATCAAAATCGTTCGAGCCAATATTGGGAAAATATGATTTTCCGTTATTTTATGGGGTTTTTATGGGGAAATAACATAATTTACAATAACTTTTGAACCGTAATTTTTACAGAGATGGGATTTGTACCATTTTGTTCAGAATATAAAGGACTATAACATACTAAATTTTTATCGAAATCGTTCAGGCCATTTTTGGGAAAATCTTTTTTTCCCGTCATTTTATGGGGTTTTATGGGAAAATATCCATTAAAAATAAAAATTTCTAAGAAATGAGAAAAACTATCAAAATTGTAAGGATCATAACATACTATGTTAAATAAAAACGGATTTTTTTGTCTAAAATCCTATTTTTCGTTATTTTATGGGATTTTTAAGGGAAAATAACATAATTTACCATAACTTTTGAACCGTAATTTTTACAGAAATGGGATTTGTACCATTTTGTTCAGAATTTAAAGGGCTACAACATACTAAATTTTTATCAAAATCGTTCGGGCCATTTTTGAGAAAATCAGATTTTTCCAGTTTTTTATGGGTTTTTATGGGAAAATCCCCATTAAAAATCAAAATTTCAAAAAAATGAAAAAAACGCCTGGAGATACCATGGATTAGAACCTACATACCAAATTTCATCGAAATCGGACCACAGGTGTAGTCTCTAGCTCTGTACACATCCAGACACACAGACACACAGACACACAGACACACAGACACACACACACACACACAGACATCACTTCGAAAACCACTTTTTTGGGTCCAGGGGGACCCAAAACGAATATATCCACTCAAAACTCAAACTCGAAAATTTTGACGAAAACAATACTTTCTCCATATACTATGGTATAGGGGGAGAAAGTAAAAAACTATAACTATTGTAGAAAAAACGATCAAATATTTATTTACGTATATTTGTCTTTATAACTATGTATATTCATGTAGAGGAATAAGTTTACTTTCATTTTATACAGTTGGTATGTGGGGTTTATGTGTTTGAAAAATAATATACATGTGTGAATAACAAAATGTTTTTCTAGACAAATATTAACATTTATTAAAAGTCATGAACATTTATTGAAATGATCATTTTACATATACAACTCTTACTTCATTTTTTCTCCAATATTATTGCCTAAAAATGATAACTTTTACTTTATCTCTTGATAATACATTAATTTGGTTTTTGTGAAATTTGTAGTGCAACATCGTGAAACTTGTCATTTTATTGTTTTTGGACCATAACTTTGTATAAATGGTAATTGGAATCTTTTTACATTTCCATGTAGGGAAATAAATTCTAAACTATTTGTATATCTTGAAGTTTACATGCACAATTTTTTTTCTACCTACTCACATTTTCATTACAAACACTTCAAGTATACGGTTCAATAGGTTTGGTCTGTTGGTTTAGTTTATATGAATTTTCAAAAATATGACTGCAAAATTGCCAAAAATGCCTTGCCACTACAGAGTTTGCCCATTTCAAGTTGGAGGGTTAACGATACCCGCTTTAAAGATAACACTATAAAACTACATTATTATAAACACAATTATTAATATGCAATAGATACCGGGCGACATATGCTATGCACTACCGTGCTATTCTACCGTGCGCCACGCGCCGATCTATCTGCACTTCGTCACTGAGGAGGGGAAGTAGGACGGCGAGTGAGCCATCCCTTATATATCTCTAGCCCTGGGTAGATGTCTACGATTTTACTGTGACCGCAGAAGACGCTTACTACAATTTGGCCATGATTTAAGATTTTCTATAAACCGATTGTATAGTATATAAATTAATATATGTATTTTAAATTAATTATTTCCAAAACAACCTGATTTTGATCCGAATGCTCGAAGGTCAAGAATTTTACTCAACCCGAAAGAAATGAAAAATTTCTGGCCCCTACCTAAGACCCCTAATATTATTTTTTTTTTATCAATAGACTTACTTATTAGCTAGTCTCCTAGGTATTTTTGCCGATCGGATTGTTGGAAACAAAAGGTCAATTCATCGTGTTGGTTGAAGCAATACCATGGTGTATTCCTAAACCCTTAGGTTCCAACCTTTGAATGATCTGAATTTAAAGGGGCCTCTCTGGTAGGAGCCGCAGGGGGCTTCATTGATTCTAAATACGGCCCTGATAGTGCTCCAATATATCGAGCAGAGCTCAAAGTATTCACCAATGGACATTTTGTGGTCTGGAAATGGAGGAACATGGCAGCTAAATCACGGTTGTCGTCTGCCAAGCAAAAGAACATTACTGACTTTTTTCATCGTATGTAGTTAATAAAGTGAAGACCAATAATGTTTTGTCTGATGTATGTTTTTTTTATTTGTGTATATGATGTTATAAGACCTGCCATAAAGTATAATCAGGTATATAAATTTTCTTTTTTATAATTTCAATACAGTAGGCTTACCTAATGTTTTCTTCTTTACAGTACCGTATTTTACTTGCTTTGCTAGTTCCAAAACATATTCTATATGCTAATTATGGTTATGTTTTCTTATAATCTATTGGATTAACAATTTTTAAAGTTTTATTGTAAGTAAAAAAAACTCCTCTTATAAACCGACCTTTTTTGTGTTCCGACCATACTCCTGGTCAGGGTCGGATTAGCGAGGTTGTACTTTACATTAATTTTGTACTGAACAGACACTATATTTAAGTCATAAGTTGTAATAATGCAATTTACACTATCATTAAAAGACTTGGGAGAAATCTTATTGAGCAATCTACAAGTAATGTACACTAGTGAAATATATTGGTCCATTTATGCATTTACCGCAACCATATCAGTGCAACACTAAAAATTCAAAGTATTAACACTGGATAAGTGAAGATAAGCACATGTAAACCACAACCTTATACAGCTAACAAACACGCTGGAAAATTGGTGTAGTAATATTTCCAAACAAAAAACCTTAATTGGTTTTTTTCAGAAATTAACTATAGACTAGGTGGGTAAAAGGAGGAAGAGATAAGACAGTATTCTGAAAAAGAGATAATTTAATAGCTAGCCAACAGTCATTTTAAATTAAAGTGAGCATTACAATTTACAGATCATAACAATACAAAACATTAAAGAATAAGAACTGCATTGGTAAGGAGTGAGATTCACTTGGTAGAAGATTTAAACTACTACATGAACAAGTGTTTATACATCGGCTATGAAATATTGTCTTGACAGACAGTGGTATCAGTTCTCATCTAGAAATTACGATAGGTTCTAAATATTACTTTTTCATGGTTATGACGTGGTTTGCATTTAGTAATTATATATCATAGTCACATCAATAAGATTAGTGAAAATGTGGAATGTTACACTCTTAACAACACGACAACCGAGTCAAACTTAAACGTAAAAAAATAACACCAATACTTGCAAAAAAAAAAAAAACATGGTTAGCCTAAAATCTCAAAGCAAAGCATTAAATTTGAGTCCTTTTCTGTTAGTATCAATATTTCTGAAAAATTATTTAACTATATATTTTCAGCACACTATCAGAACTGAAAGACATCCTAATATTTCACTCTTTCTTAACTGGCCTGAAAATCAATTCTTAATTCTGACTCCATGGATTCTAAAATATAGAAATGGTATTTAAAAATATACCAGACAAAACGAGTTACATACTTTATTTTGTACTGAACAGCCACTGTATTTAAGTAATTTGAAATAATACAGTTAACACTAGCATTAAAATACTTGGGAGAAGTCTAACCAATCATGGTTTTAGATATGTGATGTATATATCTTCCCTGAATTATTATGCGAACAGTTATGGCTTCGACTCATGACCTTGAACACTGTAAACCTCTTTAAAAAAATTCAGAATCTTCACAGTTTATAACCAGTATATTTTCAACTCTCTAAACTACATCAATCAGAATACCAATCTTTTTAACAACAGAACTACCATACACCAACATCGAACTCGTAAAGCTCAAAATCTGGAAGTCCAAAGATGCAGGCTGAGTAAAACACAAAAATCTTTTCCAATTGTAACCATAAAACTGTTCAACAGCCTCTCAGCTGACGTGAAAAGCCTCCCAACTTCAAATTTCAAGAACCACATCATACAGGAACTTTTAGAATGGCCAGTATACTCCCTGAATGATGCAGAAGATATCCCACTATTCACGGGAAGAAATAGCCGAAAGGTATCTGACATAGTCAATCCCACAGGCTGGGTCAAAGACAAAGACCTCAAGTATCAAGTAAGTAACTTGACAAAATTCATAGGCAAGGACTTTTTTGAGAAATTTCTTACAAACTTTACAATATATATATATAAAAAAAAAAAATTAATTTACAATTATTCACAAGGCTCCATGGTTATGATGCCCCAAAAATCCCGGGAGTAGCAATCACAAGAATCAATGGAATCAGAATTGGCATTGGTCTATCAATTCCAAAATCGTAGATCGGCCCATTAAATTAAAAATAACGTAAAAATAGATAAGTGTGTTGCATCAAATCTGAAAGACTTAGGAAGTTCAAATTTAAATACAGTTTTACACATTAAGTATAGTTAAACAAGCATTTTAAACACAATTTGCACCACACTGCTTTGGAAATCCATAACATTTATTAAATAACTTCTTACATTTGCCTATTGGGTCTGATGATGATTGGAGTGTCCAATTGAAATCGATCACCACTTACCATCTTTTTTGTATATTTACCGTCTTGTGAAAAACAGTATAAGCGTTAATATATGTTTTAAATGTTATAAGACATTTCTTTTATTCACTTTCCATAAGATTTATCTAAAAATTTACTGTTTCATATATTTCATTTGTTTTTCCATTTTATAAACATACCATATGCAGCAAACACGTTTAATAATTATTATTTATTAATAATTATGTAGCCTATCTAATAAATAAAAAAAATAAATATCTCTGAAAGATTGTTTGACTATACACTACATGTTTTACTATTTATTTATGTTGATGTAAGAAAAAAACCTTGAACTCAGCTTAAAGAATTTATTAAAATAGAGTATTAAGCATCCTGATTATCAGTATTAATGTAAACTCATACAATATAAAACACTTAAAATTAGTTCCCATTATTTAATTAAGCCAGAAATTGAGCAATCTTTAGAAATCAAAAATACCCCCCGCCGCAGGAAACCTGCCGACTAAGCGAATTTCCATTTGTCTGAATAGATTTTCAATTAAATCCTAGGTTTGCTGCTACAAGGAAACTAATAAAGTGTATTTTTTAGTAAAATATTAATAGCTTTAGTATAAAATGAATAAATTTGCCAGGTTTGATCCATATATATCCGTAAACAAGCAAACTACAACTTTTTAAGCTCTTTAAAAAGGTCCAGAGAGAAATTGTGAATTTTTTTTTGAGGTTCAAACATGAGAAAAATCATTCATTCAAGTTTATCCCGCCTTACACCTTTAAACCAAATTTCATCAAAATTGGACATAAATCACTCAAGTTATCGCGTTCACTGACGTATATATATATATATATAAATAAATAAATATATAAAAATTTGAACGAATGGTGTTTTTGGCGTCTGGGGTCATCAAAATGAAAAAGTAAATCGGTCCCGGGCCTAGGTCTTACCGTGCCACCTACAACTAATTACAATAATAATATAACTTCCTGATAGGGAAATTCGCTAAAGGGCTGAGATAAATGAGATTCATTTGGACAATCATAACAAAATTTCCAAAACAGAAATTAAGAAGCTATTAAAATACATTTTCACAATTTTAAAATATAGTATATACATTTGTGTGAGTGTTTCACATTGCTCATAAATTCTACTGTAACGGTGCTGAAGGACTTGAAACCAACTCAGAATGAGTAACTCGATGAAATGTTATTGATGAAATTTACAACGGTTTAATTGCAATTATTTAACTATACTTATATTTTAATACTCCTAAAACCATACAAAATTAAGTGAAAATACATATTCAAAGAACCAGACAAAAATACATTGGTCAGAACTTATCATGTACTACCTCTGCAAAACAATTGCAAAGAATAACAGACAAAAACAAATTCGTTTACACAACCTAAAATAATAACAATGCAGTACAGTATCTATTAGCGGCCAGCTCCCCACTTTTTCAATTTTACACACCTTTCTCATTTACTGCAAAGCTATTCCATGTGGTGTGAAAATTAATGAATTATAGTAAATTGCACAATATAGTAGGTACTTATTAAAAATAGTTACAAATACAAAATATAATTAATTAATTATACAAAGTGCCCTGATATTTGCCGATTTCTAAGAATTTATGAACTATGTTTACTGTTAAGGAAATAGAGGATAATTTAAGGCCCCATATAGTAGATATCACAAAGAAAAAATACAGAAGTATTAACTTAACATAGAAACAAATTTCCTACTAATAACAATCTTCAAGAAACGAATCTATTTAACAACTAAACACAGACAATATATACAACATATTACTTAAACTTTTTATCGATATAAACATGGTAGCGCATACTCTTATTTAATCATGCTAGGTAACTATAGGTGTCCTTCTGGCCTTCAGTTCTTTCTAGATACTCTTTCTCAATCAGTATGTCGATGCATTTCTAGAACAAACATTTACCAATCAACAATGTATTCTTCGAAAAGAAAAACTATTAATACTAAAGGAACAGTATTTAAGCAACTTACTATCTATAAGTTGTTTGATTGATTAAAATAATAAAAACACCTGGTAATTTGTATTGCTTTGGTGTTGCAAACAGGTGCAATCAATTTGCATGCTTGCTGAGTTTTGCTTTATTCTAAAGATTAGCATCATCCTAGATGGTATAGATCTAGAAGTATACATAATTCATGTTATAAATATTTATATTTTATTAGGATTCCAACAAACGAATAAACCAAATTATCAATGTCCTTACAATCAAGAAGGCCTAGGAAAAACAAAAAAACAACCATGATGTCACCATTGAGACTAAGCCATGTGAATCGTTAGCGTTAGACATCATAATGCAACAGATTAGTGAACAGCTACAGCTTTCTATTCCTTGCTTGATATGTGATAAGGGCAATGAGGCAAAAACAAACTTGAGTTGATTCTATCCAAAAGTAATTCACATTTGAAAGTTTCATTTTTTTATTTTTGTGCAGGGTAAAAAGGTTTCTATTGGACCACTTTCCTTAGAGTTGGTCCTTCCCTGAAAGCTTGTTATTTCCTACACAGGTTGAAAATTATAAAATATTACCCCTCCATGGCCGAAAATTCCGAAATTGTACTTATTGTACGGAATTGTACGAATTGGAAATTTTTACTTTCTGAAAATATTACCTATAGCAGTGTTTCCCAACCGGTGTGCCACGAAATTTTAAGTAGTTAACATTTTTTTTATCTCATAATAGACGTGTTTTAAGTGCGGTTGCGCATTCATGACAGCATGTTCTTTTGCGTACAATTACTTGTCAGTGTTGAATCTATGAAGTCATGCCCCAACTTCCACTCCTAACCATTCACTACGTTTCACTTCTAACATTAACTAATAGTTCGAATCTTTGCCGGTAGAATTCGGTAGCGCACGGCATATCTGCCTTCCAATAGTTCAATAATCATCCACTAGTAAGCGCTAGGCGTAGAGAAGCGATAGCATAGCAACAGAACAGAATACTCTTTGTCAGTTAACCTGTCAGTGCTAGTGTTGTTTTGTACGTCGTTAGTATTGATTTTGTGTGACATGGATCGTTATTCAACAAAGAAAAACGATGTTAGTACCTGTTCTAACTCAAGTGAACAGACTAGTAGTGCTGACGTTAGTGGAAACAAAACTGTTATGGCAAGTAGGCCTACAAAACGAAAACATAACGAACGTAACGATGGTGGATCGGTTAAGTTTCGTCAGTACCATGACAGCTACTTTTCATTCGGGTTTACGTCGTCTGGTGGAGAAGAGCCGAAACCCCGTTGTCTAATTTGTAGTGACCAGCTGGCAAATGAAGCTATGGTACCAAGTATGTTGAAAAGACATTTAGTTACGAAGCATGCTTTTGCTGCTGAAAAACCGGTTGAATATTTTAAAAGACTTTTGTTAAATCAATCCGCACAGGCTTCAACATTTACAAAACTCTCTTCTGTATTGGAAATAGCACGGGAGGCCAGTTACGTTGTAGCTGAATTAGTTGCTAAAAAAATGAAATCACACACAACAGCTGAATCAATAATTTTACCAGCTTGCTGTGAAATTGTTAAAATTATGTTTGGCGAGGAATGTGAAAAAGAAATTAGGAAAATCCCATTGTCTGACAATACAATAAGTAGGCACATTGAAGACATGTCCAAAGACGTTGAAGCTCAAGTTATTGAAAAACTTAAAACAGTAGATTTTTTTGCTCTTCAGTTGGACGAGTCCACAGATATAACCGGGAAACCTCAGGTTCTAACATTTGTTAGATTTATTTGTGAAAGTGAGTTAATTGAACAGTTTTTATTTTGCAAAGACCTTCCTGGAAATACAACTGGACTAGATATTTTTCAGCTAGTGAACAATTATTTCTCCGCTAATAGTTTGTCATGGCAGAATTGTTTGAGCGTTTGCACAGACGGTTGTCCTGCAATGGTTGGCCATATAACAGGTTTCTGGCCTTGGTTAGGAAAGAAAATCCTGATATTATTTTTACACATTGTTTTCTTCACAGGGAAGCTCTAGTTGCCAAGTCTTTGGTACCTGAGCTGAATGAAGTTTTGCAAATTGTTATAAAAATGGTTAACTTCATCAAGAGTAGCCCTTTGAAGTCCAGGTTTTTTGACAGTTTGTGTTCTGCTATGGATGCTGAGCACACCCAGCTATTACTACACACAGAAGTGAGATGGTTATCACGAGGACGAGTCCTTCAAAGATTTTATGAACTTAGAGATGAGTTATTGATATTTTTTACTTGTGAAGAATCTGAGTATGCTGATTTTCTTAGTAATGAAAACTGGTGTGCGAAAGTAGCTTTTTTGGCTGACATATTTGGGAAATTGTATTTTTTGAACAAAGGCATACGAGGAAAGCAAGAAAACATTCTCACTTCCACTGACAAAATAAGTTCTTTCCAGCAGAAGCTTTCGATGTGGATAACTAAAATTGAAAAACATGGAACCTTGGACATGTTTGAACTGACAAAAGATTGTGACATTGACTCAACTTTTTCCGAGCTAATTTTGAAAAGTCTGCGTCTGTTTGAAGGAAATATAAAAAAGTACTTCTCATCCCTTGATATTTCCTCAATGGACTGGGTGAGAAATCCTTTCATTGAAACTGCTTACAAGACTGCAGTGTTTACGACTGATGAAGAGAGTGAGCTGATCGACTTAAAAAATGATCGTGGTTTAAAGCTACAGTACTCCTAAATAGTTGAAGATGCGGAAGCAGAATCAAAACTGAAGAAAACCAAAGTTAATATTGATATTTCATCTTTTTGGATTCCTTTGCTAAAGGAGTATCCGTTAATTTCAAAGAAGGCCATGAAAGCAATATTGCCCTTTTCTACTTCGTACATTTGTGAAGCATTCTCATCAATGAACGCAATCAAGACCAAAACCCGTTCTCAACTAAAGTCTTTGGAAGACGATATGAGAGTCTGCTTGTCAACCATTCGTCCAAGAAAGAAACTTTTAATGAACAAACGTCAAGCACAAGTTTCCCACTAGAACTGAACCAGGGTTTATTAAACATTTCTTACTCAGTATTGGTAAATTCATACATTTTAATCAAGCTTAATGTGTTATTATTATTTAAAACTTTCCATTTAATAAAAACTAAATAATGTACAAGATAACAAATGTGAGTTTTATATTTTTTACCTTGGTAAACCCATCTTTATATTATACACATATATATATTTACTAGTAAAAAACAGGTTTTACGGGGTAAGATGTAATTGAAAAAAAGAGTTTTTTATGCACTTACTAAATGTAATTTCAACCAACGATATTTTTGTAGACAAGTGTGCCGTGACTACAAACGTGTTCTAGCTAGTGTGCCCTGAATGGAAAAAGGTTGGGAAACACTGACCTATAGGTTGAATTGTAAATAATTGAGAAAACCATGAAAATACCTGTATATGACAACAGAAAATGTTTTGAAGGCTTCTGTATAGCGAATATTGAAGCGATATTGAGATTGAAAGGTTAAGTAAAGTATGTTGGTGTCCTAGACCAATGCTAGCATACCTTGGTCATCTACGCATTGGAAACCTTAAGTTGTATATATTCCTATTTTGTGTGGCTTATTATCAACACTGGCTGGTAAACAGGTTATTGGAACTAAACAAGGACTCAGACTAGTGATGGGTCAGTAACACTTTTTTAAAGTCGGTACCGGTACCGGTTCCTAGCCAAAATCGGTTCTCGGTTATGGTACCATCAGTACCTTATTTTAATTTTTTAGCATAGACTACATAATTTTTTATTTTAAAACAAAATATCCATACAGTATTTCAATTTTACAGTAATTTGCATTAGTATAGGTTGGTACAAAACTTAAGGGATTAAGAAAATAAAATTTATTCGTAAAAAAAAAACTTAAATAGACAAACACATTCAAATCAAAATAATATAATGTAGCAGAAGTGGAAACGTCATCATCGTCGATCGCGGCAACATCACTCACGGTCCTGTAGACGTCATCATTGTCTCGTCATCGCGGCAAAATCATGAACATTTCCCGTGGCCGTGTAGACATCCTCAGGAACTCCCGTGGTCACGGAAAAGTGTTCATCGTCGTCTGCGATTGCGGCAAAATCATGAACATCTTCTGCGGCCGTGTAGACAACATCATGAACTATCACAGTCACGGAAACGTCTTCATTGTCGTTCAAGATTGCGTTAACGTCATCGTCATCATCCGTGATCGCAATCTCGGCAAAATTATTTTCCATGGCCGTGTTAACATCATCATTGACTCCCGCAGTCATGAACACGTCATCATCGTCTCCCGCCATCGCGGCAAAATCCTTAACATCTCTTGCGGCCATGTAGACATCATTGTCATCTTGCACGATCGTGGCGATATCGGTAATTTTTTCGGCATTATCATTATGGGTACTGAAGGTACCCGTATCGACATTTCACCATTGGTTCTCGGTTTCGGTTTTTATATGATGTGAAGTACCGACCCATCACTAACTTAGACCCTTTTGAAAATCATACTAAGCTTCTAGATTTATTCTTGAAAGCCAATGACATGATAGGCCACGCTTAATCCCTTTATTTATGTCTATCATAGGACCTGAACTATATGCTGTGTTAAAGAACTTGCTACTACTGGATAAACCGGCAGATAAAGCTAGGGAAGGACAAAATTGTTAGTTTTGAGGGATCATTTCATTCTTAAGGAAAATGTAACAAACAAAAAGTTCATGTTGAACAAACAAACTCAGACTCAACAGAAGGGTACAATTAATTCTGAGTTGGAAACGACAAGCAACGACTGGAGGAGGGAAAAGTCAAAATCAAAATCTTTTGTTCTTTGAGTTCCGTTAGTCGAGTAAACAGTCACCAGCAAGATTCAATTGATCGATGGGTTGACCCGTTTAAGTGATCATAGTAATTTGTTATACAACTATTACCAGTGGCAGTGTATTGAGAAGTAAGGTGATTTTGAGGCCTCGTTCAACTTCGATATCACAAAAGTTTTTAGGAAATTTGTTATTGTGGGTTTGCAAACTAGTCGTTGGAATAACCAGAAGAAAATTCCCTCCCGTTTTGACAGTTATAACATAAAAAATTTTGCTGTGAAAATCAACAAAGAACGTTATCCTCAAGAAATTCAGAACATACACATCACTGAAGGCAAATGGAGACTGTTGTACGAACAGTCGGTAAGATATCGTCTGGTGAACTTTGGAGACACCAATGTGTTCGTATGTCCTTCAGAGTTCAAGAATGACTACATATCCGCTGTTGGTGATAGACACTCATCTCCACCCAATGAGCACAGATCGCTCTAGAAGCGACATCCAGATTGAGTTAGATTTCGTAAAAGCTATAGCGACCGCGCAAGTTGATGCCGGAACAACAGCATACGTAGTCGTGGTCTTTGAAACTGGATTCAGTTACGACATTGCAAGAAACATCATTAGACAACTGTTAACAATTTCTAGATCACTGTGAGAAAATAATAAAATTAAAAAAAATATTACTTTTGCTCCAGAGTGATGAGGGAAGGGGTTGAATTTATCCTCATAAGGTCCATATTGGATCCTGGAGTAGGAAATACATACATAATCTAAGTTTGGGGTTGGAAGACACCTCCCAGTTTTACTCCCATAAGAGCCCATATTGGATCCTGGAGTAGGACACAGATATACTCTACTAGTGAAAGTGCCGGTGGGTCTTCGTTACCTCCCGATTTTGACTCCCATAAGAGTCTATATTGGATCCTGGAGTAGGACTAACATATATACTCTACTGGTTGGAGGGGGGGGGTTGACATGGCCCTATTCCAAGCAGCATCTTGCAATTTCTTATCTGCCTCCCATCGGTCTTTCGGCACGCCTATGATCCCTATACCACATGTCATGTTTCTTGCACGCTTTGTCTAAGGGGTTAACTCCTTTGTCACCACGAGCCAGCCAAGTTTGAAAATAGGTAATTCTCTAGTCTGTTGGGGTCTGGTCCAGAACCAACCATTGGATGAGTGGAAGTAAATGGGTGGGAAATCCCTGGTCTGTTGGGGCTGGTCCAGAACCGGCTTTTCCCTACTACTCATGGATCATCCAAGGGGATAATCAACACATTATTGGGCTTATTATGGACTGTGTCTGCACACGTATGGGAACCCACACATGTTGAATGACCACAGAGCTACACATGTCAGTGCGACACATCAATCAATAGCCACCATATCCCCGTCAGCTGGACGGAACCAGTACCACTAATACTTGAATGCAAGGCTATGCATTGCTCGATGGCACATTCAGAGTTGATGGACAAATGTGGTGATGTCCTAGGTATGTCATAGTGTTAGGCCTACCTTGATCATGTGTACTCGTGGCTTGAACCTGGAGCTGAGCTGATTTAGCACCTCAGCCACCAGTTGCTGATGCTTCAGCATCTTCCTCATCTTCATGATCCTCACAATGGCTGCCTGAATCAGCAGTTTGCGATCCTCCTCTATGTGTTTGTGAGTCGTCTCTTGCTCCAGCTTAGTCTCAGCCTTCATCGGGATGTTTATGTTCACTCGCAGTTTCTTACTGCAAAAGTGTACATTCAAATATGAGAAAAAGATATATAAAACCAAAACATTACATTATTATATGTATTACTGGGCCCATAAAATAAATAAATGGATAAGTGAGTCGGTGGCTCAGTCGGTATCAGACAAGCTGAAATTCACTTTGTCTGCAGGTTTGCTGCGGCGGGGATATTTTTTTTTTAGATTGGTAGTTTGATTTAATGAATTCAGTTCTGACTGGTAGTGTAGTCAAAATAATATAGTAGAAAAAAAAACAACCCTTTAAAAAGGGTATCATGGATCATGATGTTTTTAGGAGGGCTTGGGGCTAGTGTCACTAAAACTGCCGCTAGAAATTATTGGCTAAAGAGCAGATGTAATGTACAATGAATGTGGAATAGTGTATAGAGATAGGACAAGGCAAAATGTTAGCAGGTTTTCCATATGCGAAATAAGCTATTACCATAGGTCTCATGGTAAGACCTGGAACCGGAACCAATTGCTTTTTCTTTTTGAGGTCCTCAGAGACCAAAAACACCATCTGTTCAAATTCATATAGGCTACATGTATGTGTGTCTGTTAGCAAAATAACTTAACTAAAAATGTTCTCATTTTAGCGAATTTCCCAAATAGGGAATATTAGCGAATTTCCCAAATAGGGAATATTAGTGAATTTCCCAAATAGGGAATAAGCTAATACCGTAGTAGGCCTACTCATGGTAAGACCTGGACCCGGGACCGATTTACTTTTTCGTTTCGAGGTCCCTAGAGGCTAAAAACACCATCCCTTCAGATTCATAAACCTCGTTTAACGTCCCGAATATAGATATGTATACATACAGCAAAATTAATAAAAATAAAAATATTTTTTTTCTTTTTCTGTAATTTATAGAATGTTGTTAATAGTTGAACTATGGAGCACTTTTGTCCAAAATATTTGTTTAAAATTATTTTATTTATTTTTTTTATAAATAACGGAGCCAAAATAGATAAGCGGATATATCCTATAGTCCGGGAAGGGTTAAGGAGTAAGCACTAAACTGAGTTCAAAACATTTCCAAAACTAATCAACCAATTCACACTAACTTACTTCTTATATCCGAAGAAGAGGGACACAGTTGACCCCAAGTGCAGGTCATTTTCATCGTCATCGCAGACCAAAAGCTTTGCCTTCACCAAGATCTGGATTACTTGGATTAAGAAGTCATGCTTGATCCGAGTAGAGTCTAAGAGTTGTGCAACGGTCCAGCTTTCACTTACGTTGTACTGAAGAAGAACTGCCATCTGGAATGTGGAAGCTTGTAATGTGTACCTGAAACATTTATGACCAAATGTCAGTTACTGTTATATTCATCCAGATACCTGTATGGGAATTAGTGGTAGTTCCTGAATCATTTGATTACTATTCTAAAATGTTGACATTGTAAAGAAGAAAAAAATATTTCCCTCTTAAATGATTTATTATTACTTTTACAAACCCTTATTTAACTCCTGATTCTTTACAAATCTGATGGTTGCCACTGGGTTGGAAGAATCAAGAGAACATTATCACAAGTCAGAGCAATGGCAGTGGAAGCTTGATGTTAAATAAAATTGAAAGTGGGCCCTGTAGAATAAAAATTATTACCAGATATCCTTAGGAAACAGCCTAGTATTGTTTATTTCTTCCGATAGTTTTTTGAAAATTCTTATAACTACACTGAATTTAATGTTACGCTACCAACACCAAAATAATGAGTTAAACTGAAAGGTATATCTTTTGTAACGTAACTTTTATCAATTACTCATTTGTTTTCTGTAATAAAAAATGTAATACTGACACTGAACTGAGAAATAGTATCATCAAGGACAAATAATTAGTGATGGACAGATCCAAGAAAATGTCGGTACCGGATCCGGATATTGAAAAATTCGGATCCGGATCCAGATACACACTGTCATAAGGGCAGGTTAAAAAACATAATTAACAGAATGCCAATTTAAATCATACTGTTTAAAATTAAATTGGTAATGTTTAAAGGTTAATATCTTATATATAGTGTAATCTCCAGTTGAGCCCATAATCCCTCATTTTTTTGGGACACTAAAACTTTTCGAAATCTTATAATGAAACTATGTGCTAAGTTTGCACGACCACCAAAATGGTATCTGTGTATATTTTACTATAGTTCGATCTTGAGTATGCTATATCGTGGTTTGTGCATGCAGCATCCAATTTATTTATGCCTGGATCACCTCTTGTTAATCTCTTCAGGTCCACAGTACTGATAGCCAGGTATGTGAAGATCTACAGGTAAAATACCCTGTGTCTGTGTACAAGAAGACTATACTGTGTTCTAACATATTAGATGGAGGAGTCTTGACTTCACCCTGTATGTACACAGAAAATCTTGATGTGTCGAATCCGGATCTCAAATCCACCGAATCTTAAGAAAAGATTCGGATTCGAGAATACAAATTTTTTCTAGAATAGAATTATAAGGCATATACTGTGACATTGCCTAACCATAGAGGTTATTGGCGTCATTATATACAGTAACTGTGTCATTGCTTGACCATAGAGGTTATTGACGTCGTAATATACAGTACTGTGACATTGACTAACCATAGAGGTTATTGACGTCGGCAATATACAGTCCTGTAACATTGGCTAACCATAGAGGTTATTGACGTCGTAATATACAGTTCTGTGACATTGCCTAACCATAGAGGTTATTGATGTTGAATACACAGTACTGTGACATTGACTAACCATAGAGGTTATTGTCGTCGGCAATATACAGTACTGTGACATTGACATTTAAGTCTTCTTGTAAACAGAGACAGATAGTCTTCTTGTACACAGTCACATATAGTCTTGTACATGGATACAGACAGCTTTGTGTTAGTAAAAAATCGGGACAAAATCGGTCTTGTACATGGATACAGACAGCTTTGTGATAGTAAAAAAATCTGAAAAAGTCGGATCCATCAAAACCGGATCCAGCCCAAGATCCGGAATTTTTTGGATCCGATCGGGTGCCGGTTCTAGCTCGGATCCGGCGTATCCGGTAGTCCTATATCCGGATCCGACCATCACTACAAATAATGCAATGAACTGGAAAATAGCAAGTGTATATTGAGCACTTTGACTTACCATAGACAATACAAATTTCTAACGGTCAAAAAGAGAACCCTTATTTTTTGTTGACCTTATACAGAATTATAGAAATATTAAACAAGAAGAGAGGATTATTTTTATTTATTTATTGGAATTATCGATGTTGCGACGAAAAGGAAACCAGACAGGGCAAAGTGAACGTTGACCCTGCCTGTTTAGTCAGTCAGTCTCGTCCTAGCCACCAGCGAAGCAAGTGACATCCTCCCCGGAGAGTGTAGTTAAGTAGTGTAGTATTACCATAGGTACACTTTACCGCTCTTACGTTCACTTTGGACATTTGATAGTGTAATATACTACTACATTGGTTTAAATATTATTTCGTTATTCGTTAAGTAAAAGAAGAATATACTTTTGTTTGCATTTTAGTTGTTGCATAGGTGGTTATTTGTAGTTTCCTTTGTTTTGGGAACCAGGGTCACTCCCCTGACACCCTGGGTCATTTCATCTACTTTATTTGCAGTTAGCTATCGAGGCACACTCCCTCGCCGTTAACACTTAAAGTTTAATCGCTCCAGGGTCGATCCCCTTACAACCAGTGTCAGTTCATCGACTTTATGCGTCGTTAGCAATCAAGGCACAATCCCTCGACGTTATCCCTCAGTTTTAATTGTTTTGGGAACCAGGGTTGCTCTCCTGACACCCAGTGTCATTTCATCGACTTTATAAGCTAATGAGGCACAATCCCTCGCCCTTAACTCTTTAAGCTTAATCGTTTTGAGGACCAGGGTCGCTTCCCTGACACCCAGAAGGTAGGAGTTGGTGATGATGAGCCTTACAGAATAAACCTTAGACTTTTGAGTCTGGACAGAATTCTGAGCCTTCTCCTACAAACAAAACTCTTGCGGGAATGTTAAGGTAAGAACAAATCTCGATTGACCCCTGGAAATTTGGTAACCCGCGCAGATTGAACTATTTAGGTCACCGATTTTGATTCTGAACACCCCACCGAAAACAACGGTCACAAGTTGTATCTACTAATGAATATTTTAAAATGTCTTTTGTTGCCGACAAAAACTGAATCTAGTTATTTTAAAAGACAATTTGTTCTGCTTCAAGTTGCGGTCATGCAACTGACAGCAGCATCAAAGGAAGGACAGTGTGAGTATTTAATAGTTTGAGACACTCTACGCCGCAAAATCCTCATTAGTCAACTGGCCAGTACTGTACTGGATCAGAAGCGAAGGTCTCGTCAGATGCTGTTTGCGCCCGTTAGGCTGGACACACAATCCTGGATACAGCCTTTTGGCTTTTATATATATCAAAAATAGATTATTTAATAATTACTGGCCTTTAGGGGGAATTGTCTAAGATCGGTATCACACAATCCTTCGACACGACTATCAGAGGTTAACCAGCAACCTACCACCATTTTTTTCTTTAATTTCACAAAGCCCAATTCAGTATTAGTGACAATTTCAATATTTATTCTTTAAAATGCAAATGAAAGGTTACATACACAATTTCTCAAAAAGGGCAGACCTCGTGGCAACAATTATTTTAAAGTTGTACGAGGTGTTAGCCTGTCCTACGTACGGGAATTCAGTAGCCTAGTCAGTTAAAACCGTGTACAATTCAGATCAGCTAGTTTACACATATAAAGACAAAGTTTCTTGCAGTTTTAATGTGAAAAATCATCTTGTAAACAAATGTTGTGTGACCAAATATGTTTTTATTCCATCTTAGGCCTATACGATATGCATTTTAAATCCGATAATCTTACAATAAAACAGCAATTCTGCAATTTTTACGATGTGAAAAGCGTTGAAGTGAGATTTGCAGCCGATTCGCACAGACGCACACTGATTATAAGTAGCCTACAGTAGAGAGAGTAATAGCATAGATAAAACAAAATAGTGACAGTGAGAAGTGTATAGACCTAGTCAACGATACCACCTTCCATAGCATATCTGCCTCTTCCAATATTATTATCACCACAATACAACTACTATACACAATTCCCAGAAGGTCTGAATAGAAACGACCTAAAATAAAACGATAGTATCCAATAAAATTCACAGTACACATAATTTAACTTTGGTGTCCTAACATCAAAACTAATAGTCACATCTATCCTTTATATCAATTTCACTGCATTAATTGCTAAATAAATAAGCGTAAACAAAGAAAAGTAAAAACAATAACAGTTTGTTTTGAAACAGCTGTTTGGTTCAAATAACATTCATTTGAAAAAAAAGAACTGGTCACATGTAGCAGGAATATAAAAAGTAAACACGCTAGTGAAGCTAATGACGTAATTGTCAATGTTTATAATCCATACCGTTATCAGTTCTATCCTTGATAATTACCCACCCTCATTCAATAAATGTACATCGCAATTTCCCATATTAGTTAGTTTAAACTACAATATATTCATAGTTGAAAGAAAAGTTATTTTCACGTTTGGGGGCGCTGATATAGGCGCCCCCAAACGTAACAACAACTGAACACGACATAAAAGGATGGTTTGTCTAATTGCAGTATCCTAGGTCAATGTTGACTTTGTGTTCAATCTATGTCATCCATCTGTTTATCTTTGTATAAAACCCGGCTGAGGTTGTGGTGGTAATTTAAAATCGTGATTCCTGATTATTCTTGATCTTCTTTTTATGACATCAATATTTCCGGGCCTAATCCAAACAAAGTTAAAGAAGACAAACATTAATTGTAAACAAAAAGCTACCATGAAGAATTAAAACATGTAAACATTGTTATTTTTCTAATCTTTCCTTGAAAAGTGGAGCAGTAAAATAACTTGCATTTATCCTTTGTTATTAAGACTCGTGTACAGAGCCTCGATTTGTACTGTGGTTTAATTAATTTTGGTTAAAACTGTGGTTTAAACTGTGGTCTAATTATCTCTACTAATCTTACTTATTTCCTATAATCAATGACAAAAATAAAATAACCTCATAGTTCCATAGTTTATATTTAACCAGCTGTTAGTTAAAACAAATTATATTGCTCTAAATCGAAGATTACAAAGATTGCTTTAAAAAATCATTCGAACATCCTAGTATTTTACTATAATTAATCTGCCATCCTCTTACATAAGAATTGAACGTATCAATGATTAGCATTACACATAGTATAAATAAGTCAACCCTAAGTATGTCTTTACATTTGTATCCAAATGCTGAATTTGTGATACAAAAGCTGAATGTTTACAGCTGTTATGTTACACAAATTATTTTATGCCAAAAGCTAGTTTAGAATCTTAGCGTCGGCTGCTAGACTTTTTAAAAATTAAAACATAATTTCTAAAAAACTGGGACCCTAAACTAAAATTATGGCTTCGACATTCCCTAGTTCTCAAAATTATCTTTCTTTCAACACAAAAATCATGAAAATCCATCGAGTGGTTGATTCAGAATCGTGAAATAAAAAAACACTGTTTCGTTTTAATATTATAGATAATACAGAACTATGGCAAGAATGTAGAACAATGTTACATATGTACAAACAGTTACTTTAGTTGCAAATGACTAGGATGTAAACAGATTTAAATTGGTACAAATAATTTTAAAATACAACAACTAACATGTGCAGCGGACAGGAATACACAATGACTGCCGATCACAAACCAATATCAGAAACAATCTTACACTAACATATAATATATAAAAAGTACTTAGGCAACATACGTTTGGACAGCACAAATACACAAAATACACAGTTTTGGGCAGACCTCCAACTACGCGAAAATGTGAATAGATTGCAAAATCCAATTTAACGTGAAATTTCATAACGGCGGTTTGCACTAGCAGGAAAGTGGAACTTCCAATTTTCTTTCAATGACTGGGTTTTGATTAAACCTGGCTAAGTACCGCAACTTTTTGATTAATTTACACGAGACCGACGGAGGCTTACCCAAACGCAGTACAATATGACACAGACACAACAAGACTGGGGACGAAGCCTGGATTTGAGGTTCCAGTTTGACTCTTGTGGCCAATCACAGGCCGGTCATTTATTTTACTGCAATTGGTTGCCTACTGATTAGCTGATTTGTTTTGATTTGTTTCCATGTTGTACAACATGGATCCTCGATTTCAGACCAAATTAAGATGCACAAAATAACTAAGGTATATAAAATCAATTAGGTCGGTGTATTACATTACTAACAAAATATGTTGGAAAATGTATATACATGACTAACATCATGTAAAAAATTATATATAGCCTAAATAATTAAAATAAATTAGCCTAATACAAAAATTATATGTAAAAATATGTGTAAAAATATCACAATAAACAGACATACAAACAATTCTCTACTCATTTAGGAAAAATTATATTTTTTATTAGAAAGTTTTAGATACAGGAATCACACAATATTTAATATTGCAAGTGTGGAAGTCGTCTGCACATTTAACCACTATTTCGCAAAGATTGGTGTAAATAGTTAGAATATGTAACAAAAGTCACGAGGTATTGAAAATTATGCCTAATGATTCCTTGATGATTTCTAGGGTTTCCTTGATTGATTGATTTCTGTATCGAAGACTTAGAGGATCAGCCCATCTCTAACACGTGTATTTAGTGATATCTGTCTATGGCTCAAAACAACAACAAAAATACTGGACTTATTACTTTGCAATTAAGGCTGCTATTCCAATAACACATGAGTGCCTTAAAGACTATCAGCTTATGCCCAATACTGCCTTATGATCAACTACAAACAAAATAGGAAGCAAACAGGGATATACTTAAAGCGTGATTTCCTACCTGTTCTTGAAGCAGTTGGTGACCAGTTCTCCTTTAGACATGTTGTACAGCCAGTTAAGTTTCCTGCCAGAATGTTGGCTGCTGTAGAAAGTGGTGAAGCGGTGCACACTGCGCTCCAGCTGTTAACCCATATTAAGATAATTACTATTCTAATTAAAGTTAAATTTTATCTATAGTCGATTCTGATTCTCGGTATTGAGGGTTTTTGGATTCCATACCAATTCAAGAATAGTATTTAAATACACATTTTAGAATTATTTTATCATTATTTATCCATTACAATTACGACAAATCACAACAATCAGGTCTACAGTATCCCTACTTTTAATGAATAAGTTCAATTTGTTATGTGAATATAATTTGAATGTTGTTATGTGTACATACCTAATCTTTTATAGCCTAAATAAAAAAAATCATTTAATTTTTGAAATGAAATGAAAAAGTTCTTCATTTAGCAAGAAAAGGTAATAATTGCATTCCACAAACAACACATTAAAACAATAGTTCCAAAACAACCAATCAATTTTATCATTAAAATTTTTCTTTTAGTAATACTAGCTGCATTCCTAGGGGTCTCAATCCCGGGATCCCGGGATCCCGAATCCCGGCCGATATTTGATAACTAGAAATCCCGGGATTGGTGACTTTTAATCCCGGGATTAACGGGATTGCAAAACCTATGTTTATATTGATTTTTTTGTGAATTTGGGGACTTTTACTTACAGAAAACTAATAAAAATAGTCCAATAACACTTGAAACGCATATACTCTTTGACGATTATATGAAATGGTATAAGTAATGAACTTTTTGATTGGAAAAATTAATTATCATTAAACTCAAATTGCGAACGAATGTAGGCCTAAATGTATGTTTCAGTTTTTAGACGATTTGGATTTACTTTCTGTAATTGTTATTACATTAGCTATAACTTAATTACAGTAGGCCTACAAGTTATACACTGTAAATAAGAAATACGTGCGATGAAAGTTCCACATGGTAATATTTATTTACTTAAAAAACGGAAACATTGCGCAGTGTAACACTGGTAAGGCCAGTTTAAAACATTAAAGTACTCAACGAGGGGACTTCTCGCTCATTTAAAATGGCTAAAAAGTTAAAAATCATAATATCGGCTTAGACGAATCCCAAAATCCCGGGATTGGATTGAAGGCGTTACGCCGGGATTGGATTGAAGGCCCGGGATTGAGACCCCTATGCATTCCTTAGTCAATTCTACTAAGTTCTAATTAATTCTAGTACCTTCTTAGTTAATTTTTTACTATTTTGTTTTGTATTCATACATTGTGTAGGTCTATCCAAATTATAATTAAATGTGTAATCCTTAATCAAAGTAAACATCTAATTATTAGAATGTTAAACAACTTTGGAATTGGCCCAGCTATTATTTGCATTTGATTAAATTGTATGTGCAAAGCAATTGCAATTCAATTCAACATAGTTGGAATATAATGTTTTATAGTAAAGTAGTGATGGGCCGATTCCTGAATTAGTCGATTCTGATTCTACAATTTTGGTTTCGATTCTCGGTTCCGCAATCGATACCGATACCTGTTATACCTGATAACACATACAACTTATGTGTGCTTCTCGCTATCCCTATAAATAAAGGAGCATGTTATTTTTATTCAATCTTTATACAATAAGATAACTTGAATTGCTATTGCTTAAGGTTACATAGATTAGGTTAGCCTTTAAGGAAAATAGGATAGGCTACTTCAAGAAGACATGCATTTTAACATATTTTATTAAATTAAATTGAGACAACAATCACCGGTTTAGGTGAATGAATGAATGAATATATAGGATTTTTTGAGAGGATAGCAGGCTTACCTGAATGGGAAGAGTCCAAACTGGCACAGGAAACACAAAACATAACTTTACACTATATACACAAAACATTAGAATATTTCACTGTCACTGACAGCATTTTCAACTAAGGAAGAGAGAGTTTTTTAGATGTCCAAAATGGTGGCCAGTGAGTTGTTGAGTCAGTGTTGCCAATAGTAGAATTCAAAAAACACATTTTCAGTTTATCTTATATGCACTATATATATATGAATAAATATGTAAGCCTGCTAGTTGGGTTGGATTTTGAAGTGGAGTGGGTTAGATGAAAGGTATTATCTAAGGTTTAGGTTTGGGGGTTGTCTAGACTTAGTAAACCATTGGTAGGACAGTTCCCATCTTCTAAGTTGTGACTGGTTACATTGAGGAGGTAGTGATTTGACTATTTTGGTTGTAAAGCAGTCATTGAAACTAGGGTTGTTGTGGCTCTGGGCATGTTGTACAACTGGTTTGTCTTTGTATCCAGTAGATACATCTTGTCTATGGCCATTCATCCTGGTTCTGAGGCTATTGGTGGATAGGCCTACATACTGTGCCTCACATTTGTTACATTGTAGTTGGTAGATAATGTTCTTCGTTTCACAAGTGTTGAAGCCTCGGATGTTGTAGTTTTCTTTGGTTGTGGAACTGGAAAATGTTTGGCTGGGTTGATTTATTTCACATGTTTTACATCTCTTGTTATCACAGGGATATGAACCATTAGGGCGTACGTTGTTTGGGTTGTTGTTGGCCGGGTCAGGAACTTTTGGGTGGACTAGTATTTTTCGGAGATTGGGTGGTTGTCTAAAAACAATGTTTGGTGGATCTTTCAAAAAATTGATGGTGTGGTTGGAGGCCTTGAGGATTTTGAAGCCCTCTTTTAAAATGCCATTCAATGAATGTAGTCCTTGGTGGTAGTCCGTGACAAGAGCAATGTTTTTGCTATTTCGTTTTTCATTATTTGGTTGTGGATGGTCTTGCGCTAAGCGGATTTGGTTCTCCACCAGCTTTCTAGGGTAACCCCTTTTTATGAATGCGTCAGATATTTTGTTATTGAACTTGTTTAATTCATCATCGTTGCTGCAGATCCTTTTGCCCCTGATGGCTTGACTGAACGGGATGGATCTTTTGGTGTTCTTTGGGTGGTTGCTGTTAAAATGTAAATACTGTAGATGGTTGGTAGGCTTGAAGTGTACACCGGTTTGTATGAGTCCATCTTGAATATTTATTTCTAGGTCCAGGAAAACTATTGTTGATGTTGAGATGTTGCTGGTGAATTTAAGGGAACTGAAACTGTTAAGGCTGTCAATAAACTGTTTTAAGGAGTCTGAGCCTGAGGTCCACAAGATAAAAATATCGTCTATAAACCGGAACCAACACAAAGGTTGTATTTTTTGTGATTGTAGGAAACACTTTTCGAGTTTCCCCATGAACAGATTTGCGTAGGATGGGGCCATCCTCGTACCCATGGCAGTGCCTTTAGTTTGTAAATAGTTTCTACCTTCAAATTGAAAATTGTTTTTTTCTAGAATGAACTTAGCCATGTTCAGTAGGAAAGAAGTTGAGGGCTTAGTGTTTTTGGGGCGTTGGTCCAGGAAAAATTCTATAGCCGCTAGTCCATGTGTAAGGGGGATGTTAGTGTACAGGGAAGTTACATCTATGGTAGCCAAAATCGTCTCAGGAGGAAGAGGTGTTGGTATGGTAGTCAGCCGTTCTAAGAAGTGGTTGGTGTCTTTAACATGTGAAGGCAATTCTCTGACAAAAGGTTGCAGGTGAGAATCTATATATGCCGAGATTCTTTCCGTGGCAGAATTGCAACTGGCAACTATAGGTCGGCCAGGGGGGGGGGGGAAAAAACGTTTTTGTGTATCTTAAATAAATAATAAATAATAAATAATAATAAATAATAATAAATAAATAAATAATAATAATTAATAATAAATAATAAATAATCTAAGATACACAAAAACGTTTTTCCACCCCCTGGCCGACCTATAGTTGCCAGTTGCAATTCTGCCACGGAAAGAATCTCGGCATATATAGATTCTCACCTGCAACCTTTTGTCAGAGAATTGCCTTCACATGTTAAAGACACCAACCACTTCTTAGAACGGCTGACTACCATACCAACACCTCTTCCTCCTGAGACGATTTTGGCTACCATAGATGTAACTTCCCTGTACACTAACATCCCCCTTACACATGGACTAGCGGCTATAGAATTTTTCCTGGACCAACGCCCCAAAAACACTAAGCCCTCAACTTCTTTCCTACTGAACATGGCTAAGTTCATTCTAGAAAAAAACAATTTTCAATTTGAAGGTAGAAACTATTTACAAACTAAAGGCACTGCCATGGGTACGAGGATGGCCCCATCCTACGCAAATCTGTTCATGGGGAAACTCGAAAAGTGTTTCCTACAATCACAAAAAATACAACCTTTGTGTTGGTTCCGGTTTATAGACGATATTTTTATCTTGTGGACCTCAGGCTCAGACTCCTTAAAACAGTTTATTGACAGCCTTAACAGTTTCAGTTCCCTTAAATTCACCAGCAACATCTCAACATCAACAATAGTTTTCCTGGACCTAGAAATAAATATTCAAGATGGACTCATACAAACCGGTGTACACTTCAAGCCTACCAACCATCTACAGTATTTACATTTTAACAGCAACCACCCAAAGAACACCAAAAGATCCATCCCGTTCAGTCAAGCCATCAGGGGCAAAAGGATCTGCAGCAACGATGATGAATTAAACAAGTTCAATAACAAAATATCTGACGCATTCATAAAAAGGGGTTACCCTAGAAAGCTGGTGGAGAACCAAATCCGCTTAGCGCAAGACCATCCACAACCAAATAATGAAAAACGAAATAGCAAAAACATTGCTCTTGTCACGGACTACCACCAAGGACTACATTCATTGAATGGCATTTTAAAAGAGGGCTTCAAAATCCTCAAGGCCTCCAACCACACCATCAATTTTTTGAAAGATCCACCAAACATTGTTTTTAGACAACCACCCAATCTCCGAAAAATACTAGTCCACCCAAAAGTTCCTGACCCGGCCAACAACAACCCAAACAACGTACGCCCTAATGGTTCATATCCCTGTGATAACAAGAGATGTAAAACATGTGAAATAAATCAACCCAGCCAAACATTTTCCAGTTCCACAACCAAAGAAAACTACAACATCCGAGGCTTCAACACTTGTGAAACGAAGAACATTATCTACCAACTACAATGTAACAAATGTGAGGCACAGTATGTAGGCCTATCCACCAATAGCCTCAGAACCAGGATGAATGGCCATAGACAAGATGTATCTACTGGATACAAAGACAAACCAGTTGTACAACATGCCCAGAGCCACAACAACCCTAGTTTCAATGACTGCTTTACAACCAAAATAGTCAAATCACTACCTCCTCAATGTAACCAGTCACAACTTAGAAGATGGGAACTGTCCTACCAATGGTTTACTAAGTCTAGACAACCCCCAAACCTAAACCTTAGATAATACCTTTCATCTAACCCACTCCACTTCAAAATCCAACCCAACTAGCAGGCTTACATATTTATTCATATATATATAGTGCATATAAGATAAACTGAAAATGTGTTTTTTGAATTCTACTATTGGCAACACTGACTCAACAACTCACTGGCCACCATTTTGGACATCTAAAAAACTCTCTCTTCCTTAGTTGAAAATGCTGTCAGTGACAGTGAAATATTCTAATGTTTTGTGTATATAGTGTAAAGTTATGTTTTGTGTTTCCTGTGCCAGTTTGGACTCTTCCCATTCAGGTAAGCCTGCTATCCTCTCAAAAAATCCTAAAAAATCTAGGCCCTTGTGCTCTATGCTACACCCTTGAATGAATATATAGTTTATTCCAAAAAGCATTGGCTACAAACAGTGATTATAAAATCAAATATACTTAACAGAGACTTATGACACTAAAAATAGTAAAATACATACAAGTTTTAATGAGCCAAAATATTCTACAATAAACAAATGGAACTAGCTAAAAGGTAGGCCTAAAATGTTCACTGAGTGAAGTTTTGTTTGCATAAGAATGTGTACATCTAGGCCTACAATGACTGTTCCATATTGCTTGAGTTATAAACATTAAGTCAATAGGCTATCACTGACATTAGCACTTTAAGAATTTAAATTGGAAATTTATTTTAAATTAATTGTTTGTTATGTCATTCCCTGGTGTTTTTATATTTTTTATTGTTTTTATCTATAAATATTCTATTTTACAATGTACCTTTTACTTAGAATAGTTACATACATTATATGCTTGTGACTTTGTCAATTGCACACATGTAAGACAATAAAAATCTTTGACTTTGATCCAAGATCTGAGGGCTAAAATTTATTACCCGACCCGATGTAAAAAGTCTGGCCTGCAGAACCCTAATGTTTTACCGTAATATATTCAAAATGAGTTTTGATGCCTTGTAAGAATATTTTTTTTAACAATACTTGTATTGCAAGAATGTCTTTTAGAACAATAATAGAATACAGTAAACCTTCAATAGTTCGACACTCGATAATTCGACACTCCTAGTTTGACACAGGCTGAGCTATTTTGTCAAGTGACAAGTGATATATTTAAAAGTTACTATTGTGATGTATGCTGACTTGAATAATAATTTGTCATTTATTGTTGACTTGAGACTTAACTAATGGACAGTGAAATTGTTAAGCTTTAAATATGGGTGATTTCTATATAACACTTTTTACTTACTTTCCTGTATATTGAACCCCATTTACTTTCGATAGTTCGACATCCCTTAAGTCCACAAACTGTCGAACTATCAAGGATCTACTGTATTTGTATGGTGCTTATTCAAGGAAGGGACATTGAATGACATACCTCGGCAGGCAGTGCAAAGTTGAATGATTGTTGGAATGGCCATGACCCTGAGGAAAGCACTTGAATGCTGAAGTCTATATCCAGCGGCTCGGCAGAGTTGCTAAGATGTTTTCTGAAGTGTTCATTGAGATCCTTAGACACTCCAATATCCTTAAAACAGAGACAGTAATTGATATTTATCAAAATTACCAAACTTATAGCATTTGAAACAGTGACTATAATGAACAAGATATAAAATAGAGATTAAAAAAAAAAAGTTCATGCTCTACCTGATTACTTACTGATTTTGGAAAAACCCCCAAAACCATCAATTAAAACTATAAATGCAAAACTAGTGAAACAATTTTATTTCTAAGCAAACAGCCATTGTCTTGTATAGCCTTACCGATTGTTAGGAGGGCTACAACAGTTAAAAGTTAGGTAGATGAGATTCATCAGGGTGTATACTGTATACTATTTTGAAAGCGATATTCCAGGGGTTTTCTTGGATTTTAAGTTTTTCAAGGTTCCCGCGAGAACCTACAGCTAAAGTTTGTTCTTATATCACGTTTGTATATTTCTAATTGTTTCAAAGTGAGCTATCATTTTCATTACCATCGTCACCTAAGGTCACGAAAACACCATCTGCTCCTGTGATAGCGTCAAAATCCTGAATATATCCATAGTTCACAGAAAGAAACATTATCATCAGCAGCATAACCCTGAAATCTCACCTAAGGTTAGGTTATCATCGTCATCCGCGATCGGGGCAAAATCCTGAATACATCCCGCGGTCGTGTGGTCATCATCATTGTCTATTCCGGCCACGGAAACATTATTATCATCATACGCCACAACAGAAAGCCACGAATATATCCCGCGGTTTTTATACATTGTCTTTTCCTCCCGCGGAGAAGGAAATGTCATCAGAGTCTTGCACAATAGCAGCAAAATCCTGGACAACTACCACGGTTTGCAGACATTATCGTCGTCTCCCACGGTCACAGAAATGTCATCCTTCCAAAAAGCATAACAGACAAGGCATCAAGTAACAAAATTAAAAATTTAATTAAAGCAGTACCTCATCGATTCGATGAGGTATAGGAAGTAATAATGTTAATTTTTAGATTGTTAATTCTAAGATTCTTTTGTTTATAATTTTTCAACATTAGTATTTGACACTATTTATGTATTCATTCAACGCAACAAATAAAGATTCTTTGAATTTAATTGAATTAAATATTAGTCTTCCACGATTTCGTGAAAATCCTGGACACCTTGAGTGAATTTATCGATTGCGAGATTTTTGCAGACGTGTTTTACAATTAATTGGGATTTTAAAAGCTCGCCTGGAGCTCGATTTCCAACTTTGTGCTCAAACTCTAAAACCTGAGAGCCAAGTTTGGCTTGGCTCAACAATCGAGCCGCTCGCTCGCACACCTCTACTGTAGTAATTAATGGCAAAGATGAAAATCCCGGAAAGGCTCCAGCAGTTTTTTCTAGGTCCCTTCAAATTAGTAGTGTGCGGATATCTGAAAAGTCGGGTCCGATTCGGTTAGCTTCGGAAAGCCGTATTCGAACCGAACACAAATTTGATATCTGACTTTATCAAATTTAAAAAATCTTTATTTGTTTGTAGCACAGAATACATACATAAATAGTGTCAACTACAGGTGTACAATAATAATAATAATAGATAGACAATTTATTTCCACGTTTTGGACTAAAAACCAAATCTTCATTCTTTCTTTTTTACTGTTTTACTGTTGCCTGACCTAAAATATTTGTCAGCTCGAAGAAGAATATATCAGCTGTTTTGCTTTACGGTTCGATTCATCTGGAATGAACAGACATAAAGCAGAAAGAACTACCGAGGTCAAATGAAACTCAACTCATGCCCAAAACAATAGAAGGGTGGGATGGGAGGGGTTGGGCAATGATCTCGAAAGGAGTGCTGGCCACAGTGAGTCGAGTATGGTGGTGGGAAGGGGTGGGTGTGACCTTGAAGCTACTTTAGACTTGCACCACTTCCCCAAAGCCTGCTTTATGGGAGGGGGGTTCCAATTGCAGGAAACTGACACAAAGTTGTTTTTTGGGGAATTCCTTGCCTGGTTAACTTTTGAGCCTCTTTTTCCACGTAGAAACGTTGATTTATTAAAAATATAATTTAAATTAACCACTGTTACTTTGTTATTTAGCATTGATTGTATATCAAATGCTAGGGACCAGGAGAAATATTCTAATTTGAATTAATGCTGTGATTTGCATTTTTACATCAAAATACAATGGCCTATTGCGCAATCATGATATTTTAGGGTCATTGTCCTTTATTACGCATCCTGCTGTAGTGCTGTTAGTAGAAGGACGTCAATAATTACGAATTGATGTTCCCGTGGTTGAACACAATTAGTTTGTAAGCCTATAAAATATTATATAACTCATAAGAAGTATAAAGATAACAACAAAAAAAACTTCATTATTCTTTCTCTTTGATCTTCTATTCTGCCTTGGGATTCCCTTCAACCACACATTCAACAAGTTGCCATGGTTACTTACCACCCCATTAGTGACTACTAAGTATTATGTCATTATCACCAGAGCTTTTGTGTTGTGACAGCGCATAGCAGGATCAGTTGCTAGCGCAAGCGTGACTTGACCTTTGGCTGCTTTAATTTAAAATAAACTCAAATAAACTGTGATGTTTCAAAAACAATAATTTGGGAGCCTACTGCATATCAATAACGGATTGAAATAGTTGAACAAACAATCTATAAACAAACTAGGATTACAATTTCAATACAATTTTTAAAAATATCTTGGTACTTTCTTGGGATAATGAGGTGTAAGTAATCATTTATTTATACTAAAGTAATAAATAAATAAACTAATGATGTGATAGTAGTGTAATTGTTGGTTCATCAAGGTTCTACTGAATTATGTTTTGTGGTAAATTTTAAGTGTACAATGAAATTTAGGTATTCAGTAAATGTGTGATATACACCTTTTACAGAGTTATGGCAACATCTGATCGTGAGCTAGGGCCTAGCCCAGCTTAGTGCATCCAGTAACGTTTTCGACACTTGATAAACCTGCAGGATGCCATTTTACGCTAGTGATCTGTCTCAAAAATGTGAGGAAATATAGTGTAAGAAATATAAACCGACATCTTGAGATGGAACACCTCACGTCTTCACGTCTTATGAGAACGAGAACAACATAACCTCAAGTAAACAAGCCCGAGCTTTTGACATCATTGTCTGCTGAGCTTAAGTGTTGTGTGAAGATCTTGGCTGCTAAGTGTACTAATGTATTCAAGCAACCAACTTTTCAAAATAGATGTTGTTAGTTGTGTTTTTCAAGAGAAAAACAATTGTGGAACGTGGCTAATTCGAACTTCAATAATTCAAAATAGTCAGGGTTGCTATATATTTGTAGTAGGGATGGTCAAGTCTCGAAATTTCGGGAAATTTTAAATCTCGTTACACGAGACGAGATTTCTTTTTGGCCGAGATTTTTATCGAGACGAGAATAAAAAAAAAAAAAAAAAAAAATTAAAAACGCCTGCAGAAAGTCAATGCAATACCCGCAATACAGGAGCGTGTTGTAGTTGCGTTTCCTTTGCGAAGGCGTTCTTATTTAATTAATTCTTTAAATGTAAATATTACTTTTATCATTTTAATAATATTACTTTAATAACATTTGAGAAGTTTTGTTAAGTGTAAGCAGTGTGAGGAATGTGTTATTACTATAAAAAGTCAAAACAAGTAACTATTTTATAAAAATTAAAATTGCTTTTATTTTATGATTTATTATTAAGTTGAACTCTATCCTAACTGAAAAAAAAAATGTTATGCTGATGTTTTTTAATAAAAGATCGTAAATATTCTTGCCTATTATCATTATTTTTGTATTTAAACAGTCATTTAACAATGTTACAAAATCAGGTAAAAATTTTGAACGTGCATTTCCCGTTGTGTATGAGAAGGGAAATCCCATCTCGATCTCGTCTCGAAATTTTATGAGAGATAAAAAATCTCGTCTCGTCTCGTCTTGAACTAAAAATCCAATCTTGTCCATACCTAATTTGTAGGTAACTTATCAACCAACACCAAATCATCCGAATCCAAACCTGACAATATCCGATCCGATTCGAACCGAGGCTTAACTATACGACCTGAAATCGATCCGAAATGAAATTTCTCTTATACCACATCTCTACTTCAAATTCAAGGTTTTTCCTGGTTGATATACTTATTTATATTATGATATATTTATTTCAAGTTTTAACCCTGACTTAATACTAAAAACTTTTGAGATAAAAACTGAGATGAATATAATCATAATATAATGTAATAATAATAATAATAATAATAATAATAAATAATAATATAAATAAAATAAATATAAATAAAATATATAAAATAAAATAAATTATAATAATAATAAAATCATAATATAATTGATTACAAAATATCAGACTATCAAGAGATCTTCTGTAATGTCAAACTCACATAAGACGAATATAGAATTTGAAATGGTTCTACTAATCTTTACCTGAAACATGCGCTGGAGCTTAGAAGTGTACTCAAAACCACAAGCTTGTTTTAGTTTGGAGATCATAGAAGCTTCTGCATCATCGCTTGCAGACATGTGCTGAACCAACCGCTTAGCCAACATCTTGGAGTAGAACTTTTGGAATACATCTTTGTCCTCTATATATTTGAAAACAACCATCTGGAAAAAGATGGAAAGGTTATAAAATGCACTGTTTATTTCTTGTCTATGCCATTTTTGTGGCTTTTTCCATAGAAGGGATTGTTGAGTACCCAAACGCTTTTAGATAAAGTGGTCCATAGGTTTTGTGGAAGTTTCGGGAATCCATTCCGTTCCTCCTGCACCAAAATCAGAGATGCTAACCACTAGGCTAGCAACAAACCACTTATAACAAGTATATCGAGCCAGATTTGTCTAAGCCACCACAGCTGCTACACTACTAATCAAAAAACTGCTTGTACTATGTTGCTTTAATAATAGTACTCATACTTAACAAAGTATGATAGTAACAAGTGTGATCAAATCCCATTTTCTCGAGGTGAAAAAATAAAATAACGTATCAGAGGGTTCAAGGCAGCAATAATTATAGAACTAAATAAGACCCAGAAGCGCTTTGATACAAAAGCCACAATAGTAAAGCTTGTTCTCAGGTCTTTTAGGATAACTCTTAAACTATATAACATTGTATACCTGAGTTATTGAACCATAGTGTGTATCTATATATATAGTGCTCAATTTGTGGGGGAACGCAGCGGAACGGAGTTCCCGTGCCTCACTGTTGGGAAGATAAAAATAGTAGTTGAAATAGGTACAAATTGTATTAAATAGGTAACAGTTCCGACACCTCATTTTTTACAAATCAAGCACTGTGTATATATTAGGGGTCTGCGGTACAGAAAATTTAAGGTCGGTACGGTTCAATATTTTGTACCTCGGTTCTCGGTACAAAATCGGGACGGTACGCGGCTACCCGTATTTTTGCGGTTTTCTTCTCAGAACTGTATTCAAACCATTATTTTTAACTTTAATACATTGACATTACTATGAAAATGGATAGTATCCTACAATGATGGTTTTCTTACAACAATTACTGTACCACACATTATTAAAACAAAACCTTTTACTGCTACAAGGATTGTGTCAAGAAAAATCACAGTTAAGATAAAGGCTTCACCTATGGTAAATTATTTCTAACCAACACAATGTCTAGTTGTTTTTTAAATGTTTAAAAACATATAAAAGCATTCAGTATGAAGACAGTGTAGTTGCCAGCTGTTCACAGCAGACGACAATGAAAAACTGGAGGTTATGATGAAGTAATGGCAAAGAGAATCTTTTTTTATCAGCTTCAAAACTAATTATAAGATTTCTGAAGATAAAATTTGGATTATCACAGAGTAAGATTATTTTCTTTTCATTTACAAAGTTAACATCCATACATATCAATCATTAGTTTATCTCAGACTCAATCCAATTTTCTTAGTATATTTTAAAGCTCTTCCAAAGAATCAAAAGACCCAGGCCTAGACCTAATTATTTAGGAGGGCCTATATATAAATTGATTAGGTTACAATGAGGGTAGCAAAATCACTATCTAGTTCATAAGATTTAGATCGCATAAAGTATTTTCAACACAATAAAAAATACAGGAAACTACAAAACATTTAAGCCTTAAACAGCCACATCTAACAATATAAGACAAGATACAGAACATGCAATGACATAATTTGAGACCGAGTAGGCTTGCATAACAAAAAAAAAAAAAAAAAAATGCAAACAACAACAAATATGCTTGTGGTTTCGTAAATAGAAAGATAAAATATCTATAACAAATATTTTAACTTATAAAATAAGATTGTAGATGAGTTACAAGTTTAATATGTAGCCATAAACAGTTTTATGGCAGTAGGCAATGGCCAGCGGCAAATTGAATATTCACGAAAATACTGACTGAGTTAGATATAACATTTAACAGTCATCATAAAACTATTATTTTTATGATAAAATAGAATTGGGGAAAGTCGGAAAGAAATAAAAGTGATAAAACTCAACAGTTCTTGGAAGTACTTGAATACAACAATTATTGTCTTTGGGACTGCTAATGGGTTTTTTATTGCATCATCACCCTAGTAATAAATTATGAAGATCGTAAACAAACATCTGATAAGACTTTTATGTGCTCCGAGAACCAACTGAGAACCAACTGTCGTTGACTACGATAGTAAACTGAAAGTAATTTAATATTATAATAGGCTGTACCGTGTAAAATGCTGTACCGGTAATTAAGCTTGTACCTAAGCTTGTACCGTACCGTCTTTTTCGGTGCACCTTTTTCGGTGCACCGCAGACCCCTAGTATATATGTATATATAATTAAGTTTTGACATAAATTTTTTTATCAACATTTCTCTAGCAAAAAATAACTTTGGGGAATGAATGCAAGGTGATTCAATGCTCTACAACATCAACATTTGTTACTACTAATACTGATTTGTCTAATAATTAGGGATGGTCAAGTCTCGAAATTTCGGGAAATTTTCGGGAAATTTTAAATCTCGTTACACGAGACGAGATTTCTTTTTGCCCGAGATTTTTATCGAGACGAGAATTAAAAAAAAAAAAAATTTAAAACGCCTGCAGAAAGTCAATGCAATACCCGCAATACAGGAGCGTGTTGTAGTTGCGTTTCCTTTGCGAAGGCGTTCTTATTTAATTAATTCTTCAAATGTAAATATTACTTTAATTATTTTAATAACATTTGAGAAGTTTTTTTAAGTGTTAGCAGTGTGAGGAATGTTTTATTACTATAAAAAAAGTCAAAACAAGTAACTATTTTATAAAAATTAATATTTTATTTTATGATTTATTTTATTATGCTGATGTTTTTTAATAAAAGATTGTAAATATTCTTGCCTATTATCATTATTTTTGTATTTAAACAGTCATCTAACAATGTTACAAAATCAGGTAACAATTCCGAACGTGCATTTCTCGTTGTGTATGAGAAGGGAAATCCCGTCTCGATCTCGTCTCGAAATTTTATGAGAAATAAAAAATCTCGTCTCGTCTCGTCTCGAAACTTAAAATCCAATCTCGTCCATCCCTACTAATAATAATAAACATAATGTCCACAGCAAGGTGCTCCTGGATAACAAGAGACGATCATTTACACATGGAACCATGGATCACTTACCACATGAATCATTTATCCATATCAATTTAAAACCCCCAAAAAATCACATGTTTTAACTCAAATCATACTTACTACTTGATTGAGAGTATCTTCCAGCTCAGCTTCCTCAGGATTTTTACTGGACTTCTTCAGAAGTAAGTCGCAGAACTTGGCAAGAAGCTCAGGTGATTTGGAGCTAGAACTAGCCACCTTAGTGACTGCATTGCTGTTGATAAAGCGGCCACAGGCTTTGTCCAACGCGGCGACAAACCCACTGTCGTTGTTGAATGCTGTCAGCACTAAAGCGTTGTACTTCTTATGTACTTCCAAGATAGTGCTCACATACACCTTCGGATCCTGAAATAGTCAATATTACAGTACGGTAATAGTACAAAAGAGGCGTTTTTTTTTATCTATTCTAAGTACAGTAGACTACTTTGTTTGGACATTGGGTGATTAAATAAGTATCACTTAATGTTTTCGGATGATTCAGACCGTGCTGTAGAAAGAATAGCAGAAAACAATGTTATCAAGTTTTGGTATCCACAAATTTGGTGCAGTTTGCATATATCATAATTAGGAGTGTGCGATGCATCGAAATTCCGATTTGATTTGATACATCAAATCGCAATTTGATTCAGTGGTGGTCAAGAACGATTCAATTCATAAGGGAGTCAGTATCTATATACGAAAAACGCCTGCAGAAAGTCAATGCAATACCCGCAATACAGGAGCGTGTTGATGTTGCGTTTCCTTTACAAGGCGTTCTTATGTAATTAATTCTTTGCATTTAAATATTGCTTTTTTTTGTTTTGATATTGTAAATATTGAGAGGTTTTCTTTGTTTGTCTTGATGTAAGCAGTGTGAGACATGCTTTATTACCATAAACATAGCCAAAACTAGATAGGCAACTCCAAAATCAATTAAAAAAAAAAACAAGTCTGAAAAATGTTTACTTGATGTTGATACTTAACTAGTTATTGATGTTTTAGACCAATAAATTTGGTATTTTTTTAGGTCTGCTTCTATCATATCATTTTATCAATGTAAACCAATTGAAAGTTCCAGTATAAATCTTACAAATGTTTTTATTTGTTTACACCAAAACATACCTTTATTTGTAAAATCAATATTATAAAATAGGTAACATGCTTACCAATATGATTCTGCAAGTAAAAATTATAAAATAGGCAAAGCAGCTCACTGACATTCCCAGCAATACAGGTTCTCCTAATATATGATTGAAAATAAATATTTGTTCACCTAAAATGCATATGTCATGTATGTATAGGCCTAATACCACATCAACAAAAATTTGCATTACACAAATGTTGTAAATTTTAATTATTGCTAATCCACTCAATTGACAATTATGAATAGAAAAATACCGGATTGCTTCAAATTAAGTTGCATCGAATTGAATCAAAAATCTTTTTAATCAAATCGTTGCTTTGAATAAAAAATTTTTTGCTGCTTCGCACACCCCTAACCTTTTTGGTGGTGTTCAAACCCCTCCTCATATGGAAAAAGAAAGATTCGTGTTTTCTTTATGTGATCAGATATTTGATCTATGGAAGGTATCTCAACAATTAATTGTATCAAGTACGGCAGTTGAAAAGTTGACCATGTTTTGAACGACTTTTAAAGATTGAATTATGGACACACAGTGATACTTGATACAGCTATGTTCTTACCAATCATTACTTGCAAGAAAAGCTAACAACATAATGTTGTGTGAATTGATTGTCTAAACTGTCTGGCTGTTGGTTCAAAGTGACCATGGCACCCTGGTCAATGTTTGTGATCAATTCAATGCTTTAATATGGAAAAGTGAAGCCAAGGGGTTGTGTAAAAAGGAAAAAAAAATGGTAGGGGGAAAGTACCTTAAACCGTTTTGGGTAGCGGCTCGAATCCCTAAACAAATAAAGTAAATACATCAGTGCTTTCGAAATCATCCTGTGTTGCACATTCAGTTTCAAAAGAATTTGTATTATTATGAAATGAAAAATAATATAGGCCTACATTGGTTTAACAAGTATGGTGGAGGAAACTAACAATCTACAGATGATTTAATTTTGTTTCACAACAATCACCATGCTTAAGCTAAATTAGATCTGTCTCACTGCTTTATTCTAAAGAATTAATTCTACTATGCAATTCTTGTACAGATCAGGTTAAACATAGAATATATTTAATGTTTTCCCAATCTCATTGTTAGTGAAACTCAGCTAAATAGGTAATATAAACAATCTTTACTTACATTAGCAGCTGATTCGCCACATTTTTCAATGGCAGCGAGACCTTGACTGGATATATGAAGCTCTAACAGATTCCGCAGCTCTCCTAGGCCATCAGTGATGCGGGCAACTAGGGAGTACATTCGACCCAAATCTTCGTTTTTGTCTTTATCCAACAAATGCTGAAACTCGGAGTGAAACATCTCCAAGTGTTTCTCGATCAGAACTTGCTCACATTTTTTTGCAAGCTTTTCAGCAGTTTTCTCATGTAGATAAACTTGAACTCGCTTTTGTTCATCAAATAGCCTCTGTTCTGCCTAGATTGCAACAAAGGAAATAACAATCCATGTAAGAGTTACCAACCAAACAATAAATATAACATTTTTTTGTAAAACAGACACATGGGGTTTGCGTTCTTATATCTTATTCTTTAAACCCTAAACCACTTAAAAATGGTGCAATCCATGCAGAGATACACAATATATACTGTACAAATATTTTAAATGCTGTCCTTTTGATATCAGTTTATTTCTTTAAGGACAAAACAAAGTGACAAAATTTGCCAACATCTAAAATCAGAATATGAGACTACTAAATATAACTTATAAAATAGTCAGATATACTAAATGTGAATATAACTTATAAAACAGTCAGATATATGCAAGTATCGTCAGATTGATTATTAATTAGAATACATGGGAAAATTATGGACTGTATGGTACGTATATAATGCTTGATATTTGTTTTATGGCATAAGATCAACTGAATACTATGCAATGATGTTTAGTATAAACTTTACAACTAACTGCCAACCAGTTTAAGTTTTTCATAAGTTAGTACTTTTACTTATTATCACTGAATTGTACAAAAAGTTGAGTGGAGAAGTTTTATTCTGAACTAAAAAGAAACTAAATATAATTTGACAAAGTTCTCCAAACTATTGACTTAAATAAGTATCCTAATAGATAACATTAAAACTTTTTATAGTGTATTTAAACAAATAATTGGTCCCATTTTGGCCAATATGAAAAATAAAACCTTCTAACTTAAAAAACAAAAGCAAAAGTCAAGATAAGTTGTTTAATCTACCTTTTTCATGTACTCAGTGACGGGATTTTGGCATAGGAACTCTGTACTTTCTCTAGTGTAAAATCGTTCTGTGTCCTCCAGGAACACTTGCTCAAAGGAATTCTCATAAACAGAAAGGTTTGGACCTTTTGCAGAGGGCTCTTCTTCATTCAAACCTTTAAAGTCAAATATAGGCATTAGGCAATAGGTATAGGTTAATTAAGAAGGGTTAAGGTAAGTAAATACTGCCAAGTATAAAAATTACAAGCATCTTGACATGTTTTTAAATGTTTTAAAAATATTTTATAAAAATTAACAACTAATAAGATAAATTTACACATCAATTAGATAACATCGATTTTTAAGAAGGAAAAAAAACTCTGGTTCTGTTAAATTACCGTATCACAATGAAATGAAATGAAAAATTATTTATTTACCCAGGCAAAGTTAACACAATAATTATTGGAGTAACTCATCAGAATTGAGATGGCAACCACCAACAACTACAAAAGTTATTGTTTTAGCTTAAATCAGAAAACCCTAATTTATTCAAAGTAAATACAATATAGTTGAGTTAGAACTCTTTGTTATTCACTACCTAATTTTAAAACTTGGTAGAAGAAAACTTGATTTATGCTGCACCATAAAATTATTGAAAAACATATTCCCTAGAAAACTAGTTGTAATTTTGAAAAAAAAAAATACTTTACACAAACTAATTTCATTTTGATTATGTTTATATGAAGTTAAATAAAATGTATAATAGAGGAAGAAAATAAAATCTACTATAGCCTCAGAACTGTATTATATTTTATAGGGATGGACGAGATTGGATTTTTAGTTCGAGACAAGACGAGACGAGATTTTTTATTTCTCATAAAATTTTGAGACGAGATCGAGACGGGATTTCCCTTCTCATACACAAAGGGAAATGCACGTTCGGAATTTTTACCTGATTTTGTAACATTGTTAGATGACTGTTTAAATACAAAAATAATGATAATAGGCAAGAATATTTACAATCTTTTATTAAAAAACATCAGCATAACATTTTTTTATTAATCACGCCTAAATTATTAAAAATGCCTACGATTAGGAAACATAGTGATATCAGTTAGGATAGAGTTCAACTTATCCTAAAATAAAATAAATCATAAAATAAAATATTAATTTGTATAAAATAGTTACTTGTTTTGACTTTTTTATAGTAATAAAACATTCCTCACACTGCTAACATTTAACAAAACTTCTCAAATGTTATTAAAATAATTAAAGTAATATTTACATTTGAAGAATTAATTAAATAAGAACGCCTTCGCAAAGGAAACGCAACTACAACACGCTCCTGTATTGCGGGTATTGCATTGACTTTCTGCAGGCGTTTTTAATTTTTTTTTTTTTTTTTTTTTTTTTTTTTAATTCTCGTCTTGATAAAAATCTCGGCCAAAAAGAAATCTCGTCTCGTGTAACGAGATTTAAAATTTCCCGAAAATTTCCCGAAATTTCGAGACTTGACCATCCCTAATATTTTACTAATGTAGGTTGTTTACTCAATCTCAACAGTTCCTTAGTGTAATTATTCACCACATTATGATTATTCAGCAGGATCTTGCTGCATATCTCTTGAGATAAGCTAAAACGGCTAACATCTACTAACAATAAAAACAAACTACACTAAATAGTGGCGAAATTATCGATAAAAACCAATAGCAAAAGCATATCATTTGAATAATATATTAAATTATTAGTATTCGTACAGTTATTAAGTATTGATATTTAGGATGTTGATTCTCAATACCACCGATACTTGGGGATGTTTGTATTGGTATTGAGAATCGACTGTTAAAAGTCGATTCCGATACCGATACCCATCAGCAATAAAAAATTACCGCTATTGCCATGATCGCGCAAGACGACGATGACGTTAAAGTTTCTGTGACCGACTGTGGAAGATGGCAATGACATTTCCGTAACTGCTAGAGTTGATGATGTCTACATGACCATGGGACATGTTTATGATTTTGCTGTGATTGCGCATGATGACGATGACGTTTCTATGAGCGCTGGAGTCAACGATGAAGTCTACACAGCCGCAGGTGATTATCAGAATTTTGTGCGACCATGGAAGACGATTATTATGTCTACATGGCTGAAAAATGTTAATGAATTTGTAGGGGTCTGCGGGTCAGACTTTTTTGGTTCGGGTCGGGTCGGGTCGGGCCGATAATTTTGGTCCTCGGGTTTCGGGCCAAAATCGGGTCGGGCCTAAAATTATTAATTACCGGATTTTTTATATTTTTTTAACTCCTATCTGTGTTTTTAATATTACTTGAAAATAACATATGGGAAAAAATGTATTTATGTATATTATTTCATGTTCATAACTTATTTACAGCTTAGAAGTTGCCTCAACTGCAAGAAAGAAGAAAATAATTTTTTATATCAAGCCATTCTTTCCCATTTTCATAACTGTTGAAATATCTAAACAGCTATATTACAACAAGTTTGTAATGGAACTTAATATAAAAGGATCATAAACAAATCAATTAACCTTATCACAAGTTTAGGGCCTGTGGACTGGCTTCAAGACTGCAAGCAAGAAGAAAATAAAAATTCTATGTTTCCACCATGCAATATGAATCATTCATTCCCTGCCTCCTAACCTCCTAAGTACAAAAACCTCACACTTACAATAGCATTATTAGTTACATCATCATAAATAAAGAATTATCTATTATTGACATTAGTAGGCCTACAGCTTTACATAGGAATTATTTTTTATAGGGCCTAAAATAGTAATAGACTAAGCAACATGACAAGTGGAGAACTCATTGAAGAAAAGATATTGTGTAAACTAATTTACTATAAAACTCTAAAACAGTAAAAATAGCACACATACATTGTTTATGGTATAGTTATAGTAAAGACTGTAAAAATTGCATATCATGTCATAGGTACACAGTTATAGATACACAGTTATAGGCACAGTTATAGGTATTGCAAGAGATCCTAAAACAACTGATTTTAGCTAATAAATGAAAAGAATTAAAAATCCATAAACTCAAGTCAAACAATATCACAATTATTAGGTACCCAAAAAGGAACTCTTAATATATAGAAAATTATATTAAATCAAGAGAAAAGAAAGTTAAATGCTAATTTGGCAACATAAGCAGACAGCAGAGACATTATAGTGCCCTAATTAGCAACACAACTCAATGTTTTTATACTGTAAGTCAATGTTTTTGAAACCGTAGGGTCTTTTTCTCGGAAGGAAGGGTAGTAGAATGTAAACAAAAAACCATGAATCACTCTCACAGCCGGGCCCGGGGACACTCAAGGTTACAGACCCTCCCCCTCCCCTCCCCTCCCCTCTTACACAACCCGAGCCAGGCCCGGGGACACTCAAGGTCATAGACCCTCCCCCTCCCCCGCCCCTATTACACCACCTGGTTGTTCCAATTGCTGACAAAATGCAAGTAACGAAACAAGGAAGTAGAGACAAAAAGATATATTTTCTTTATTCAAAAATATAAAACTGTTACAGATAATTTATAAAGAAATTAATTCATGGTAGTTTGTGTCTTGTAAATATTGTATTGCATCTTAGAAATATCTTTTTTGAAACTCTATCTAACCTAAGAAAAAAATAATTTTACTGATGAAAACTTTCATAAAATAAAATTATAAAATATTTAGGCCTAACCTCTTTGTAGACTTGCTGATACTTGATACTTAAAAAAAAGGAAATAGTGACCATACAATGCCTAACCAGACGATCAGAAGTGTTGTTTTGTTTTGTTACTGAATGACAAAAAGGACAATAGGAAAATAAAAGAACAAGATACAGATCTGTACACTATATCAGATATTTCTTTTGTTTATAATTTATTATGTAAATAAAATACTAAAATATATTTTAAACTAGGTATGGAATAAACAATAAATAATTAAAATGGGACCTCTGGATAAATAGTCTTTCTTTTGACTTCGTTTTCTTTGCACTGTTGAGTCACGGCTTTTGTTTTGTCAGTAGACGACTGGCTCTGGCTAGTGACAGTAAGGCAATTGCTCTGTTGTGTCTTTGTTCTTAAACGTGAGCAAACTTAATATTTAATTCTAATTTTAACATTTTAATTCCTCTGTAATAATATATATAAGAGTGTTTCTTTGAAAATTACTTATTATAACTTTGAAAATAATAATAATTTTTTTTGGCCCGACCCGATCTTGGCCCGAACAAATCTCTGACCCGACCGGTCTCTCGGGCCTTCCGCTGGCCCGACCCGACCCGAAAAAATCGGGGACCCGCAGACCCCTATGAATTTGCCACAATAGCGGAAGACGACGATGATCTCCACACGACCACGAGAGATGATGATCGTGTTTCTGTTACCGCTGATCGATATCCAAGATTTTGCCGCGACTCTGAAAGACAGTGATGATGTTTCCGTGACTGAGAAAGATATTCTGAATTTTGCAGTGATCCCAGAAGATGACATGATGTCTTTACAACCGCGGGAAATGATCACGATATTACCTCGAGTTTGGCCTGACTGAAAATATCTGGCTAGAGGTGTACACTCTCTTAAATATGGTATTTATTTCATGTGTTTAGGAGGGTTTAAAAACTTAAATTGGATAGTTAGCTTCACTGCTTTAAAATTTATTTTTTTTACTTGAAAAACACACTCATTACCTCAAAAATCTATATATATAAAAGGCAAAGCCCTCACTGACTGACTCACTCACTCACTCACTCACTCATCACTAATTCTCTCACTTCCCATTTACCTAGGAGGCTGAAATTTGGTACACTGATTCTTTAGGCATTAAATAGGAAAACTAAGTGGTTTTTATTCTGATCGGACTCTCGGGCTCCGCCCCAGTGGCTCTGGAGTTTCCCATGTTAACCTAATGAGTACTCACATTTAAATGGAATAAATGAATCTTAACAGCTGTTTCAATTAAACAAGTTGTTTCTGTTCTATGATGTTCAATAGCATTAAAGTTACAAGGATTACCAACAGAGTGCAGCACTATTATTTTTTTTTAATATATTTGACAACAGCTAATTTTAAACCAAAAGGTGAGTGAGCAAAGCGAACGAACTTCAACCCGGGGGCGAGTTAGCGTAGCGAACGAGCTAACCTGAAGGCAAGTGAGCGCAGCGAACGAGCTCCAACTTAAAGGTGAGTGAGCGTAGCGAACGAACTTCAACCAGGACGTGTGAGCGCAGCGAACGTGCTCCAACCTAAAGGTGAGTGAGCGTAGCGAACGAACTTCAACCAGGACGTGATTGAGCCATGCGAACGAGCTCACATATGAAGTTAAACGGGGCAAAGCCCGCGGGTACAGCTAGTACTTTATAAAAGGATAGAAAGACAGAGTTTGGTGTAAAAACCACTAAGTAAAACCAATTCATTCTGAAAATTTTGTAAAACTATAAAATAATGGTATCGGTATTGAGAATTGATAAATTTTGGTATCAACACATCACTAATTGATATGTATGGCATATTTGCATTTGTAGATTAATTTACTTACCTAGTTCAACGTAACAGTTGATTACTCCAGAGACCAGTCTTGTATTGACAGTTTCTCCATTGCGCTCACGCTCAATCAATTTGAGCACTGCATTGGTCACTTGCTTGTTGAGAGGTTTGAATAGGTTTTCTCGCCATGTTACTAATGCCAGTTGATAAATTTCAAATATTCCTTTTCTCCCCTCTTCACACTCTCTCCGTACCCAGTGCCTGTTGCCAAATTGGTCCGTATAATATATACCTTGGTACAGAAGTTTGTGCCTAATATAAAAATGTCTGGGAAAGGAAAAAAGGACTGAATGTGAATAAAAGGGAAAAGAATAATAGGATTTGGAAAGAAATAGCAAGCTCACTATAGGATAGGATGAGCTTAATTTAATTTAGAACACACTACACAGACATAACTTAAAATTATTGTTACCAACAAATTGATATATTTAATGGGCATGTACATATTTCAGCCAAAAATAGCAGTTGAACCATATTTTTATTCATTGCAAATACAGTCGTACTTAAAAACCTCTTAAATTTTCATAATTTTTTTTTAATTGCATTTACAGCAACGATAAAGAGGATTATAATTGCTGTTATATGCAATTAACTGTTTTAGCACCTGCCCGTATACGTAGGCCTTGCACATATATCCTGCAAAGCAAGAGGTGAGTCTGTACATTACAAGAGTGAACTGTAATGATTAAATGAGCAAATCGAAGACTTTGCTATAGCTTCCTTTAGAGTACACATCTGTTGCGCTATTAACTGAGCCACTGGCTCACCATGCATACTCTGCACTTAACTGGGTAGTTTTTAACCAGTTGTTTCTTTTCTGCTATTCATGGAAGTGACAGTGGTACATATGTTTTGTGATTGTGCAATAACTTGGCTTCCGGTCATGAAAAATAATTTCAAAAACATTCTTTACCGAAGAAAACCAATAATAATTAATACAAGAACGATAGAACATGCTATGAGATTTTTCATAAATAATTTGCTGATACAATGTAAGATAGGCTATAGTTATTGTGTACAGTTCTTTTGAATAGTAATATCATGAATTTGTTGGGCCTTGTCTAGTTGAAAGTTGAAATCAAAATAATGGTATTGTAACCTGAACGTACATCTTAGTATGTAGGTCTAATTAATTCAATAGTATTAGTATCAAAAAAGGTATCTATATTTTACCTAACAGGAAGTGACGCGGTACATTATCTAACTAGGCGATAACCAACGTTCTTGGCATTTTGTACTTAAGACACCCCCTTCTGTCTGCATTCGTCCGAAAAAATCTTTAAGGAATAGCATGGAAAGGGTTACTTAACATTCTAATTGTTTAATTAGCTTGAGTTTTCTGAACATGGGTGCAGGAATAAAAAGGTTTTCTTAAGAAAATCTCCTGACATAAAATATCAATGGTGGTTTAAGTTTATTTATAAATGGTGTTGCTAAATACAACTAAAAACGTTGCTAATGCAACTAAAAAAGTTGTTGCTAATGCTGTTAATAGCCTACTAAATTTCCCAAAATGTCTTAGCCAGTTAAAAATTAATATTCAAATTGATTTTTATATGCCCGACCCATCACTCAATTTTGTCATGAAAATCTGTGGAGAAGACGTTTTGTTAGCAAAATGACAGAGCAGTTTACCTGTTGAGGTACGCGCAGACACCATTGAGCACTTTAGAGCTAAACTGGTACTCCTCCCACTGGCGAGTGTAGAACTGCAGCACGTCTTCGTCCATCAGGTCCAAACCGTCCTATAATAAAGGAACAAATATCAAAAAATATACTTAATAAAAATCAGGCGAAACATTAAAGGGGATTTGGCACTCCTTAAGGTGTATTTTTTTATTTTCAGCTTTAATCTTTTAAATGTAATATATTTAGGTTGTTATTGATCAAATTTAAAGGAATATAGTAAAAAAATATATATATCTCACTACATTAAATAAAATTGATTAGCTGAAAATCAACGTATTTTTTATAATTTTTAAAATTGATATAACTTTTGTATTATATGTCCTATTTTAATTATCTTGGTCTTGAATTATAGGCTTGGTCTTGAATTATAGGCTTGGTCTTGAACTAAAAATTCATGTATACCGGTACTCATATGTCTTAGTTTAACTTTAATATTTTTTAAGCAGTATCAGATTTTATAAGAATTTATTTAATTTCTTGTTTCTGTTGTTGTTAATTTGTAAATACAGTGGAACCTTGATAAGAAGACCCTCGATAAAAAGTCGCCCTTGATAACAAGTGTCATTTTCAAATCCCCTTAAAATTATTTTACACCTACAACCTAATCACATGTTATTACAAACCTCGATAAGAAGTCAACCTTGATAACAAGTCTTATTTTACAATCCACATGAGAGTCTTGCTGTACAATCCACATCTACTGCAAAAACTTATTTTGCCAAATGGATTCAAAATACATGTTTTTTTAGGTTTTTTTATTCAAAAGCTATGTACAAAATTGGAGTGTTTTTGGAATATCAAATTTTGTACGCTGAAACATGGAATTTTTAAAGTTGTAATCAGCGCTTAAATTTTTTCTACTGATTTTATATTTTTTTATGTTATGTCATGTTATTGCTGAACATGATATGTCCATTTTTAACCGAAAATAGAACAAAAAAGCGTGTCCTCCTCCTCGATGGAACCAGCTCACCTTCGTACTTACTGTACCGGCTCACCCCTTGCTTTGCTGGATACGTTCCATAGAAAGAAAAAAACAACACCTGCTCAAGAGGAACAAGGTTAAAAGCAAGCTTAAAAGAGGCCACAACCTCATAAAAAAAAACCAACACCTGCTCAAGAGATCTCAACAGAGCATCAGCTTACCCCAACAATTTAATTTACAATAATTATAATATAATGCATTTAAATGCAATAGGCTATAATTTAAGAATCAGCGATTCCTAAAAATATTATAGTTCGATGCAAGGAAGAAACGAGTACCAAAAAGAGAAGGGGGTGGCGATAAGGAATATGGGAGTGATAACAAACGCTAGTCTATACCAGCCTGCCGCGCTGAATACGTCTCCACACATTTAACTTCGTAGCTATTGGCCAAATAAGTGTTTACGTGTTTTCGTCATTGTTCTAATTGAACGAAAAATTGAGACCTTGTGGCCTGATGAAGAATCCTTTTGAGAGTCGAAACCAGTAGCCTAGACAGACTAGAACAAGACAAGAACCACTCCGGCAGTAAATAGTAACGATTGCGTGATAACGACACGAGTAGAAAATTTAAGATATGAGCCTTGGCGAGTAAAAACTTCTACGAGTGTCATTAACACTATTTACACGAGTTGCGTACACTATTTTATCTATGACAGTGTTTTAATTACAAAAAATCACTAGGTACTCATAACTTAAGAAGTTTTCGTTTATAACCTCTCATTGCCACTGACAGTGATGCAACGAAATATGGTACGAAACACTAATTGCACCACTCAACGATTAAATTGGGATGAACAGTTGATTAGTTGAAGTTCAAATCATTACAATTTTACTTCTTCTCTATCAATCCTTAAACCTCATTGGTCCGTTACCCGTGTTGTTATGAGTAAAACTATGCTGTTATGAAAGTAAACAATCTGTTGTGAGAAACTTTTCAATTGTAAGAACTGAACTGAAACGGCTACTTAAAAAAAAAAAAAAAAACTGTCGTAGGTTAAGGTATTTAAACCACTACTATATTTACTACAAGTGATTTGGAGATATACTAAAAACAAGAGATAATTTAATTTCATTCATTTTATTGGGCTTGGTGTACAGGGTTGCCACCAAAGTGAGATAAAAAAATTCATGCATAATTCAAGGTTTTCATTGGTAGTTTTGAAAAATTCATGGGGTATATGCTCGCACAATTTCACCATAAAAGAGTGTTGCCTAGTTCAGAATTGTACATTAATTTATCGACAATATATAGTTTTGTGTGCTACTATCAAATAAAACACATTTAATGCGTTTATTTTAGAGTTAAAAATAAGAATTTAATATAATTTATCCAGTCTAAAAAAGTAAAATCACAGATGAAAAAGGATTAATAAAAATCTTGTGTGTGATAATAAGATGTAATTATTAAAAAAAAATTGAAACATCTGATTTAACAACATCATAGGCCTAATGATAAATTCAAACGTTAGACGAAATAGTAAATTAAAAAATTAGTCGGATTGGTAGTTAGGTTTGGCCTAACCTAAAAAACATTGCATCCAAACATAAAAGGTTTAACTTAGTTAATCCAGCAATGGCCTAGAACTTTACTGTCTAAACATCAAATTAAGATAATAGGCTACTATAAAAACAAATGTTAAGAACATGATCAAGAAACGGTTAACTTGGTAATGAATGGGCCATATCTAGGCCTACTAAAACGCACATGCAATTTATTACTTTATACTGTAACACAGTAGGCTAGACTACATTGTAATCCAAAACTGAATCTTGGCTAAGTTAGGCCTGAACCAACTTCTATTTATTGAGAAGATTAAAGGTTACCGACTGACTGATAAAAACACTCTAAAAAGGTAAGATTATGTAAATAAATATTTAGTTAATGCTAAGAACGAAACAAAAGTAATGGAATGTATGTAAGTTTAGACATAGGCTAACTTACATTAAGTAATAAAAAAAAAATTAATTACATTACAGAAAAGGTTAAAATAAACTTAGTTAGGAGGATGTTTCTTCAGATTGGATCAGTTTATATATTATTATTTGCCTACACAGGTTTAAATCACAGTTAAAACAATTATTTAATTAAATTTACATCTCATTAAAAACTTAGTTAGATTCGTATTGACTGAAAACACCTAGTTATATGCTTCAACAAAACATTTACATTTACCTTCCTCAGAACGAAATCACCATTTTTCAGCACAACATTGACTTCTTGCAACTTAGGCCTAAATAAATAAACTTAATCTCACGTTGTAACACATTTACTCAACACTGACAGTAGTTTGAAATGACGACATATTTGACCAAAACAAACACAGAAGACGATTAAGTTCCAGCCGGCGCAAGCCATTTTGACCTTTATGGCAAGGCAAGGTACTTCTTATTTTAACGTTATAAAGTATCGGAAGTATAATATATCAGTAATAAAAAATATTTAATCTGAACACTTGTTCCACTGAGTGTTGGGTAATCAATTATAAGAAGCACAAAACTGAATCACGAGTGCAACAAGTGATCTTACTGTCCAGTGTCCACCACTACTTCAAACTTCAAACGTTTGACTCGTTTCTAAGTTTCAGATCAGTTTAAAACTTTTAGGTTATGGTTACTCTGTATTTCCTTCCACACGAACACTAGACAGACACTAGAGTAGAGAGTAGAGAATGAGAGCGAGCATCAATTCCGATTGTCGATGTTTTCGAAACATCGATGTCTTTTCTATCGATGTTCGAAGTTATTTGTTTACATCGATGGTAGATTACCGAACCGATGATTTGGTTTGTTACATCGGTCTTTTAGGCCAACAAAAGTAATGAAATATGAAATATTGATGTTTTCCGTAACTGAATTGTATTGGTTTTAGGTTAATTGGCTGTTACAGTGCAGAGAACAGACAACAGACGAGAAACTCGGAACAAACATCGATGTGATCGATGTTTTAGCTCCGAAAGCATCGATTTTATCGGTAGATCGGTACTCGCACAGACAATAACTCGGTGGTAGAGATGGGCGTTATAACATAACAGGAATAACAGGATGAATAACAGTGTTGCGGCCACGGCAACGTTATCGCGGCAACACGTTGCAGAGAACTCCCTGTTATTATAATAACGTATCTATCTACACAATGTTGCAGGAAAGCCGCGCGACAACGAAAACGAAAACATGCATTGCCATTAGTGCCGTTGCCGCAACGCTACCAGACCAGAGCAACGATAACTTCTGAAACGAACTAGAATAACGCATCCTGTCTGGACAACGCGGCAACGCCCGACTCCCGAGTCCCGATTACAACTGAAAACTGAACTGATCAACCGACAATGATAACTGAACGCCGCAACAGCAACACCGACCGGCGGACAACGGTTTATAGCGGCAACGAGCTGGCAATCGTTATTGAAATAACAGGTTGCCGCAATACGTTATTGGGCAGCTGCGTTATCGTTATAACCGTTGCCGGAAAACAACGATAATTCCCATCTCTAGACTACTCGGCTGACGTCGGTTGCGATCGGATTTGACCTTGAATAAACTACGCAATCGTTTCTGTTCGTGCCATGGCAACAAAACTTTTTATCTCGACACTCCCACTTTGACGTTTTATCTCGGTGTTCATTTCGAGAATGGTTTTAATACGGAGTATTTGATTCAGCACATTTAGGGGTTTTGGCTGAATTGTTAATAATGATTTTGAGAATTCATGGTCCAATGACGAAATTCACGCATAATTCACGCACTTTTTCATGGTCACCTAAATTCACGCATAATTCACGCTTTTCAAGGTTTTCATGGCTGGTGGCAACCCTGGTGTAGTATCCAATAAAAAGTTATTGAGCTTTCATCTTTATTGAGGATTAATTCATTTGACGATTTTGAGGGTTAATTACTTAAAAAGACAAGAGTTCTGATATTATGTCACTCACAATAGCAGATGTATTTTCTACCCATCAGATGACAAAAACTTTCACATCATTGCTATTCCAAACAATGAATAAACATTAAATAGTTTTTTCACTACCTAACATCATTTTGAGCATGAATACGAAAGATTATTTACAGTAGTTCCTCAATAATTCGGCCATCCAGCCCCCGGCTCGGGGTTTCGGCTCTAGATACAGCTTCTCCAATAATCTAGCCAAATAAAAAAACTTTGATTGTATCTGTATTGCTTTGAAAAAAGTATACTAACATTTAACAACATAATGGAGCTGTAGTAGTAAGTGAATAACTTGTCCTATAACAATTTGTAAATATTTGACATGAATTAGCATGTTTTTACAATTATTAGTACATTACAATCAAGATTTGTATTGTACAGTAATTAATTTCTGTACATGAGAGAAAATTAACTCTGAAAATAAACACTAATTAATTTTGCCCAGCAAAGAACTGCCTGCTGCTGACAAAAACTGGGACAAAACCTGAAACACGCACACACAACAGACCAAAATCTAGGTTACACTCTCTTAAACAGAGTTTAATTTCTTACTGAATGAATGAATGAATGAATTAAATGAAAAAGTGCTTTATTTATCAAAATAAAAGGTTTACAATCATACAACAACAAAATAATAAAGGGCCTAACAATTACAACTTTTCAAGTTGGCCTAGCACTTACAACAATGGTTTTTTGGACCTTCTGTTATAATTTCTTACTGTTACTGTAAATGAACATAGTGTCAGTTATATCCTACATATGGAATCACTGTGTTTATGATTTACTAACTGATGAAACCAATTTCAAAAATCCATGTCCATGAGGCATTTTACATTGAACAGCTTTGCATTGAAGCGTTTTATTGTAGTGTTAACTATTTTGAATCCATAAGATATCTCAAGTTTAATATTTGAAATGGTCTTTTACTTGTGTAACTTTTCTGTAAATCTTGCCAACCATTCCCTTGTTTTAAGTGGAATATCGAGAGATTACTGTAGTAGTTGCATGGAAATTAACAAACCTTTAACAAGTTGACCAAATACGTTCGAAGGAAGTCCCTTAATCTTTTGTAGAGCTCTAGCCCAACCAACTGTGCTCCACCCGTGGTGGTCTGAGATCCTTTTTTCACTTTGGATGAGCTGCTGGTTTTTGGCGCCTGTTGGTGCACACTTGTACAATAGTTGTACACATGTCTAATTTTACAGTTAAGGAATAATAAAGTGATTGCAGTAAGCTAAATACTAATAAAAGATCAAATAGAAAAACTATTTAATTGATGTAAAATACTCGATTGGGATGAATTTACTTTTTCTCAAAACCCATTAAGGGTTTCCCTATAGGTTACCAGATTTGAAAATAAAAGATTGGTATATTTTATACATAAACATTATTTTTTTGGTAAACTATAGTTTAAAAAAACTGATTTAAGGAAATTAATATTTGTATGGGATAACTTATTACTCAATAAAATCTGTTATCTAGACCCATAAGAAAGTTAAAAGTAATCTCTAGTTCTTTAAGTACAAAAACTTTCTTCAACAAATGTGATTCAAAAGACATATGATGCACATTGGCGCAATTGAAGAGCACAATGTTGTTTTCTTGCCGCTTTGAACTAAAATTTTACGGATAGTAAGAAAATATTGATAAATAAAAAATGGTCATATTCAGAATTGTATCAAGAACTACATTGTAGATAATTGTCACTACCGTAGGCTATTCACCACATATGTCAAAAGTTCTTAAGCAAGAATATTCACCACAACATCCACAACATGGTTAGCAACAACAATAGCATCATAAGCTGACACAATACAAAAACTAAAGGCGGTGCCACACTGCTGTCTGCACCATAACGTTATGTTACGCTTCAGATTTTTTGAGCCAATTGCTTAACGTGGTTTCATATGGATTAAGTCACACTTCCGCAGACAGACTCTGCCGACTCCAGCAGACATGACTGCTGGATCGCTTGCCGAGCGATCGGGAGCAGATGTAACGATGCTTCTGTGGCCACGCGCATGCGCACTGAGGTCATCTGCACCACATGCCCCTAGGCTTTTTCAGGGAACATGCATAACATTCTCTAAAATATATATTTTTTTAAGTTTAATTGAAATAAAACCAGTAGCCAAACTTTTAAACAAAATATCAGAAGGACACATTAATTTATATTTCAAAAGATAATTCTGGGGTTTTTGGTAAAACTTTGATCGCCGATTTGTCTACATGGTTGCTTTGAATATTGAAAAAATAGGTTTAACGAGACCATTGTCACTACTTGTGTAAAATTAGTTTAGTCTTTCCAAAATAGAAACATGCAATAAAAATAGGATTTTTTTTATTTGATCGAAACCTTCATGGAAATTTCCCTTAAATGAAAAATGGATGTAGGTAGTTTATACAAACAAAAAGTACCTATTTGATTTTAACTAATCTTATACCTAGACCCATATTTCAAAGAAAAGAAAATTTTCTATCACCCCAATAAAAAGTAGCCTATTCATTACTTATTTGGCCTAACATATGTAGTCATATATGAATTGTTACATGTTCTCACAAAATATATTCAGCCTAATATTTAGCATAACTTGTTAAAATATAGCATATTGTTTTAGTAATTTAACATAAAATGTCATGCTATAACTTATGTATATTATTATAGCAGCCTACTTATTTTGATAAAATAATTAGTAAGTGTGCATAGTAGTGCAAACCACATTTATTTACATATTTTAAGACAGTAAATAGTGTCATGTGAATGGATTTGCTTGGTTTTATAACGTCAGAAATTTCAAAAATCTGATGAAAATTATGCTAAAAAGCATAGGGACATATTTAAGGACACTTGAGGACATCTAGGGACAAATTGTGATGGATATAGGGTAATTTTTATCAAGGTTGGTGGGAACCCTGGAGCTGAGTCAAAATTGGGCTGTGTGACGTTCGCAGATGTCTGTCCCTGTGTGGCTTGTGCATCAGCAGCACAACGTTACAAAATGTACGTAACGTTACGGCGCAGACAGCGGTGTGGCACCGCCTTAATGCATTTCCCAAATGGAAATGGATAGTTTTAAATAAATTGTAATACATAGTTTTAGATTAAGTACACCTAACTTAATGTTTAAATTTAAGCTAAAAATAAAGCTCAAAATAATATGAGTACTTTAACATTAATAAAGTTATCACTGGTATTTATGGCAGGCCTAAGGTTTGTGATATGGACCAATTAATTTTACTAAGGCTTAAACATTTTTGTCAAGAAATACATGAATCCGATATTTTCAAAAAGGATACGTATACAACTGCATGTAGCGGGGCTTCAACATAGACTGGCGGCTATAGACTTGGTCTATGCCCTCCCGCAAATCGCCCCATATCTGGTCTAGATCGATCTGTTTAAGGCCAGGGTTATTTTGGCTATGGTGGCTGCTTCGGTGACTAGACATTTCAGCTTTTTTGTAATAATCTGAAATCAACATTAAAAATCAAATGTGCAATCAGCTTCAAACTTTTATAAATCTAATATCAATTCAATAACAGCTATCAGTTAATTGATATCTATTCACTAGTACCTAGATAGAGTTCTAATCGCCCTAAAACTCAGAACACAAAACATAAATTCAAATTACAACTTAGATCAATAATACTAGAGCAAACCCAATAAGTCTACTATGATTCACAGGTCTTAAGGTAAAAAATACTACAAATGAGTAGGCTAATTAATGACGTATCTTGTACCACAAATATCACTTCCTAATTGTCTTCCAGTAAATTGACTGCTTACCATTGAAATAATAAATAATAAGAAGGTAGTAAGAATGTAAGGCTGCTTAGAAATCACCCTAAAATATACATGCTGAAATCAATGTTAAACTGACATTACATCAACATTGGGCACATTAATGTCATAATATCATATAGTAAAATCAAGATGGCCACTGCTCCACTACTTTCTAACCTCAAATCCATTTTCCTACTTTAACTTGTTGTCTGCTAAAATTTTAGCTAGTATAAGGTGCTTAAACATCAATAGATGACACCGGAGAACAGCACCTGAGCTTCGAAGACAACACAAGGCCAGCGGGAAACTCACCGTCCCAGACACCGATCCACACCAGGTAGACCTACCCCTGCATTGTACCAGAGACTTAAGTGTATACCATTTAAATATACAATCTATTCGTAATAAGGTAGAAGCTCTAGAATTATGGTTAGACAAATGTCCCTTTGATATATTGACAATAAACGAACATTGGCTTGGCAAAGAGGAATCAACACTGTACATACCGACTGGCTATGCATTAGGTAGCATATTCTATAGAAATGCGCAATTAACTAGGGGTGGAAGCGCAATTTTTGTGAAGAATTCTATTGATTTTAAACTGATAGATTGATAGGTTAGCTGTGTTGATCTTTGCTTTGAGGCAGCAGCTATAGTTTTGTCAAAGATTAATGTCATTGTTGTTGTAGTTTATCGTACTCCTAAGTCAGATACCAATACATTTTTTCATAATTTGGAGTATCTCCTAGAATTTTCAAATGAAAAGTTTGTAAACTTAAAAACTTGAGACTTTAATATAGACACAAAATAAGAATCTAATGAATGTAACTGTTATCTTGATTTACTTCGATCCTTGAATTTGTATTGTTTAAATGACCAAAGCACAAGACAAGAAGCTTGCTTGGATAATATAATAACAAACCTTGATAGGTCGAGCATAGTATGCCAAGTATTGGAACCTATTTTGTCAGACCATGCTGGTGTGTCTGCAGTTTTTTTTAACTGGGGGGTAGGCCTAATGGATAAAAGTACTGAAAAAAAAATCATTTGTATTGAAAAGAGTACTTTCCGCTGGCTCAGTTTTAACAACCCTAGAGCTGGCACTAGTGTAACGCTGTACTGGCATAGGGATATTATTGATTATGTAATATCATTTTTAAACCATCATAAAAATTAGAAATAGCAACATAACTGTGGATTATTATAGCCTATATCATTTTGTTCAGAATAAGACAAAGAACAATAATATAGGGGGTTTAAATGGTTACCACAAAAAAGTTTTTCCGAATTGTTGGCATTATTAATTTTTTTTCAATGTTTTTATATTCCGTCGTGTAGCTAAGTGCAGGTAAGACTTATCATCATAAGGTAAATTGTAAAGTTGTAGTAAATTTTGTGCTGATTCCAAAAATATATAGTTTATATAGCTTATTTTGTGTATTTTGTTTGATAGCCCTATTATTATATTGATCGTACCCCCGCGCTAGTACCAAATAATCATCCAACCCAGGTCATGTACTAAACCGTACACCTTATATAATACATAATAATAATAATATATAATATATACCGGGTGTCCAAAACCACCCGTACACCCCTTTCAAAACGATGGAAACCGTTTCTTATGAACAAAAAATAATAGAGAACTAGCTATATTGGGCACGGTCTACCAAATGGAGACCGTAATCAAAATTGGTAGTTTACATTTAAAAAAGTCAACATCCGGTGTGAAAAAGCCACTTCCGGTGTGATTTTGGATTTGAAATTATCACCATTTGGTAGACCGTGCCCAATTTAGCTAGTTCTGTATTATTTTTTGTTTGTAAGAAAAGGTTTCCATCGTTTTGAAAGGGGTGTACGGGTGGTTTTGGACACCCGGTATATATATATATAATATGTATAATGGCCTTAGTGCCGAAATACGTATTAGTTTAATAAAAATTAATTTCAAGGTAGGCTACTCTGGTTTGTATTATTTAACTTATTTATTAAAACAATAGCCCTAAAAAGTGAACAAAACTAAAAAAAAAATTAATATATTATATACCGTAACACCTGCATTGGCGCCGTATATCAGGCGTTGCCATTTCGGCCGAGGCCGTTCGCGCCGTATATCCGGCGTTTGCCGGCGCTAGGGTTAGAGTTTAAAGAAATATTGTCACAATTCAACTGGTCACAGCTTAAACATACAACAACATTGACCAAGCTTTTGTACCATTTTTATTTGTTTTGCCTACTTCTTTAGAAGAATGCTGTAAAACTAGGAAAATAAAAAATAATAAATCTAAAAGGTCAAAAATCACATGGTTTACACCAGAGTTAAAGAACATTAGAGATTTCATTGTTACTTTATATGATAGGTATAAGTTGTCAATAGGTGGTGAAAATGAACAAAGGCATAAACATATCTATAAGTAAGCAAAAAGAAAATATAGGGCAAAAATTAAAGAAGCCAAAATATGTGCAAATGACAATTACATAAAAAAAACTCTAAGGATAGCTGTAAAGCTGCTTGGAATATAATAAAGGTTGAGTCTAATCGTTCTGAAGGTAGACAAAGAAGTGCCTGTGAGCACTAATGCTTTTAATGACTACTTCATAAGCTCTGTTTCACATAAAACAATAAATATTACTAGTAGATAATTATATTTCTAGCTGTAATGGAGGAACCAATTGCTTCAAGTGGCAAAGCATTGATCATAGCAAAGTGTTGTTAAAGAGTGTCTCTAAGTTAAGTTCATCCTAAAGTGAAGATTATTAGGACGGTGCAACTGCGCAGGTGATTAAGAAATTAGTAAGCGGATTAATTTTTGGCCTCGTGGTGTCGGTCGTGCTGCGCATGTATCCCCTTCAGCCAATTATGCATGGTTGAACGGTTGTTCGCCCCTTGTGCCGTAGACTTTTAGTCACTATTGGTCAGTATGGGTTGGACATGAAAAGGGATTGTATGATACAACATTTACAGAAGTGATATATAATTTTATATTTTTGATTAAATTTTTAAAGGAACGTAATTTTTTGCCTAGATTTTGCCAATGCGAACATGATTGTTAATCTGAATCAATAAATGACTGACTTAAGTGAATAAAGTGTGAGTGTTTACGGTTAGGAATGATAATTAGCCTATATGGGTTGAAAATAGTACATCCACTAGCCGGTTCTAAGTCACCTCTGAGGAAGAGAGTTTCATGTTGTAAATGGTTAGGACTGCAAACGTTTACTTAACTTGTTCTTAAAAATGGCCTGCGTTATAACAAATCTCTATCCCTATTTCCTATATCCTTATTTTGATACGGGTAAGGTTTGCGCAGACAACGGTTTTAAAAACTGCTGAAAGAAACGGCTTCAACGATTTTTTTTAAGCGGTTGAAAATATTCGTTGTTTGGAGTTCATTGTTGAATATGGTGAGTTAATGTTGTTTGAAGGTTTATTGCGCACATTTCCCATCACAATGGAAAAATTCAATACACAACTTTTCTGGAATTTGTAATCTGAAGCCGCCCTCAGATTGCCGATCCCAAACGTTTTGTATTATACATTTACTCTTTTATTAAAGCAGTTATTGTCTACAAATTATATAGGTCTATACAGTGTGCCTATACAACAGTCCCGGAATGGCTTAATACTTTTTTAACCAACATAGATAAGGTTGTTTTGTATAGATATTTATCATAAAAACCTATATTTTTAACAATTATTAATTTTCCTTTCCTCCGGAGGACGTCCCACAAGGTGTAAGAAGAAAATCTTTAATTTAAGCAAACATTAATTGCATCTTTGAACGGCTGTCATTTTCGACTCGATTATCCGTTTCAGTTCAAATTTGCAGCTTTGTATTTTACTAGTAAAGACCTTTAATTTGATGTGCATATCAACTTATGCTTACATTTTCTTTTAACCACTTTGACAGAGTTATTTTGAATCTGCTTAGGTTTACACTCTAGGCTTCTTTTGGCAGCTTGTTAAAAAGCTTGACTTTCATGAACAAATGGCTTTTTTAGATTTTTCTAGTTTTATAGAAATGCAATCAAGTAAATAGTTCCGTCTAGTAGGCCTATTATATTTGTGAAATTCACTTCTAAAACTATAACTATTTAAGTTTTCCTCAACACTAACTAAGCTAAAATAAACATACAAACATGGAAGAGTCATTTTTTGGAATTCTTTAAAATGTGGAACACATGATTCTCCATCAGGGATGTTTGCCATTATCCTAATAGCTTTTTTTCCATATAAATGCTTTTTCAGAATCTGAGATATTACCCCAAAATGTTACTCCATACATTAAATGGGAATTTAAAAAAGCATAGTAAGCTGTAACGCCTGTAACTAACATTAAGGAACTACCGTAACATATTTTTTTAATTTTCTAAATAAACAAGTAACTCTAGTTAGTTTTCTACACAGCTGATTTATTTGAGATTTCCAATCAAGTCTGCTATCTAGGTATAATCCTAATAGTTTTACCGGTTTAATGCCTTCATTTATAAATTTATTTCTTAGAAAATACCATGTTTTCTGTTTTACTATTATTAACAAGTAACCATTCCTCAACTGCTATCATCAAATTATTTTCTTCAATTAATAAACCATTTAAAAATCATTGCTTTGATTCAGAAGAGTGGTGTCATCAGCATGTAATACTGCTTTACATGCATATTGAAGGCAAAATCATTTACTGCAACTATACAAAGGAAAGGACCCAATACCGATCCTTGAGGGACTCTTACCTGAATTGTTTTGAAATCAGAATGTTCTTGATCTTTTACAACCATTTGCTTTCTGTTACTTAAGTAGGCCTAAGAAGTTATTAACTGTAGTTGAGAGTTTCTTATCCCCTAACTACACAATTTACTTACAATTAATTCATGGGAGATTGTGTCAAAAGCTTTTGTGAGGTCTATTAGTTGCAGATGATAGATATTTATTTTCACAGTTTTCCAAAACATTCTCTACTATTGTTTCTATGGCTTTGGTTGTGTTCAAGTTTTGAAGGAACCCAAATTGATCTTTACATAGCAAACCATTACTACTAAAAAATAAACTAAGTTGGTCCTTCACACAACTTTCAAAAACCTTAGGCCTACTAAACATAGGTATTAAAGAGATTGGCCGATAACTAGATGTAGATGGATTTTATCTCTCCCCTTTTTTATAAACTGGAACTATTTTTGTAACTTTTAATGCCTGAGGAAATACACCATGATCCAACATCATATTGAACAAGAATGTCAAAGGGTCTACAAGTACCCCAATTACTTCTTTTAACAATTTGTTGGAAAACCCATAATAATCGGGTTATGTTGAGCTGCGCATGCCGTTCCCAGAATTCAGGGATTACCCAACTAATTGGTCGTGCTGTGCATGTGGCTCCTCAAAGGTAGTCTACAAACTGTGCATAAGCTGGTCAACTGTTTTCACGTATTCTAAGTTACTGTTAGGAGCAAATGCAACAATATGTTCAATACGGTTATTTATGAGCAGCAAGTGTTCTCACCCTTGCCAGTCTTTATTTCCATTCGTTTGAGTGCAACATGAACGTCATTGATGTTCTTTGGAAGAGGTAGAAGAAGGCTTCTCTTGGCGCTGTTTAAATTTTTCTCTCCTCCAGAGGGACGGCCCACAAGGAGTAAGAAGAAAGTCTTTAATGTAAGCTGGCAAAAGATTTTTCTTCCTAGTTCCGGCAAACATTAAAAACTAGTACCGTACGGTAACAAAACACAATGGGCCAATCACAAAAAAAGAGCTAGCCTATGAAAAAGTTAATTTAATAAGATTGAGAGTGATAAGTTATTGTAGACATCATAAGTAGGCCCTATGGCAAAATTTGTAGCCTACTAACAACACACTATATACAAGCAAAAGTTATAAAAAATGAAAAAAACATAGCTACGGTAGCCTAACATAAAGTTTTAAAAACTAGGAACTAGGCTAAGCTAAGTTTTCTAGGACTCCCGGTAACTTAAGACTTGAAATTCAGGTTTACCAGCAGAGAGTTAGCACGGTAGACAATTTGATCTGATTTATGGCTAAGCAGTTTAGGGTGTTTTACTCCTCGGATTGCAACTTTTGGAGGGTAGACTTCCTTATCTGTTGGCACAAACAACCGAATGAAAATATTGATCGATATATCGAATGAAACAATCGAATAATCGATATTTTCATTTGGTTGTTTGTGCCAACAGATACGGAGGTCTACCCCTCTTGGAGAGTTCAAATATCTGTGGCATCTCAGTAAAAGAGAACAGCCCAAATTACAACAGACTGTGGAAGGCTTGGGTGAAAGTAGCCTACACAGCACTAGTGGATTATTTGAGTTAGCATACACTTAACAGAGATGTTACAAGGTTTAATCGGCCCATGAAGGCCAGGGTGGAGACATGCATCACAAAATATCTTTGAACCTTAATTTATCAAAATGTTATCAATAGGCTATTATAAATTAAAGCCTATCAATTATAATTCGAAATGGGCGTAAGTAAGAACAAATTTTTATTTAGTAAAACCACAATCTAAACTAGCCCTTAGTTACTAATTAAGTAAGTAACAACACATAGGCCTACTTAGGCTATTTTAGTCCCATATGCTTAGGCCTAGGCCTATATTGGATAGTTTAAACATAAAGCAAACTATAAGTTACTTGGCCTAGGCTACTCAAATAATGGTAGATCATATACTGACATTGCAAACGCTTTAGATTTCCCTATAATCAAGCAAAATTGAGCCCAAAGAAACAACAAAAATGAATGTGTCTAAACTTAGTACCTAGGTGAGCTTACTTCTAGGTCTTTGTAGAGGACAACCGAATCCCTAACAAAGAAAGCACACCAGTTGGCTCACAAGTATAGGAAGTTAGATAAATTTAAATTTTAAAGGTGATATGCAACATACCTTAGACACGATATGTCAACACAAAGCCATATCTTCTAACAAGATTTGTGCTATTTCACGGAGGCCATCAGTATAGGCTTAGGCTAGGGATTCTTCAGTCACGATCAGAAGCAAATGAAAAAAAAAATACCTAATTTATTTTTATGTGAAGTAAATAAATTACAAGTGAATAATTCGAAAATAAATAACTTATCTTATATTCCAAATGGACAAAAAGTGTGTTTACTGTAATTAAAAGTGTAAAATCTCTGACACCAAGACCAAACACAACAAAAGCAGTAGAACTCGACTTCCAATTCCAATCCAACTTCCTTATTCCTAGTACCAATAATACCAAACCAATCCAATCCAATCTGAACCGAATCATCCAATTCCAATTCTAAAACTTCTCATCTCACTCGATCTCATTCTGAAACTAGTCTAAACTCCAATCCAATACAGTGTTGCCACCTCGTTGGTACTATTCTACCATTTTTCAAATGACTATATCTACCCTGAAGTTGATTTTAATACATTTTGTTATTTATTTTATGTGGGTATCGCTCTACTATTTTGATAGCGGAAAACGTCTAATGATTTTATGACCAACAATTTTTAGTCTCCACGTAATCGGCATACAAGCCTATTTAGACCATTAATTTGCAGACAGATCTTTACCATAGATAAAACATACTTCTTTACCAAGTGTAGAAAAGATCATGATGTTATCGCGTACATTGGTGAAGGTGATGACGTCACCATGATCTATAAGGATGGGTCGCCGTCAATGTGATACAATCGAAGAATCGATTATTAATATTATGTCTGTATAGCCAATTACTGCGGAGGAAAATAACAAAAATGGCGCAGCCCTGGCAACGACAACCCTCATCTGGACAGAGATGACAATCCCGTCACCACAAAGATATACCAAGAAGGATTGATGACCTCACCATAATGAAACATCGAAACACCATCAAACGGTGTGGATGGGTGCCATATATGATTGATAACGGACATCTCATATGACAACACTGTCGATAATTTGGGTTGTCGACAAAATGTGACTGTTTCAGTGTAGATCATTTGTGATGTCGATCATCTGAGACCTCACGAAACGTGTCATTAACAACCCACCCCCGAAAAATCTCTGGTTGGTGGGGTTATTTATTTTTCCTACAGTTACCTAACAATGTACATGTTCTCTCACTGATTTGAGAAAGCAAAGTGGCCAATTCGCTCATCAGTGAGACAATGTTAACATTGTCTCACTCTAATTACTTTGTCTCACTCCAGATTTGCAACGTGAAGGCACGAAATAGTGAGCACGTAACATGCAGGCAACGTCGTATGCGCGCGAAATACGTTGGCAGCACTGGCTGTAAATCAGCTGGTCAGCTGTTGTACTGTTGTATTCGTCACTTCACATTAAATGTTATATTAAAAGTTCACTGTGCAAAAATAGGTTATGTTTCTTCATAAATTATGGTAACAAATTATGGTTTTATGGTAACTGTAGGAAAAGTATAATGTGCAACTCGAGTTCAAAGTACAATTGCCTCACTCGAGAAATCATTCCTCACTCGCCTACGGCTCGTGAGTAAGGATTTCTCTCGAGTGAGTCAATTGCTCACTTTTCTCACTAGTTGCACAAATAACTATATTTACACGGTATACATAATTTTTTACAAGAAATTAAAATATTTACTAAGTGTTCAAGTTTCATTACTTGACCTTACAGACAGAGACTGATCCTCACTTTTTTTCTTGCTGGGCGGCAGACAAGTTTAGTTAGTACCGTCGTCTGCCGCTTGCCGCGCTCCTCTGTGTCTGTCTGGTTGGCTCATGGCTGGTTGGCTCCTGTTCTTCTGGCTGTCTGCTCTCGCTATGTTTGTTTGGAACCTTAACCTTGGTTGTTCTCGAAGGGGCTGTTTTTGTGCAGACTTTTAACGTAAATAAATAACTTAGTGTAAATTACTGCTGTTGTCATTTTAGGTGATGTGTTTCTGAGCTAGCCTGCCTATTAGAGTGTAAATTACTAGCCTACTGGTTGTGTTTTAAGTTTACAGTGTGCTGTCAATGTGGAGCTAGGGTGTATTTTATTTAATCAAGTTAACTTACTTAACTTTTTCAATTACCTATTGTTTTGGGACACTTCTCTGATAAAAACGTTACTTAGTAAGCCTAGGCCTAAGTTAGGCTAGGCCTAATTGAATTTTGGATTCAGCATTAAATACCCTAAGGATTTTGGTTGCGGTGTGCTTATTTTTGTAGCTTACCTATCTATAGAGTAAGTCAATGTTTGTTTAGGGTTCTCAATATCTCATTCTGAGCTATCGACACAGTCACAATGGCTCCTTGTTTCACTTGTGAGTTGTGCGATAAAGCATTCAACTCAAATTGTAATCTGAAAAGACACTATAAGAATGTACATCTGGGATATGAGCCAAGTAAGCTTGTCCAATCCTCCCTCTCTCTCACATGTGGACTTTGCAGAAACACTCTTAGGAGTAATGTTGAGTTTGAAAGTCATCTAAATACTCATCATGCAATAGTTTTGAATGTAATTGAAGTTGATTTCAATAACGTGAGCGAATTTGAAAAATGGAAAAGTAGTGTTGAGGGGGAACAAAATTGTCTATTTGTTAAACATACGGGAAAGCGGAAAAATAATGATGGTTCTGCATCCATTGTTTACTATTGTAATCGATCAGGTAATTTCAAAGGTCAATCTTCACCTTCTAAAAGGAAAAGACATTTAAAAATCCAAGGGTCCTGTAAAATTAATGCCTACTGTCCAGCAAAGATCTCAGCTAAATTTGAAAGTAATGGAATAATCAAGGTCAGATTTTGTAAGACACATGTTGGCCATGAGGCAGAATTAGCCCACATTCCTTTGTCAGAGATTGAAAGGAGGGAATTGGCATCAAAAATTGCTCAAAAGGTTCCCTTTGACACTATTCTTGAAAATGTTCAAAAGTCATTATGTGGTGAAATTAAAAGAAGACATCTTTTGACGAAACAAGATCTACGTAACATCGCAAAAGAGTATTCATTAGACAGTGAGTGCATTCTTCATTATGATGATTCGTTGAGTATTGATTCTTGGGTGGAACAGGTCCGTAGCAGTGATGATGACTGTGTTTTGATCTACAAGCCAAAGGGAGATGATTCCCCAGACTATCCCCAATTACAGTCACAGGATTTTATTCTAGGCATTATGACGAAAGCACAGGAAGAGATGCTAAAAAAGTACGGTGGTGATGTCATTTGTATGGACTCAACACATGGAACTAACGCCTACAATTACGAAATGACCACATTGTTAGTTTTAGATGACATGCGCCAAGGATTCCCATGTGCCTTTTACTTTTCAAATAGAAATGATCATGTTGGTATCAAAATTTTTCTGCAATCGATTAAAAATAGAATAGGCTGCATCAACACTAAGATATTGATGGCAGATATGGCAGCTGTCTTCTATAATTCTTGGAAATCAGTAATGGGTGATGTTGAAAAACGACTTTTTTGCACTTGGCATGTTCAACGAGCTTGGCAAAAAAAAGTTAATCACATCAAAAATGAAGGAAAAAGAAGGAAAGTCAACAAAATGATGTTTACTCTCTTGTATGAGATTGATGAGAGGGCATTTGAAAGTATTTTACCTGTTTTTCTAGATGATCTTTGTGCCGATACTGACACTGCTGTCTTTGGAAAATATGTTGCAGACAATTATGTAGAAAATCGTATGTCATGGGCATATTGTTACCGTAAGAATGCTGGGATCTATACGAACATGCATTTGGAAAGGCTCCACGGGATTTTCAAACATTTTTACTCACGGGGTGAAACGGCAAAAAGGCTCGACTTGACTGTACATGCGTTGATGAGATTTATTAATCAAAAACTTTTTGACCGCATTGTTGTTCTCCACAAAGGGAAACTTACAAGCAAGTTGAGAAACATCAGGGACAGACACAAGAAATGTCTTAGCTTAAGTTCTGACTGTGTGCTGCAATCATCAAATGATTCCTGGGCAGTATTTTCTTCTGTTAATATGTACACTGTTACAGAAAATGTCAAATCATGTAGTTGTTCTCTAAAATGTGTGTACTGCAAAGTATGCATTCATAAGTTCAGTTGCACATGTTCAGATGCATGTATACAGTGGAACATGTGCAAACACATTCATCTAGTTTGTCAAACACTAAAGAATCGTTTAGAAAGTCATCCTGTTCTTGATCCACATGTAAATGATGATGAAAAGACTGTAATTGTGTCAGCTGTCAGCAAAAGTGAAGAAACAACCTTAGATTTAGAAAGTGCAAAACAAGAAGTCAGTTGTCAGTTTTCACATATCATTAACGAAATCAGTTCATTTGAGCAGCTTGAAATAATAAAAAAAAATCTTAAATCGTTGCAACCACAGATTGATGCTGTTAGAGAAGGAGAACAATTATATTGATTATAATTCCTTTATAAGGATTATTGATTATAAGGAATTATAGGAAGTGGAAAATTGTCTGTTTGATACTGATGAGGTAAGTCAGTTATTGAAATATTACAGAATTAAAAGTAGTTAAAACATCGTTTTAGGAAGTTAAATTCCATGAACTAACTTACTCAGGCTAAGGTCCAGTTTGTAGGCTGGCAGATACAAATCAAATTAAGCTTAACATTTAGGCATTTAATGTAGCTGGGTTTTAATAATATACCTGTTAATATATTTGATCGGTTTATAAGTCTAGTCAGGCTAAATAAATATGAAACAAAGCCATGTATCAAGTAATACCCAGTTTTGGGAAGTAGTGACGCTACAGTAGCTGCTACTTTTTTTGTAGCGTTAGCTGTAGCTACGCTACTTTTAAGATTTTGTAGCTTTAGCTGTAGCTACCTACATTTTTAAAGTAGTTGTAGCGGAATTTTAGCTACTTTTCTCGCTACATTAACATTGATTGAGATGATTTTTATCACAACCTTAAGTGAAAAAACCTTATTCAAACTGAGATTTTCAAGAAAATTAGGCCTACTTTCTTGGCTTCATACAGGCCACAGTCGTTTCATTATCTATTACAACGTTGCGTGGACATGGAGGCCATTATCTGAGTGTTATCCACATTTTTGGCTCTCATTTCCTTCATTTGCTACTCTATGATTACTGTCAGATAAAATAAAATCGCTAAATGCAGACGATGTTTAAACGTTACCGGTGACAAGAGAAGCTATTGAATGCTTGCAAGTTATTGACAGGGAAATTAGTAATCAATTTAGTTTCTTTATTGTATCAATTTAGTTTAAACTTGGGTTTTAAAGAAACCAACACTAAACCTTAAAATAATGAGAAAGCTGGTCTATCAACCTTTGCTTCAATTGTTGATTGTGGTTCATCATCACAAGCCCTTCCTTGGTTAGATTACAAAGATTTTTCAAAGGTTTACTAAATGAACGAAGAGGAAATTTCCTGATGAGATTTAAGATATGGCTAGAATACATCTTACAGTAGAGTCCCACAAACTCGGCACTGGATAACCCGGCAGTCTGGATAACTCAGCCATCACCTGGCTCAGAAAATTATTGATTTTTTGAGTCCGAGTTCATGGACACAAGCCAGCTCAAGTATAATCATTTGCAGTTCGTACTAAGGATTTGTTATACTATATCTGATGACTTAATACTGACTTGTAATATAAATCTAATTGAAAAAGGCGGTTAAAAAGCTTAAAAATTGTATTGCTCTTATTTTTAACTGTAGTTCCCGATAACCCGGCATTTCACAAACTCGGCACCCTTCCAGTCCACATTACGCCGAGTTTGTGGGACCCTACTGTAATTGTAACGTAAAAATCTCCATATAACATGAAACTTGCATTGAAAAAGTAGCATACAGTAGTTGGCTCCTGCTAACAGCTCCTGTCAAGGACTAATTCCTAGGCTATGCTATTGGATTAATACGAATACCAAGTTCAATTAATAGGAATATATCTGTTTAGTCCTTGTAAGAACAAGCCTACTATAGCCAACTTGTTACAAAGCCAAGTACGCCTAAATGTTATTTTTACTTAACAATTTTCAACATGTTTAAATTAAAAGCCGATTTCAGGATAAGTTGCTGAATACTGTTTTCTGCCACTGTTTTCTGAATTCTGTTTCTCAACGTTTGTTGAAGGACAATTTGACCTATGCGTAATGACAAAGGACGATTTCTTGACATTGAAAAGTGTTATTCATAGAACAAGTAACATATTACTATGGTTAAAAGTTATAGCAATGTCGTTTTAACATTAAAAATAAAGAAAGGCAATAAACTCCAATTTCAGTAGGCTAGGCTCTGTAACACAAAAAAAGTATTTTTAAATAATTGTTTTACAGTTTTATTGTTTTTAATAGTTGATAAAAGACATCTATAAATGAATGTATATTAAAGAAATAAAATGGGCTTTTAAAATATAGTATGGTTGTATGTCCTTTGAACTTAATGAAATTTACATATAAGATGCTTAAAAATAATGCAATAAGTCGTTTCAGCCAAACAATTTCACGACAGGCTTCACTCGCTGCAACAATTTCAGCTTCAGTGCTTGAGGTCGCCACGCTCGATTGTTTCTGACTTAGCCAGGTGATTACTCCTCCTCCAAAACTGCAGACTACTCCTGTTGTAGAATGGGGTCGCCGGAATTGAACCCACCTGGAATTGTACCCCCCGGCGATCGTTGACGTCATTTTGACGTCACGCCTAGGGGGGGTACAATTCCACCCTGTACACTTTGATTTGAACGAAATCTAATCTATTTAATGTGGGCAAGTGATCAGTGAACCGGATAATTATATTAGATATTAATAAGAGCAGGAGATGTACGGCCCGGAATTGTACCCCCCTGGAATTGTACCCCCCGGAATTGTACCCCCTGCCAACATCAAAATATTTACGTACGGGGTGGAATTGTACCCCCCTGGAATTGTACCCCCCATCAGAAAGCCAAATGTGTACGGGGTGGAATTGTACCCCCCGGAATTGTACCCCCCTCTTGGACACCTAGCTTGGCTGGTGTACGGGCTGGAATTGTACCCCCCACCCACTCGATAAACTTAATTGGTATTATGAAAATGATTAGTTTAGTTGAATAAATGGATGGTTTATTTTATATCACATTTGCTACACGATTCATATTGGCCTATACACAGTTTTTGAAATATCTAAGACATACTATTACTATAGTTCATACTACTTCTTCCTTTATTTGTTAAGTTTGGTGTAATATTTTAATTGGAACATTGATTATGAAATGGGTAACTGATGAAGCCCTTTACTCCATAAATTCCGAAACCTATTTGTATTTGATTATTCATGAATATATTTAATTAATCAGCTTTCACAATACCATTTTCAAAAAAGCTTTATGTTCGCTTTGAAGCCTTCTGTTTACTGATGAACATTAATCAGTTGGCACTTTTTATGATAAACCTTAATTATTGTAAAATTCAATGATTACCTTGAAGCAGTTATTTACAACATTTTTACAATATACATCTACAATATCCAACATAACTATTGTTTCGATTTTAGTTGGTAATCAGAATAGACAAGCTCCTGGCTGAAATGGGGGGGGGGGTACAATTCCTGGCCGTACATCTTCTTCTGCGGTGACCAGGGGGTACAATTCCAGGGGGGTACAATTCCACCCCGTACACTGGCCAAATAAAAGTGAGTTCTAACTGAGGGGGTACAATTCCAGGGGGGTACAATTCCGCCACCCCGTAGAATGTCCGGTCGATCAGCATGGTCAGCATCGCTGAAGCACTCCAAAACATGGTTGTTTTCCTTGAACTGGTATTCTATTCCGTAGTCGATCGTTCCTTTCAGGTATCGCAGTATCCTCTTCACCCTTATGAAGTCTTCGTGAGACGGGTTTTCAAGAGTACGCGATGCTTTACTCACAGCATAGGCTATGTCTGGCCTAGTTGCTGTCATCAGGTACATCAGAGCACCTACAGCTTCTCTGTAGGAAAATTTGTCTCTTGAGCTATCTGCTTTTCCTGCTGGTTGCGTTTCGTTCTCTTTCACGATGGGTGTTGGAGCTGGTTTACAGTCACTCATCTGAAAGCGTTCAAGAATTTTCTTTGTATACGCTTTCTGCGATATTCTAACATTTCCGTCACTTTTCTGTTCTATTTCTATGCCTAAATAGAAAGATGCTGGTTTGGATGTGATTTTGAACTCCTTCGTCAGATGATCCATGAAGTTCTGAAGCATTCCCGTGTTGTTTGTCGCTTTAAGCCCATCATCTACGTACAGCACTATAATCAGCTTACTTTTTCCATCTTCTTTTATGAACAGACATGGATCAGCATCACTTTTCTTGAATTGAAGTTCCATGAATTTGTTGAATCTGGTACTCAAACAGCGAGGCGCCTGTTTCAAAACATAGAGACTCTTGTTCAGCATTCACACACGATCTGTACCATCCTTGTATCCTTCAGGCTGCGTCATGTAAATAACTTCATCGACTTGGCCGTATAAGAATGCAGTTGATACATCGAATTGTGTTAAACTCAAATGTTCCACTGCTGCTACACTAAGTAGGGATCTGATTGTGCTGAGTCTTGCTACTGGGCTGAAAGTTTGGTTGAAGTCTACTCCTTTCTTCTGCGAGAAACCTCTAACCACCAACCTAGCTTTAAACCTGTCAACTGGGCCGTCAGGATTAGTTTTTACTTTGTATAACCACTTGCATGTTATACATTTCTTTCCTGCAGGCAGTTTCTCCAGGGTCCAAGTTTGGTTTTCCTTGTGCGACTTCATTTCACTTTCCATCGCTTCTTTCCAGTAGGCAGTTTTTTCACTTCGCATTGCCTCCGTGTATGACTCAGGCTCATTCAGTTCTTGAACATTAGTAACTGCAGTCATTATGTAGTCGTCGAACCTCTTCGGAACATTGATTTCTGATCTGTTTTGTAGATCATAAATGTTCGATCTCTCAGGTAGATCAGCTCCCTCCTCGTCTTCATTTTCCTCCAGTTCTTGACAAACGTTACCTTCAACATCGTATTCTAATCCTCGGGAGTTGTTTTCTTGACTTGTTTCACTTGATAAAGGGATTTCATATTCTTTTATCTGAAATAAGGGCTCTTCGTTGAAAATGACATCTCTCAATCTCACCAGTGTGTTAGTTTCTTTGACCCAGATACGATAGCTACATTCATCGTACCCAACAAGTATTCCTTTCTGTGCTTTCTTCTGCATCTTTTCCCTCTTTTGTTTTGGTACATGCGGATAACAGACGCTTCTGATTATCCTTGGATGCTTGATACTAGGTCTTTTTCCAAGCCATAGTTCGTACGAGGTTTTGTCAGCTTTTGAAGAAGGGCGGGTGCGGTTGAGGATGTAAGCAGCACAGTTGATCAGTTCGGCCCATAAGCCGAAGGGACTCATGGCAGTGCATCATAGCACGAGCTGTTTCCAGGATTGTTCGATTTTCCCCCTCACTGCAACCGTTCAGCTCCAGTGTGTAGGGCATCGTCAGGGTGTGCTTGATCCTCTGTTCTGCAACATACTCTTAACTATGCCGTTATCAAACTCTCCGCCATTGTCACTCACCATTTCTTTAACTACATGTCCAGTAGTCTTATCTGCTGCCAGAAATAGTTTCAGTTTTTCAGAAACTTCCGATTTTTCCTTCATGAAGTGAACATGTTGATACCTGAAATAGTCATCTTTAAACAAAACATAGTACTTGTAGCCTGACATCGAACACTGGAAAGGTCCACACACGTCCGTATGAATTCGTTCCCTAGGTGTTGGGGCTCGTTCTCTAGTGCCAAATTTTAACCTGTGACTCTTTCCATAGACGCAGCCTTCACATAACTCTTTATCCCAACTAGTTTTATTCCCAGCTCTCTCTCTCAATGGTTGCTTTCACATGTTTCGTGTTTTGATGCCCTATCCGCTCATGATACACCTGTAGAAGATTGTCATTATTGGTTAGTATGTTTACTTCGATAGGCTCGCTTGGTTTTACATTTTGAAACTTCGGCTTATACAGACCACCTTTTCTACATCGGTAACCTACCAAGGAAACTTCTCCATTCACCTCAAGTTGACATGTTTCCGTTGTTGACGTGAACTGACTTTGTAAATGCAAGTCCTGAGACGCATGTACTGAAAATAAATTTCTTTTTATTCCCGGTACATACCCAACGTTTTCTAGTGTGACTCTCTTAGGCTTCCCATTTACCTCCTCATCAAGTTCAATGGTTCCCTTTCCCAGCGCGTTGATGGACTCTCCATTGGCTGCCACCACTGACTCCTGGTTGAGGAACGGCTGAAACTTATGAAACAATTCTCCTCTATGCGTGACATGATTAGTGGCACCGTTGTCTACATACCAACAGTCACTGTTGTTTTCAGTCATCATTACATCAACTGACAAAGTCATATTTGAACTAGGTTTACTATCCTCTGTTACTTGATCTTATTTGTTTTAATTACAATAGTAACAACAAAACCAAGTAGGCCTAGTGTATTTGTTATAATTTTTAGTTATGTTTTACATATTCAGTATGACATTGTAAAGTGATGGACTTTATTTTTTTGATAAAATGGAACTAGGTATACCATATATTTTGTTCTTGTTTACGTAAAACACTGTCAATGACTAATTGTAAATATTTTTTATACTGTATTTTTTTGGAGAAAATAAAATATTCTTATTCTTACTTTGGAAGTGGATGGTTTAGGCCTCCTCCCATCTGCTTTCCATTTTGTACACTGCTTAACTTTGTGCCCTGTCTTTTGACAATAATGACATGTGACTTTCTTATTAGTTCCCTTAGTTTCTAAGCTATCTTTGTTTTTGGTTCTAGTTTCCGATTTTACCTTTAACGCTTCTTGACCCTGAAAGTTACGCCGTTATGCTTTTTCGTATGCACACAGTTGAGTGGTTAGGTTTTCAATAGTCCTTTCAGACTTTGCCATCATCATCCAACTAGACTTGAACGCAAAACAGTCCTCAGGAAGCATTCCCAAGATTTTACAGATCAAAAACAAATCTGGTAAAACAAATTTGTTGTCCCCTTCTTTAGATATATCAAGTTTCAAACTATTCTATAAGTTCTTAAGCTTAGATAGGTTACCAGAAATATCAATGCTAGGATCCCGATTGAAACTTAAAAATCCTTGACATGTTTCGAAGGCTTTGTCCTCAGACACCCCATCAAACAACCTATGCAGCTCTAGCCACACGTCTCTTGCATTTGTAAAACGCATTACTTTTTCTAGGGTTACATCTGACAGATTGGTGGTAATGATTATCATAGCTGTACTCTCAGCCTTCCTGAACTTATCTAAATATGCCTCATACTCAGCTACCTCTGCTGTTGACGGATCTTCTTTCTGTGTAGGCGCTTGTAGATTTCCCTCTATGACATCCATTACTCCAGACTGACTCCTATGCAGAATACTAATCTTGAACTTCCAGGTAGCCCAATTATCTTTCCCATTTAGAAGTCCAATTTGCACTTTGGTAAACTCCATATTTTTATTTAGCCTTTTCCAGTAAATAATATGTTACAAAAAGAAATAAGTACTTCACTATCAACAGTTTGTTATATTAACGAAACCACGCTCTGCTACCATGTTGAAATTAAAGAAAATAACTGTTGATTCAGGAAAGAATAATTGTATTAAAACATTTTGCTATGTTCACATCTATAAACTCAAATTATTGTTTATATGACAAAGCTACTGCACTAATAATAATAGCACAGCTGAGAAAAACAGAGGAAAATTATTGAAATGACAGATAATCACATATCTTAACATTTTCACCTCAGGATAAAAAAATATCTAAAAAAAAACAATAAGTGTCAAGTGCCATGCAAATTAGTGACTATTGTTAGTGTTGAAGGTTTTGGGTCCAGCTTAATACCTGAACCTTACATTTGGTTGAAGGTGGTTTTCTCTTTCACTCCTAAGGAGAAGCCTCCTTTTGATTGTTTTATAACTATCTTTACTAAGCGGTTCATGTGTTGTTGTTTTTTCTCTATTTTTTATTTCAGACTGTTACCTGAAGATAATGACCGGACAGTGGGACCTGTTGATAGTGAGGGACACGATAGCGAGGCTGAAGAATCATTTAATTCTTTAATACAAGAAGAGAGAAACAAGAAGTTTTTGAGTGTAGAACTTTTCAATACTAGTGTAAACATAACTTATGTCTCAAATTAACCCATTGGCCTACCGTGGCGGATGCAGCCAGGGGGCCCCCTCTCCTTGGACATAAATGTTTAACTATCGGGTAGGCCTAACACGTGTAAACTTGGGCCTGGCTTACACTCTTACCTAAATATTACAGTGCAGTCCGGCTAATCCGAACTAATTGGGACCGAACCCCGTTCGGATTAGCTGATTGTTCGGATTAGCCGAAATAATGTAAATAATCAAGAAGGAAGCAATTTTATGCGGTCGTAGTGTCGTAATATGAACGAGCCATACACAAAAACCAATATTAATATTCCATTTACTACAACAAAATTAAAAAACAAAAGTTAAATAAGCGCATTAGTTAATCAAACTTAGTGTAGAGCGATATGAACGGGTGGGCAGACGTGTATGATGTGACGATAATGCGCGCGGACTGTACGTCTGCTCTGACTGTTGTCGTCGTCAGACTCTGACTGACGACATCATAGCAGCTAGCAGCAGTGACGCAAGATCATGTTCAGGGCGACGAGGGGGAGGGTAGTGATGACGAGCCAGGGGGCGGGGGAGGAGAAGAGAAAGTGACACACAATGAGGCAGCTGCAGCGCTTGACCTTGCCCTTCGCTACTTAGAACAACAGTCAAACCAGTCTACTGCCACACCTGCAGATGTGATATTCATGAGAAAATGGCGGAACTACGCGGCAAAAAACAGACTTACTAAACTGCAGCAAATGACAATGCGAGATTTAATGTCCAATAACAAGTAGGCCTAACCAAAGTTAATTTTTTAGTACGGTATGTGCAATATTTCTTACAAAATAATTCTTTGTTTTATTTGTTGTTTTTTATTACGATTTGTAAATTTAAACTTTACGTAGTAAAAAAAACCATTGTATTCCTTAATTGACTACTCTGTTTATACTTCATTTCAAGATATTTTACCTTTCCCATTGTATTTTATATAGTGCAAATTTATTAAAAATAATATCGGGAACGTGTTCGGATTAAGCGGATGTTCGGACTAACCGTGTTCGGATTAGCGGGACTCAAGTGTATTTACTTAACTACCATAAATTGAAAAATTGATGTAAGCTATTTTCCCTCATAACTTACTTAACCCTGGAAGTGTATTCCACTTAAGTTGCTTTTATTTTGAGAAAGCAGCCGTTTTCGACTGAATAAAGGACATTTGCCTACTTCAAAAGGCGTTGCGCTAGATCCATTCCAGTCCACATGAACTAGATTGAATTCTGTGTGGCCGTAAACTGATATTCTAAGCTTTATTCCATAACCTTAGTTGTTAAGATTACAGTGTAATTGCATAATCAATGATTCTGGCATTGACTTTAAATCACACGCATGTAGGCCTAATCTTTTTATCCTATTGTACATTTTGAAACTCGTTTTGAGTGTGTTTCATAACAAAATTAATTTATATAAAACCCAATATTTGTAGTCAATGGTTTCGTATTTAGTGAGGTTTGAGAATGTTGACTAAATGTTTTTTTGGATTTATTTTTAGGGAAAATTATATTTTTTTGTTCTTTATTCTTTTATTCAAAATACTATAATTTAGGCTAACTATAATGGTTTAGTAATAGGGCCGCTTTCCCCAAATCAAGTTTAACTCTGATCGTGGTTTAAACTCTAGTTTAACCTCAGATTCACTTTCCCCAAAATAATTTCTCGGTTTAAACTAGGTTTGAGTTAACCCTCCGTTTGAGGCTGGAACTGGGGATCTATGGGTTAAACGGCCTCGGTGGTCTAGTGGATAGCGTGCCGGGCAGGTAATCTGAAGGTGCCGGGTTTGTATCCTGCTGGTAGCACTACTTTTTTATTATCAGCAAGTTTGGTTGGTTTGGTTAGGTTATGACAGTTTAATTTTATGAACATAACAATTTTTTTTTCCGATTAAACCTTAATTCGATTTTTTCATTATCAGCAAGTTTGGTTAGCTTGGTTATGTTGTGACAGTTTAATTTTATTTTATAAACAGAACTATATTTTTGATTAGTAAACCTTCATTAGATTTTTTCATTATCAGCAAGTTTGGTTAGGTTATGACACTTTCATTTTATAATTAAAACATAATAAAATTGAATTTGAGGCATTTATAAATTTATTTTATGAACAGAACTATTTTTTCAATTAGTAAACCTTCATTATAGTCAATCAAGCCTCCAAATGACACTGTTGGCAAAACTAATCCTGAAATAAAAATTGTGCAATCGTATCTATTTTTATTTCAGACCATTACCTGATGATAGCGACACGACAGTGGAACCTGTTGATAGTGAGGGACACGATAGCGAGGCTGAAGAATCATTTAATTCTTCGATACTAGAAGAAAGAAATGACGAGTTTGTGTAGAATCTGTTGAAGATTATACATTTTATGTGTTTTAATAAATTGTTTGAATTGTAATGTGATTTTCTTTTTGGACCTCTTACTTTAATTTATCAAACATTTTTTTGAACAGACTTTTAATAATACACAGATTATTTAATGTAGTGCAGCATTTTAAACTTTCCGTTTAATTTTTACTTTTAAACCTAAATTGCACTGTACGTACAATTATATATATTTAAATCTTAAATGTCAACTCAAATAATATAAACTTTAATTGTCAGTGTTAAGAAGTTGTGTTAAGGTACTGCTAGTTATTAGTTCTAATTATTAGCAGAATTATTGAACAAAGTAATAATAATTGTTTCAGTAAAACCCCAAACTGCTTAAACAATTTGACATATATAAATACCCCCGCCGCAGCAAACCTGCCGACTAAGCTAATTTCCATTTGTCTGAATTGATTTTTTATTAAATCTATTTAAATAACATTGGGAGCGAGCTGGCATAGTGGTTAGAGCACGGGACTTCAGTCCCTGAGGTCCCGGGTTCGATCCCCGCCAAGTCACCAATGGATTTTATCCAAGTGATAATGCCGCAACCCCTAGGTCTAGCCTGAAGTAATGTGAAAAACAATCCCAGGCTCGTGCCTAGCGTCCTAGGAAAAAAAAATTAAATAACATTAGGTTATTTAGGCATTACCTAGGATTGCCGCTATAAGGAAACTAATAAAGTGTATTTTTTGTAAGTGGAAAATACCCTCCTTTTAATGAATTGAAAGTGCTTTCCTTCAAATTGTCACATTTATACAGTACATTTTATGAAAATTTAGTCCTAAACCTCTATTGTAATGTAAATAAGAGGTTTAATAAATATATATATCAATATATTTAAGTTGAATAGATATCTATTTTCTTTCAAACTATGCAATTTATAGACATTTTCTAAACGTTTAGGCCTAAACATCCATTAGATATCGATATTTATTTATATGTTAATAGAACATCTGGCCTGAACATTTCTTAGATATCTCGATATCTGTATTTGGGAAACTTGAATGTAAGAGGTTTATAAGATATGAAAGGTTTATATTACGATATCTATACGATATATTGACTAACAAATTTAAATGTTTAACAGATATCTTATGGGTATGTTGATATGTCTGTGCTATCTGGGTGTTTATAAAAAGATTGTTCAGATTGCCTTCTAATACTCCTAATTATACAGGTACTATATACAGAGGCAGGTGCTGATAACTTGTTTTGCCATACTTAAAGAACAAAAATATAAAATAGTCAGAGTGTTATCTTTGCCTAATAATAGATTGCCTAGAATATTAGCAAAACAGATTATTGAAAAACATATTTTGGTGCAGACATTGGGAAATTGTTGGGGAAACCCATGATTTAGCAATGGATTTTGAATATCAGTGCATTGACGATACAGTTGGGATCGCTGGCAGAAGCAATTAAAATCAACTGGAAGGATGAATGTGTAGGCCGAGCTAGGACATCATTCTGTTTATCACAAACAGCTATAGGGTTCTAGAATAAAGAGAAAATCAAGAGTGACATGTTTTTCAAAATCGATTCGTTAACAAGATATACACCATTTTGATATACACCGATTTTAAATTTGTGTCTCAGGGTAGTTCACGAATGTCTCGTTATTCTTCGATTACATTGCGTATACCTCATCATGTGACCACAGCTTATGGCAGGGCTTTTGTTGTTACCGCTTGTCGTCTGTGGAACGGCCTACCCCTACACATTAAGACCCTTGAAAAACGTTCCCAGTTTGTGGCGGCACTGAAAAAGCTCTATTTTGAGAAGATGGTCTCGGCTGGCGTGTCCTAGGGCTACTGTTACCTTGCGCGTTTGCTGATACGTGTATGCGAGAGTGTGTAAATGTGTTTTTCTATTTGTTAAATTGTTATGTTTTTTTTAGATATGTAGGTACTTGAATTGTTAAATATTTTATGTTTAATTAGATTAAGTTATCCCTATGTTACATTATTTATGTTATATTTTTAATGTCAGGTTAAGTGTAAGAAAGGGCCATGTGGCCCTAACTTTGCCTGAAAAAATAAAGGATTTTTCATTTTTTTTTTCATTTTCATTTTGTATTTTTTACATAAAAATGCTTTTCTTTGAATTTTTTCAACCGATCTTAATGAAACTAGGTATGTACCTCTTTTGGTAGAAGAAAAAATACAATGTACAATGTTTTGGTATTTTATGTTAGAAAAAGGTTATTTTCATTCAACTTAAAATTTAAAAATGGCGGCCATTTAAAATTTTTAAACTTAAATTACTAAAATATGGCTGATTTTATGAATAAATATCAAGAACACTTTTATTTAGCATTTTTAATTCCCCACCGAATGATACCAAGTTCAAATATAACGAATAAAAATAGCTGAGACATCACGATTTGTTACCTATCCAATAATTTTATTTACCTATTTTGCCTGAAGGTCTTGTAGTTGAACTAGAAGTTACTCATGAGCATTAATGCATTGTTTAAAACTTTGCGATGAACAGATGATCTAGCGAGTGAACTTCATAATTTGCAATATTATTTGAAGCCGAGAGGGCTGCAAGTATCTATGGTTTGTTTATATCTCTCTTCATACCTTATTTTGACCCTTGGTATCCGGTCTCAGCTAACTATTACCCGGCTGGTAGCACCGTGGGGATTAGAATCTCAAATATTAATTGAATTTTGAAATATATAGAAGGCACAGATCTGCCGTAAATATTTAAATAAAAAATTTGATAACCTTATTTCAACCAATTAAATACAATTTAACAATAGAATACCTACTGTATTAAGTTATAATTTTTAGATTACTATATGATAACACGTCTTTTTGCCAAATCAATAGAGGTGAGGTGTCTTTACAACAATGTGGGGTGACATGTTTGGGTATTTTAATCCTATAGTGATACATTTTAAAATGTAATAAAATAAACAGCAAATTATTCAAAGAACATTCCCACGGCAACATGGCGGCGTAATGCTTTCACTCTTTCTACCTCCCAGAGTTTTACATAAAGAAAAGTATTTTTTAGCTTATGTTTGAGAAGATGGAGTTTTGGGATATTGGGTAGGCTTAGGCTAAGTCTAATGTAGGCAACCAATCTAGCTTACTATTTAAAGGTCAAAGAAGTAAAGAGTTAATAATGTTCAGCTGATAGATAAGAAGTGTTTTAGAGTTGTGATAAAGATTTTTTTAATAACTACCTAATCAATACCTATATTTAAGAAATATTGTGTAGCCTTTCCTGAGTAATAGCAAATTTATTTCAATAGTTGTGGTCATAGTTCCATTTAGCGAATTTCCCCATAGGGAAGTAGCTTTTACCCTAGGTGGCCCGGAAAGATATAGACTCATAACCAATTCAATTTTCATTTTAATGTCTGAAGAGGCCACACACACTATTCGTTCAGATTTGTATGTCCGTAAAAATTTTACCCAGATAACTTTTGTCTGATTTTGATAAAATTTGGAATGAATGTGTAAAGGTGGATGATTTTGATTGAGTTCCCAAACCAGCTAGATTATGCTATGGAAATCCAGGGATATGTTGTGCTATTTTTACACTAGGCCTATTAGAATTTCAAATGTTAACCCTTAGAACATGATGGACATTCCCACATGAAGCCGTCGTGTAGCTTCATGCCGGGTTGTAGCCCTGTATGCCTTGTTGTGTCTGGATGTGGTTGTAGACCTTAAAAAATCAAACCATTTTATACATTTAAGCATTGTTGTACAATTAAAGGTTCTGGAGGAAATAAAATAGTTATGTGAGTCGGTGGCTTAGTTGATAGCGTGTCACGGAATTCGGGCCCAAGGCAGCGATGTCGGGGGTTCGAAACCTGGTCTCTGCCGCAAACATTTTATAAGTACAGTTCACCTTGTTGTACCGGCTCACCACTTGCTTTGCTGGATACGTTCCACGTACAGATCTGTAGTCTATGTGGGGCAAATGCAAGGTTAAAAGAGGTCGCCAACCTCTTTATAAAAAAATGAAAAAAAAAAAAAACAACAAACCTGTACATTTCAAATTCCCAAAGGGAGAAAATGAGAACTGTAATTGTAGTTTGCTTGTTTATGGGTATATTTCGATACCATTTGGCAAATTTATCTCTTTGATCCTATACTATTAACCTTTGATAAAAAACCGATTTTTTCCCTTGCCTGTATCCGCAAATCTCAGTACTTACTAGGCTTATGTTATTTAAATAAGGAATAAATAATAAGACTTTAGGGATGAAATATAAAAACAACATTTTCATACAAACTTTTAAATTTCATTAATTTGGCACATCTCTATATTATTTACAAAGAGTAAACACAGTTGAAATGTTGTCTTTCACTTCTTGTTCTAATATTTCACAATCCAACATGCAATAAATAAAACTAATAACAACATAGTAGTTAAGATAATTTAGTTTGTATTGTTCTGAGATACTGAGAAAATGTAGTCTATAAATATATAAAAATCCACAAAACCAAACAAAATAATTTTTATTTGCAATTCACACATGTTATGTAATTAATAAATATTAAATTTTGAAAAATTTCATGAGGACAAGTTTATTATACCTCATGTAATAAATTACCAATTGTTACTTCAGTGTATAAGACAATTTTATTTATTTCAGACTGTATAAAAATATAAGGAAATATAAATCATTAAAAATCACCATTCAGTCTTATGAAAAAGTTACATTGTATAAATGAACTACTGTACAGTGTTTAACCATCATTAATAAAGAATACTTAAAACATTATTGAAGACTAGATCATGTGAAAAATATTCACTTAAAATATTTTAATTTTGTCATAAAAGTATGCTTAACTTACCTGTTAGTAGATTGCCATGGACATATGCAAATCTATATACATATTCTCAATGTAAAAGGACCTTTTCAAGGTATTAGTCAAAGATTGGGCAGCACCACAATTTTCAAAGTACAAGATGGTTAATTGTAAAGCAACAATTTGTATGATGTATATCCAACAAAACATGACTAAGACAATTAATATATCGTAAAAACACTGCTTAAATATCAGTTTCAATGGCCTTTTCATTCCCATTTTAATCGTGGTAAGCCTACCTATGTATTTATTATAAAATTAATTCATTGCATCGTTTAACTTGTAAGGTCACATGATTGTATGGTCTCATGCTTGTCTTTTTTTGAATATTTGGCTTAATTAATATTAGACTGTATCATAAGATATATCTCATTCAGATATTATTGTAAAAGTTTTGTTACAAATTTGCATAAATGTATCATAGGCCTTCATTAAATCAAAACTTATGACTACCTAAACATAATCATTATAATGGTGTAACACTATCCTCAGACTTGTGCCCAATAATGAATAACTGCTTCTTTTGATTTTGTCACTGTGCCACTATTGCCACTGGTTCCACACCGATGTAAGTGAAAAAAAAACTTCTAAGCTTAAGTAAATGTGAAAAGTAGTTGGTAAAATGTAACTCATAACTACGTAATACAGTACAGTAATTTTAAATAGTTAAATTTCAGTAATTAACGGATAACCAGATCATGAATAGGCACAAGTGCTTTTAATATTGTCAAGGGAGTTCATAAATTGGTAAAAATATAACACTTTTAAAACGTCTTAAGCAGTTTGATGACCAAACATAAATGAATTAGTTACATTTCAAACACAATATTTACATACAAGATTTTAACAGTTTTCTGCAGACAGCTTATAGCTCGACAGCAGATTATACATCATATCAATATATATATAAGCTATAACAACAATAAGTAACAAAGAACTGTAACATGAGAAGATCTTCACATATATACCACATTTAACAACAACTCAACAGCTATATTTTGATTGTGTTGCATCCTTTGGGAAGCAATTCATACAAAAAGTTGCATTTAGTTCAAACAATGACATAAGCTCTGCTTATGAGCTTGAACAATAACATAAGACTCAATGTAGGTTAATTAAAACAAAGAAGCTATATCGTGAAGTTTTTCAAATTTTTGAGGGTAGTAAATATGTCACATGATATTTTAAACAGTTCAGTCGATCAGTTCACTAGACTTATCATTTAATCGAGTCCAACATAACATTACTAGAAACGTACAAAAATCATTACTTCTTTTCTCAATTAATTTCAAACACCTCGATGATAACTTTGAGGTTACTATAAGCGTTTTATGCAAATTTAAAATTACAATGAATAATAAACCAATAATGCAGCTTTTAACCCATGAACCAAATCATACCTACATTGAATTCTGTGAAAACAGAGAAACAGTATGTTGCATCTTTCAACATTGTAGTAACAATATTTTTCATTAAAAAGGGGTCAGACTTATTTTACTAAATTTGAAATTCATATTCACCCCTTCTTTTGCATCTTCTAGCTATAAATGACAAACAATAAATGACTAAACAATAAACAACAAATTTTAAAATGACTATTTACTGTACACAATATGTATGTACCTACATTTTTCTATTTATTTTCCAACTTTTTTAGTATTTTAAACAAAAAAAATCATGCAATTAATATAATCTAATATTGCAGATTTTAATCAATTAATTAACCTGTTTCTGTTTATTTTCTCATCAGAGCAAAAACTCATTTGGATTTGCTAAATGCAAAGAGAGTGAAAACTGAAGTTATTTTTTCATTGAAACATAAGTACCGTATACATTACACAATGTTTCAAAAGAAATGTTTGAGATTTATTATTAATTAATTGGTGGATTTGACACACCTATAGATCATTTGGTACCTAAAAGTTGTGTGTATGATAATTAAAAAATAGGTGTCATATGAGTTGAATTTATTCAATCTCAATATTTCATTATTGTAATTTGTATTTTTCTTTGACTTTACAATAAGTACCTAAAAATGTAAAGTGGAAGCTTAATCAAATGTAAATACAGTACAACCAAAGTCACATTTATTTTATTTAGTTTTTATTTTACACCTGGTTAGTTTCAAATTGAAAAAGGATTTTATAAAAAATCTATAAAGCCAAAAACAAATTTTCCACAGAAAAAATGAGAGGATTTTTTATAACCTGCATGAAAATAATTGATTCATGCAGTAATATATTTGAGCACAGTAAGAAGTATTAGCATAAAGTCTTCAAGAGGATGAACATGTGTGGTTCTAAAAATGGTAAAAAGTATTATAAATATTGGTACCGTAGTAAAAATCTGTTTAATCTAAAGTAATGCTAGGTTTTTATGTTAATAGTTACGTCACCTTAAATACTTAATTATTGTTGTCTAAAAACATGGGTAAAATTTGTTATTTAATTTTTTGAGTATATCTGACATTGCCAAAAGATTCATTAAAAACAATTTAAGATATTTAAAACCACAATTCGAAACCATCAACATTCTGATATTTGATAACTTCTGATACTTTGAGTTTCACTTTAACCATAACTTAAAACAAAGGACATCTTGGAAATACAGATTTAAAAGTTACAATAGTTTTGTTCCACTTTGCTATAAAAATATGAAATAGTAGTAAATTATCAGTCAATGAGGTGTTTGGAATTGGGAGACGTCACACCGCTATGGTGAAGTGGTGAGGCTTTTTCTCCCTGGGCACTCTATGGAGGTTGGGATGCCTATGCTGGGGCGTTTTGGGACTCTTTTTATGGCTCTTATGGCACTTGAGTCCGTGGAACGATTCCATGTCGCACTCTGCCTCGCTGAGCTCGTGAGGGTCGGAGAACCCTGTTGGCGGGTCGAGTCGCGTCGAGAACGGCAGATTCCCACCCTCCTCTCGTCTGCAACGTGACTAAATTATCAACACTTGTGTAGTAATGTTTGAAATATTTCATATGCCCCCCTCCTTGAGTATTGGTATCAAAAGATGTGTGTACAAATAATAGATGACATTAGTGTTTTCAGTAACCCCATTGGCATAGCGGGTTTAATGCAGGGTAGGGGTAATGCTGAATAGTATAAGTTAAGTGAAATTGATGTAGCCTACATAAAGTTTGGAAACTATTATTTAAACTATTTATACTTATAAATTAACGACATTAGGGGAAGACCCCTAGCCTAGGGAGTATCACGCTCCCTTCAGTACTGATCTCACCAGAAGACTCTGCTATGTGATTATTATGATACACTCATTATTTGTATTTGAAACAGTATATAAGGAAAATAATAATTCTTTATTTAAAACAATAGCTGCTGTTGTATAATGTATGGGATGCTAATGGGTTGCAAGAAACTTAAGTTCTGGTTGTGCAATTTTTGGTTATGTGACCTACTGCTAAAAGAGCTCAGAAGGTAGCAGCACAGAACAGTTGCTAACAGGTTCCAAAAATATCAGGCTCGTTTTTTACCCTGTCAGCGCCCTAGGCAAAACTAATGGTAGTGCCCCCTTACAATATGTGTCCTACGGCCGGGAAAACCGGGAATCATCCTGGAGTTTTTTTTGGTCTGGGAATTGTGTGTGAATTTTGTATTTCTTCCTGGAATTTCCAATTTACCACGATCGCGCATGACGACAGTGACGTATTGGTGATTACCATTTTGCCGTTTCAATATGTCTAGAATCCGCGGGAGACGATATAGATATAATGATGTCTTCACAGAACCAAGGGATGATCAAAATTTTGCCCCGATTGGAGAAGACGTTGATAATGTCTACACGACTGCGGTAAACTGTCCAAATTTTTCTGCTATCGTTTTAAGATGACGATGATCTTCACAAGACTGCAATATGATTTTTTCCGCAATCCTGGGAGACGGTTACAATGTCCACACGGCCGCGAGGGATTACCAGAAGTTTACCACAATCGCATGCAAATACAACCATCATTTTATTCATTTTCAAATTTTTTCCAAAAAAGCCAATTGCCCCACGGGCTAGGCACGTGCCTACCGGCCCTGAAAAATATCAAGTTCAGAGTAAATTTTCAAACAAATTAGAAATTTTCTTGGCATTGTCGAAAAGCAAGCATCTAAGAAAGAAATTCCCAATCACCACCACCAAAAATGAGTTTCAAACATTGAACCTTTTTTTTTTTAAATTTGAGTAATAAAAGGAGAGTGTGTGAAAGAGAGAGAATTGAAAAATGGTTTTGTGTCATGGTGATCTCAGTTTAAAAAACAGATAATTAAGGTAAACTTACATCTCTAGTCTCTAGTGTTGAGCTTCAAATTGGACTTATCTAATCTGGACGTGAATTATTTTAAAAGCCCTTCACAATTAGTGGAAAGCATGTGTTCACAACATTTCAGGATCTGGAATCTGTGATCTGAGTTTTCTTTGTGGATTTTCATTTGTCATTTATACCACATTGGCTGAGTTTGTGTAAAACACTTGTTTTTTACAAGAAATGTAGTGATGGAAAATCAAAATTAACTTAAGCCAAAAATTAACTTTCAACAAAGAATTTATAAGCTGACGCTAGAGTATGACTTGACTCGCTCTTTCAATCATCCTCAAGGTTTATTCGTTACCCCATGACTTATAAAGCTTACTTTTTTTTACCTGACGTGTGCTCTAAACTGAGAAGGTCTTCTGTCAGGGACCGGCGAGGCTTCAGGTGACGTACTGGACTCTGGGCCTCCCCCATTGTATAGCATGCCTACACAATACACAGGACATACAACCAACTGAGCCTGACACACACTTGACACCTCATCAAACAGGATTGATCAAAACTGTTTATTTTCAAAGGAGCACCAACATTAATTCCTGAGTCATAATAAAACAAGCCAGTGTACATACAATAATTAACATCAATAGTTAAGGCTAATTACAATATATCTGGTTTTCCTCATGTGTCCGCTAAAAAAAAAATCAAAAATTAGGATTTGTCCTTGCACCATAGGATATCTAATCAAAAACTAAAAAAATAATAGTATAGCTGCAAAGTTAAAAATAAATTGTCACCAATTTTGTTACTATGTATGCTGTAATGATGTAAATATGCTATGGAATTTGAGTAACAGTATGATAAAAAATGTCATCCCAGTAAAAGTAAAAAATTCATCCATCCATAATACCTACACATTTTTGAACTAAAATAAAATGCTTGTAGAGTATGCTAGAGATTCATGACATACTTCAGAAAAAGAGTCATATAACCGAACCATTTTTGAAATTCTTATCTGTTCTATAATCTGGCCAGGACAAATTATAACACTATCAATTATTATTAATATTTAAAAGTAGTTTCTGATAGCTTTTAAACATTTCACTATTTCAGACCATCTTCGGTTGTCTTACAATATAATATAATATATTGAATAGTTTCTGTTAAACATTACACGTTTTGATGTTTGTGGCTTATCAGATGATTGTTTTAAAAATGGTTTCCATCAAATTACAGTAGAGAGTCCCGTTAGTCCGAAATCGTTGGGACCGGACCCATTTAGGATAACCGAATATTTCGGATTGAAAGTTTTTTTTTTTTTTGTTTAAAATATTTAAAAAAAAATTTGTCTTAGAACGCTAGGCACGAGCCCGGGATTGTTTTTCACATTACTTTAGGCTAGACTTAGGGATTGCAGCATTATCACTTAAATAAAATCCATTTGTGATTTGTCGAGATTGGAACCCGGGACGAAAATGAAAAAAATGTAAATTAAAAAATACTGTATAAAACAAGTCTATCTCGTCCGGCCGCTAAAGAATACTTTGACCAGGTACAGCTAACTGTGTTAAAAGTTTAATAAAAAAAAATTAAAAATAAAATTTTTGGTTTTGGATTAAGCGGACTTTCAGATTACCGAAGTTCGGATTATCGGGACTCCACTGTTGCTGTAAACGTTATAGACTTAAAGAGAAAAAATGATTTGAAAATCTGAATTTCAAGTTCTATACAAAAATCAATACAAATTTCTAAAACAACCAATTTGACACCTCTACCTAAATTTCTAGGTACTGTATTGGGATATACAATTGTATGACAATATTTCTCATACAATGGGCTAACCGTTCTACATTTACACATATTAGGACTTACTCTGCAGTGGGATTCTATCATTTCGGCTCACAGCAAGGTTGTGTTCTGACCACTGGTCCGTGGTCGAACCAGAATAATCAGATCCCGTACTTATACACTTGCCCCCACCCTTTGAGCTGCCTCTTAGTTTTGTGTAGTCGTCACGACAGAAATTCGTCTGTAAAAGACAATTACGAGTTAAAGTGTCTTTGTCAACTGTTTTCATTTCACTCGGGCAGGAATGTATTTGAGTATAATAAACAAGATAGGAAGAATTCTAAGATTAGCCAGAAAGGCTAAAAGTAAATTGGTGACTAAAGATAAAAGAAGACTAACTTTTAAACTACATTCCAGACCAAGTTCATTAATAACCTATTGAAAGCAGTTTGCTACTAAAGGTAACCAAGCACTTTATCCATACTACATCTACTACTAAGAGGCAACTTTAAAAAGAGCAGGGGTTTATTTCTTAAAGTAAAATACCTCTAAGATAATGCTAATTGTCACATTTAAGATGTTAGAGTGCCCTTCAATTATAATATAGTATACTAGTCAAGCAAAACTAACCTTGAAACAGCTTCTAATTAAATATAGTACTAAATTAACATGCGTTATCTTATTTATTATTTTTTAAATAAGATATTTTTAATTGACTACGTAATGAGTTATTGCTTTTAATCAGTAATATTTGCTAGTTAAAGATGAAAAAGTAGTGTTCTCGTATATTATATTTATTCTTAATCTTATTATTATAAGATTAAGAGACAACATAGCTAATTTTATTAAATTAGCTATGTTGTAAATATGGAAATATGCATTTAGAATTTAAAGGAAATTCACTTATATGAGCTGTTTTACATATTCTCATTTTTACTCAGATTATTTTGATGTTAAATTATTTGGATGATATGCATTTGGTATACAACAATAATGGTTATTTGGTGTTATAAAGCTTAAGAAATTCAACTGATAGTGAATGAAGATCGGTTGGAAAAGGAACTTGTATAAAACATCTATACCTGACAAAAGGTTGTGAGAGGGGGGGGTTATGTAAACACATTTGCAGGTTGTATTATGAAATGGAATTTTAGGAAAATGTAAAAGAAGTATGTTACCTGTACTTCAAACATTTTCGTTCACTTATAGGATGTTATAGATGTTTGCCATAAGTTTTATAAGACGTGACTTACACTTTTGAGCTGCATAGTTTCCATTGCTGCTAGTCTATGGTCATGATAGACAAAACTCTGTATATTTGTGGGGGAGGAGGGTCTTTCTGTCCCTGCAACGTGGAATGTCGCATATGGAGAAATGTCATCCGGGTACTCTACAAAACAACATTGCAAACAGATAATGCTGCATTTACTTAAATTGGTATAAATTGAATTCTTAACAAGGATATATGCCTACATGAAGGTATGACAATGTACACAAAAATCCATTACTTTAAATTTAAAGTGTACTTACAAATTTTGAAAATATATTTAAAAGTCCACCGAATATCGTCTTTAGTAAATTTATATAACCTATCATCTTGCATAAAATATGTATTAAATATGGGAATAGTTACAGAATACATTTGATATAATTGATGTATGTATTGAATTTGATACATTTGGATAGTTTATACTCATGCAGCCCATTTTTTACCCTTTGAACTCAATGAATCATTCAGATATTAAATATTGTCTATTTGCAATGTCTTATGTGATCACTTTAATACCCCAAGATTCCTGCCTTAAAAAATCTGAAATTATTAAAATCTAAAGATTAAGAAAATCTATGAATTTGAATATCTAAGCTCCGACCAATAATATATAAGTATATTCTACTATTCCAGTTTCAAGAACTTGAATTATATTAGATTTACCTTTTTGTACCTTTATTTTGAAAGTATAGACTAGCTGTAGTGTTAGTGATAAAAAGATTACCCCTGAAGATGACACACATGGTGATTACGCCACACATCGGAAACATTACGTGGTGTCCCTACTCCCTATACAATTCTCCAACTGCCTCTGAGGTGTGCTATGGCGCACTGAGATGCTATTGTGATTCTGCCTGTACCAGACCTAATACTTTTGATTCTTGTCAACGTCACAAAAGATAGCAAATATGACAAAAAAAATTATGAATTTAATTTCCAGGTTTAGAGTTGAGGCCCTGTTTTTTTTTTTTACTTGGATTTTTCTCTAGGGAGGCAACGATCTCCCACCCTTCTCCACCTCCTACAGGCCCCCATGCTTGACATTGGTCGATAAAATTCAAGCATATTAGTAACTAATATTTAAGTTAGAACTGTTCTAACTTTGATTTCCAGGTTGCAGCACATTTCAGCAGGTAGCTAGCACCCATTGTTGAGATATTCTCCCATACATAGCTGTAAACGGAGGTTTTAATATGGTAGTCTTGCGTCCAATATATCGGACATTGGAGCTTAAAGGTTTAATGTAAGAATAATTACATTATGATTCATGAGCAAAGTGATTTAGAGAGAGTTATTACCAGGTATCTGTTCGATACAATGCAGGTCTCGCACTGGCGTTGTCATACCCTTGTGGACGGCCGCATAGTATTGCTCTCTCTGAGCCAGGTTTTGTTTGTTGTCTAGTGCCACCATTGCTTGAGCTTCTGTCTGGTTTCTTAGCCCCATTTCTCTTTCGTTTTCTGAAAAATTAACAAGGGCAACAGTGCATCTTGAGTAGATTTTTTAGAGAGGAGGAGACACCATTAAACATATATATTATTACATTATTCTGTTCCTGAACCTCTCTAAAGCTCAGGCATGTACACGCAATAATTATTAAAATTGAAAACACTTCTGATTATAAATGTTTATGAAAAGCAGAGAAGATTGTTAAGTCATGATTCACAAGAACCAGATGTAAACCAATACATTATTTCCAGTGCAATACACAGCCATTGCAGTCATAGTGAAAAATAAGTCTACAGAAAAAAAAGGAGTGAAAATTGTCATATTTGGAACAATTTAAGAAATTGTACCAAATTCGAAGAAGCACACTTCGAATTTAAACCCCACAGCTGATCAGAAGCCAACCAATTGCAGTAGTAGAGCTTGCTGGCCTGTGATTGGTCACGTGAGTCGAACTGGAACCTCAAACCTAGGCTTCGTCCCCAGTCTCTTTATGGGTGTATCATAGTGTACTTCGTTTGGGTAAGCCTCCGTTGGGTTTCGTGTAAATTAATCAATTACTGATCTTCATTATCCGCTTCAGCATATATGCCGAAAGGAATATGATAACATTTTTATTGTTGCAAATAATGTCATGGCAACCAGTTAACCCATAAGGCCCATGTTAAATTTCTAAAAGTTTAAATTCACGTTTGAAAAAGCCCTGTGGTCCGATTTGTACCATTTCAGATTTATATTTTCCCATGGTTGGTTACTATGACTTTGCTAAATTTCGTGCGGATCGCTACAGCTGTTCAGGAGGTGCATTTGTAAAACAAAAGCAGGAGTGTCGTATATGAGCTTCCCTCCACTCAATTATGTATTATTAGAGCTACATATAGAAATTATAGAATCTAGGATATATTTTCTTATAAACACTAAATGAACTTACTTCTTCTAATACAGACAGTGATGGCTGCAATAAGGAAAAGGACAGCCATTATACAAACAGAGAGCGGCACTAGGATACCAGCCTCCATATATCCAGGTGAGTCATCAGGATAGCCTTTTACTGAGTCTGGCCCAAGGGTGACTAAAACATAAGTTTGTATAAAACACTGGATAAAACTAAGAATACTTTACTAGCTTTTATGTATCAAGAGTCATCTAAAGATATCTGGAGGAACGTCAAGAAATATATAAATTAAGATAAATGAACAAATCAATTCAAATTAATCAGCTATTTTGAATAGTAAATTCCTAACAGAAAAGTGGATTGGAGTTTTTTTGTTGTTTCTGTGAATGTTTTTATTTATTTTTTACAATTATAAACAATTTACTCGAGGCCAATCTGCTGCTAAATTCTTGGTAATATAACTGGTACCACATGCATAAAATAGGAAATACAGTATGTGATAGAGGGAATATGAAATTGTTCAATCATAGACCTATGTTATCTTCTAATACCTCCAGTTATGGTGAGAGTAGTAGCACGGTATTCAGCTATCGTTGTGCCAGCACTGTTAGTGGCTCGAACTTTGATGACATACTGCTGTCCAGGCCACAAACCCACCACAAGGAAACTATCCCGTACTTGTACATCGTTTCCCACTGCAAAACAATACAGTACACTCGAATTAGCTATCCCGTATTTTGTGAATAAACAAAACTGGAACTGTTCTTGAAAAGGCGTATCCAACTTACGCATAATCCCGGGTCAACAAATTTCAACGCACCCCCAACGTCCGACTTGCGCTCCTCCGTCCAGTCAGGCAGACTAATTTGGTAATCAAGCGTTATTATCATGGTCGATATGGTTACCTAGGCTGCAGGTCTGTTGCAGGGGAGGTTTAAACTATGAGAATCAAGGAACCATCAACAGTGGTGTTTGAATAATATCCATGCTCCTCACACAACATTTTTTAATTGGGTGTTTGGTTTTTAACAGAGTCGGCGTTAATTTTGACTGATATTTTTGTACATTAAAACGTTTTAAAGGCTGTAAGATTTTTTTGAAATACAATTTAGTTAGGTAGTTATAAAGATTATACTTAAAGTAAATTTTAACTTCAGATATAAAGAGCAAAGCATATTTTTATGTTTTAATGGTCTTTTTAGAATGTAGATGCAATTTTAAGACTACTCTTAGCATTTTCTCTCTAAACTTACTCATTTATGAGCTACATGGCGCAGAATGTAACTTACACTGCAATTAAATTTTTCTTAGTTTTAACACGCTGTAACACCTAAATGAGTAACATTAGAGAAAAAATGTCAAGAATAAAAACGTTTTTAAATGGCATTTACTTTCTAAATAAACCATAATTTTATGGTTATCTATATTTATAGAGTCTTCCATAAGAAAAATCAAAGTTGGTGGCCATATTGCAAAAAATTGCGGCTAAAATTATTTTTTCAACTTGACCAACATTTTTAAAATAAAAAATCCAAGCCAGTTACAGTTTAACATTTTTTGATATCTCTTATAACTTTCGAATAAAACAGCTGGCACACGTATATCAATCACCCTGTATAGAGTTACTGAGACTCTGACCTGTGATCCATTCATGGTGGGTGCCTTCCCGGTACTCTACACTAAAGCTGATGATGGGACAGCCATTGTCATGCCAAGCCTTCATGTGGAGAGTGATGCTTGTGCTGTTTGGGTCTAGGAACTCAGCATGGGAAGGCTGTCCAGGTTTGTTCCCGTCAGTTCTTGCCACAACTATCGGACTTGGAGCTCCACTTCCAACCGAGTTGAACGCCATTACCTGCAAACAAACAGCTGCTTTAACTACACACATAGAAGTAAACCACGATTTTCTGTTAGTTTACAAGATCAAATTAATGCAACACCAAATTTGGGAATGTTCATCACAAGACGATATACTTGTCATTGAAAAATTAGTTTATTTTTTCAACAAAAGTTTAATATCAGATTATGTCAATGATGGCAATGGTTGGTCGTTAAAGTTTTTCTCTTTCCTATTAAGAAATATAACACATATATGTATTAGTGCTCTTAGTCATTGTTGAGTAAAATGTTTTATTCAGATGTTCATGTTAAAAGTTGACTGTATGTCTTATGGTAGGTATAAGTGTTTTTGTAAACCGATAAAATATTTTGATGGTTTAATTATTGTAGGAATGATGTGTACCAGTACCTTTATACAAAGCTTAAATCCTAATTCAAATATGTTGTTTTGTAGTTAAACTTAGAAAAGAACATTTTAGATGGAAAATACTATAATAATGGACAATGTTTTTTAACAATTCATAGGTAAATAGGCCATAGGTTGTACGTGTGAATATAATTAAATCCAAGGCAGCGATGCTGCAAAAATTGATCAGAACTGTCAATTCTTGTACTGTGCTAGCTCGCAACTTGCTTTGTTTTTTACTTTACACACACAGGCTTGAGGCTCATGTGGACAAGCAAACAAAAGGTTAAAAGGATAAAAAGAACAACTTGAAAGGTATTGAGTATAATAGTTATGATAACCAGTTCATTATTAGTTCTTGTACTTACTCAAAATAATTTTTCTGTCAACTGTTAAATGTAACACATTTTTGACCTGCTATAGCTATCAATTCAGATTTAATACCAATAATGTAGATCAATGATTGTAACAAGTGTGGAGGGTATTACTCTACAACAATACGGTACGGAGCAGCAAATTTACGACAGATTGTCAGCAACTGGAGAATTAGCTAAGGGCATCAAAACAGTGGTAATCAGGTAAGAGCCATAATGGAAAGTGAGTCAAGCAGAACCTGATATGAAGCCAGATCCGCAGGATCATAGAAGAGAAAATTGAGGCACTGAAACGTTGAGATAAAACCTATCTGACCAAGAAGTAATACCGACATGTGCAAAAAGAGAATGAGTTGTTTTTAGTGTGTCACCAGGTTGGAGATGGGAAGGCATCTTCACATAACCTTAGGGTGTGGAAATTGTAAAAGGCATCTGCTTATGGATTTTTCCCCTTCTAAAAAAACTCTACAACAATGTATTGATCACATTAGCAAATTCAAGGTTAAAAGCGGAGTCCATAAACCAACCTACTTTTAGAAGAAGAAACTTACTTCAGCAACGTTTTTCATGCAATCTTGAACTTATGTTTTTTGAACTTTCATGATATTGATATCCACTTTAAAAAGTTGTTGAATATCAGTAGGTTACCTGAACGTGGTACTCTGTTCCGCACACAAGTCCAGTGAGGCGGTAGGAGGTGGAGTCTCTAGGTACAGGTCGTTCCTCCCACTCGCCAGGCTCTTGCTGACGATAGTTGATGATGAATCCTCTCACAGCACTTCCCCCAGTGTCAACAATGCTCCATTGTAGGTACAACCAGGAAGCTCCAGTACTGGTTATACCTACCACTGGGGCCGACGGAGGCACTGCAAGTTAAACAAGAAAACTAATACAGAGACTTTTAATGTTTAATGTAAACACGATAGTAGTTAGCGTTAGCATTATATAATAGTTATTTATTTAGAGTTATTGTACAATGGATCATGTTTTGAAATTAAGTAGAACTGTCATGTAGATTTTTGGATTCTTATGAGTATTTTGAGAAACGAAGACGTCTCAGAAGTAAAAACATGTTACTGAAGGCAGAACATCAGCTTGGTCCAAAGCCGAATGAATGGTGGGACCAGGTCCAGAGGGCAGACGGTTTGCATACCACCCGCTATGTGCTAAAGAGATAATTGCACCCCCTCTCCCTTTTCTTGTGGGAAAATTTGCTCTTCCTTACACACCCAATAAACCTAAATCCTCCTGTGCCTCTGGGCCTACAGCGGCCCTGCCAGAGAGATATTAGGAAGTTAGGGCTTATGAGGAAAATGCTTCAGAGTGAAGAAACTGTGTTGATGAGGCAAAGCACCAACTGGAGTACAAGTGGCCACTTTATTAAGTAAATATATGATTTTGAGATTGAAAGCTTGAAATAGATTTCAATATACACATACTTTAAATTTAAATATTTTTCCTGGTTTTTATTTATTTTGGTAAGTACCTACAGTGAAAAAATTACAGACGTTGTTATCTTTATATTCTTACTCATAAACAGCTAAAAAACCTGAACCTAAACTGTCTATGGACAAGCTTAGTGTAGTTGGATAAAAATATTTATCAACCTCATTGACACTTTTCACTTTTATGAGTTGTATGGATATCTTAATCTTGTGTTTATTTTGCACATGGGCCTCAGATCTGTAATTTAAGCTGTTAAGCAAATCAAGTGATAACTGTACAAGGATAAAAGGAACGGTACCATTCGGGTTTCTGATCTGGGTGGTTGTGTTGCCTGTTTCACCAGTGGTGTAGTGGGATGTTCCCACTCTGCTTTTTCCAAAGAACATATATATTACCACTATGACTTTTCTAAAGAACCTATATATTAGTAAGCAACCCATATGTTTTGTTACGATGGTGAGCGTTCCAGCACTGGAAATTTTACGACTACACCCCACTACGTCATTAATTCTCTAAATTGTTATAATTATTGTTAATTCAATTTACATTACCATGAACTTCTTAAGTTATTGATTTTATATACTAAAACAAATTTACTACAACTAACTTTAGATGCATTACCTAGAACGTGAAGGTTGTATACAATCTGGTCCGAGCCATTAGCATTAGTGACAAAGCATGTGTAGTTGCCCTGGTGCTGCCGTTGAATCTCGGATATCTCCAGTGAGCCATCCTTGGTGATGGTGAATCCATCAGAGTGTGGAGGTGAGCCATCAGGACCCGTCCAGGAGTGTTTGGGGGATGGCTGGCCCACAGCTAGGCAGGGTAACATCACCTTACTGCGCCTTCTAGCTGTCACTCGCTCTCCCCATGAGATTATGGCAGCAGGCACTGGAAAATTGCCGTACAGCTTATAATAGTGGAGGGAGTTCTCAAAAAGGAGATATTTCTCTTTGTCTAAGAGATGTAACCTTTTCTTGATAAATGGGCTTACAACTCAAGGCAGGTTCGCACCACCAGGTCAAGGCTACTAAAAGTGTTTGGTGATTAGAGGAACTTGAACCTGGGTCCCTAGGACAGAAGTGCCGCTCTCCAAAGACTAGACTATAGTCGTATCCGTCCCTATAGTCGTACTATAAGACTATAGTCGTACAATAAGACTATAGTCGTAGTGTATAGCCGTGCCTCCGCATATGAGTATTGTAACTTTAAGCAGTAAACGACTGTTTGCCACGGTTGATCTACCAGGCTTTACAATAATTCCATATTAATTACATCACGTTTTTTGCTTAACATTTTTATCCTTGACCCACAATTTATTTTGTAAATAAGTTACACCTTTATTTCTACCTTAAATATATAGGTAAATGCAGCTTGCCTAATTGTCTTAAAATCAAATCAGCCTGTTTTAAGGCCCAGTATATACAAAATTGTCAAAATGAAATACCCCAATTCAATGCTACTTTTGTAAATGATTTACATTTAACTTTTAATGATTGAGACTATAAGTATAAGTAATGAGTAAATTAAATAACAAACTATGTTACATCTTACTTAGAGGTATACGCTCATGGTATAGGAAGGATATATCATGAACAAATAGTTTTAAAATTAGTTGGCTTGTCCATAACATTTCTTATACTAAGCTGTAACATCAGAATATTTAGCCAAACAATTTACTACACATTTTCTCAAAATAGAGTTTGACAAGTTTTAAAATTCCTCATTTAATATTCTCTTACTATACCAAGAATAGGTGACTAAATCTCAAATTAGTTCTAAAATAAAAAATAAAAAAACTGACCTCTGTTTGAGATGGTGGAGTAGACGACCTGTGTGCTTTGCCCTTCCCCGACCTTAGTAAATGCTGTGACCCAGAACTCATACGCCTCTCCTTTCCTCAACTCTGATGTCTGGTAGTGCATCTGAGAGGGAGGCAGCTTCTTCTTCGTACTATCTCTCTCTCTTCCCCCCTCTAGTACTCGCGAGTACATGGTGAAGAAAGTGAGTTTACCGTTGGTCCTCAGCGGCTTTGCCCAGCTGACAATCAGCGACGTTGGAGATCCTACCATCACCTTGATACCTGCTGGAGCTTCTGGCACTGGGGGCCAAACAGGAGGTTTGTTATTTAATGCATTAATTAGGGATTTTGTCAAGCAAAGTATTTTGCTAGTTTAGAAAACATTCTAAATAAATATCTTTTCTAGCTTCCTGATTTGAAATTCTAGAGAATTTGAAGGAATTGTGCTAGCTTTTTAAAATTGAAAACAAATTTAGTGACCGCTCCTAGTTTTTTCACTTAATTGAAACTATTTACCAATTCATTTCAGATAAGTTTCAACAGTCATATGTTTAAAATTAGAAAGATAACTTTTTTCTACATACAATTTTGTTTAATTTTTTTTTTATTATTAGTGTACTTTACCATCTTCATCAGTCATACAGAAGACTGGTCTACTTTTGACTCCATCCCCAACCTGCGTGAAGGCCCATAACACAATACTGTAGTTGGAGTACTTCTGGAGTCCATAGAGCTCTGTACTCTGGTCTGTAGTCACCTTCGTCTCAGCTTCTATGTGACCTAGGGTTCAAGTACACCATCAAGGAGTGGGGTAAATAACACCAACACAACCCCTGCCGTGCAGGGGGGGGGGCAAGGTCCAGGAGGTGCTGAGGTCCAGGGGGCGCTAAGGTTTGACTGTCACCTCTCAACGCAATAGCAAAAAAAGATGACGTAATCGTGAAAAAAGATTACGTAATTTCCTTGACCGCGGGAGACGATTATGACTTCTTCAAGACCGAAGAATGTATTTCGACCCCGTACCAAAATGGAACTGCTCCCCTTAGGCTCACAACATTATTAACCCACCCCAGACCACATGAATTATGTAATGTTCACACTTACTATTTAACCGAAATTATTAATTACTGTATAGTTGGATGTAAAGCTTGGAGTTATGACATATACACCTGTATACTGGCTAATAACAACATAACAGTTAGAATCATTGAACGGGGCATTTGCAAGGAAGGTGGGTAAGAATAAAATTATATAGGTATGGGTGTTGAAATTATATATGTGTTTTTATGTTTTAAAATAATATTAATACGAATAATAATAAACCAGATCTTGGCACTTTTTGAATTTACAGATCTCAATCATTTCACAAAGAAGGGAAACTGGTCAAATTTTTGGATTAAAAAGTTTCTTTTGTTATAATTTTCATAAACAACTCTGATGATCTTCATGCACATCAGAATTATTAACCATTCTACTAGTTTGTCTGTGGTTATACTATACCTGGGGGCCATTCTTCCATGTTCTCATAGGACACCTTGTATCCCTGGATCTGGCCATTCTGGTAGGGCTGAGGAGGAGGGTGCCATCTGACCAGGATACTCTGAGAGCTCTGAGCTTCACACTGGATCTCAACAGGAGGAGCAGATGGGACTACCAAGAGAGAGACGAGAACATCAATCCAACCACAATAGACCTTCACTCTACAGTGTATATATCATATATGATAATTTCAAATTTGTAGATCTATGCTACGATTTAAATACAGCAGGAACTCTTTGAAAAATTTTTAAATGAGGTTGAAAATAATTTTAAGGGTTGGTAGTAAGACACCCTACCCTATGTCTGTGGTCTCATCTCCTCAACCAGTAGTATTGATGTTACTTGATTGTGGTGACAGTGGTGAAAAGCCCACTGGGGCTGGTCTTAGTATTTCAGTTTACATTGTTACTTGTCAAAAAAATCAAAAAGGAAAATGATAAAATGAAATATCTGTGTCCAATCTATTTGTGGATATAAGAATAATTTACTGTCGGATTCTTAATTAGACATCCTTTATATAGACCATCAGATGTTTCTAATTTTTTATCTGAAAAGAAAATGGTCGAATGAGCCTCTTACAGGATGTCCTGCTGTTAAAATTCGGTTTCTCCCTTATTTGTTTGTGCTATGATAGTTTGTGTGAAATTTACAAAGAGTTATACTTAAATGAAATGAGTAACTGACCTCAGCACACTCTGTCGGTGGCTCAATTTAACTAATTTAATTTTTATTCTACTGTATACAGATGTGACATAGTTATAGTTATAAGGATGTCTAAATATCAATAGTCATAGCCAAAACTAAGAATTAGTGAATTAAGTTGTTTTTTGTTGTGATGAACACTTTTATAGTGAGATACTTTTGTTACTCACCGTCTTCCAAAGTCTGAGTGACTATCTCAGCTGCCATCGGCCCTGGCCCTTTCTCATTGAAGGCCTGAATGACGACCCCATACTTCCGGAACTTCTTCAGTCCCTTGATGACTGCTAGTCCTGACCCACTAGCTCTGGGAGCCACTGTGGTGAAGTTGTAACCACTCAGTCTTCCTACCCTACAACAGCAAATATTCCCCACTTTATTGTCTTTATTGGCAGCTAACCTGGGTACCAACATGAAATGTAAAATATGCATCAAGATTGCCTATCTCACTCTGCCAGTGTGTGTGTGGGATTTCAATTTATTCTAAACCCTTGTCTTTGTTCCTTCATGAGGTTTTCAGAAAACCAAACATTAGGTATTCTGATTTGATTTCGTCAACAATTAGGTGTCCTACCCACTGACCTAGAAATACAACTGGAGGTACACTTACTGGCAACTGGCACGGAAACTCTGCTAGAAAATTGAGATGCTCTAAAAGTTTATTATGTTGGTACCTGCTAGGGGATACGACCAGCTCATTGGCTCGTGGATTGATTACAATCCCACAATCACCTATCCTCCTTGTTCCAAAGTACGATAAATTCTACCCTAGTACATATAACAGCCAACTTCTCTCATTCTCTCATTCAGTGCTACTTACAGTTGTATGTGTATCTCTAGATTTGTGTAGTCCTAATCTATAATGTTGGTGTCCTATGTATACCGTTTTATATTTGTGTTTTCTTTTTTGTTTCCTATGTGATATTTAAAATTTATCCTTGATAAATTCCAGATCACCACATCTTTGTTAGAGATTAACAGTACTAGTATAGAGCCCAGCCAGTACTAGTCCAGAACCCGGCTAGTACTGGTCCAGAACCCGGCCAGTACTGGTCCAGAACCTCGTCAGTACTGGTCCAGAACCTGGCCGGTACTGTTCTAGAACCTGGTCAGTACTGGTACAGAACCCGGACAGTACTGGTCCAGAACCCAGCTAGTACTGTTACAGAACCCACCCAGTACTGGTCCAGAACCCAACCAGTACTGTTCCAGAACCCACCCAGTACTAGTACAGAACCTGGACATTACTGCAAGAACCTTGTCAGTACTGGTCCAGAACCCGGCCATTACTGCAAGAATCTTGTCAGTACTGGTCCAGAACCCGGCCAATACTGTTCCAGAACCTGGTCAGTACTGATCTAGAACACGGCCAGTGCTGTTCTAGAACCTGGACAGTAATGGTCCAGAACCCGGCTAGTACTGCTCTAGAACCTGGTCATTACTGGTCCACAACCTGGATAGTACTGGTCCCGAACCTGGCCAGTATTGTTCCAGAACCTGTTCAGTACTGGTACAGAACCTGTTCAGTACTGGTACAGAACCTGTCTAGTACTGGTACAGAACCTCTTCAGTACTGGTACAGAACCTGTTCAGTACTGGTACAGAACCCAACCAGTAATGGTCCAGAACCTGGCCAGTAAATTTCCAGAACCCGGCCAAGATTGTTCCAGAACCTTAAGAATCGTGGTTAATGGTGTGTATATGTTGACTTCTTACTGAAATAATTGAGGACCCCAGAACGCAATGTAATCCTACAGTTAAGTTAGATTACTCTATATTACATTAGGTAGGTACTGTTATAATAAATAAACAATATATGATTTATTTCGGTGGTTATTTAAAATAGTAAAAAAATTACAATAACCAAATATACAGGATTCATATCATGTCTGGAGACCCCCTATTAACTTTTTAATGGGTTACACCAGGAAAACCAAACCTCTATAATAGCATAAAAGTGCGTTTTTTATTGGTATCTCGATTTCGCCCGAAAACCCAAAATGGGTTATTTTGGGGCCTTCTCAACAATGTTAAATGTAAAGCCCTATCAAGTGACCTCTCATTTTAAAGGCCATTAGTTTTAAAAAATGCCGTCGAAAACTAGAGGTCTCAACCCTATACCAAATGGCAGCAGTTTTTAGTTGTCATCAACCTCAGAGACCCCAATTAAAAATATGCATTAATATCCCCTCTTAAAGTTTGTATGGCTTGTACCAGGTAAACTCAACTCAGTATTACTGCAACAAGAAACTATAAACAAAAAACATGATTTTGGTTGGTATGACAATTTTTCACGGGAGCCCAAAATGGCGATTTTGGGGGCATCTCAAATTTTTAATGCAACGCACCATTAAATGACACCTAATTTTGAAAGCCAATAGTTAAAAGAATATAGTTGAAAACTAGAGGTCTCAACCCAATATAAAATGGTGACAGTTTTTAGTTGACATCAACCTCGAGACACCACTTAAAAATATATTCCTTAATATCCCCTATTAAAATTTTATCGGGTTGTACCAAGAAAGTTTATCACTTCATAGGAAACACAGTGTACTCTTTAGTTGGTATCAAAATTTCCCCCGGGAACCCAAAATGAAGCATATTGGGGCAGCTTAAAAATAGTAAATGTATTGCCTGAAAACTAAAAATTGCCGCCATTTTGTACTGGGTTGAGATAAGGACCTCTGGTTATCACCAATAATCTTTTTTAACTTATTGCCTTTTAAATGAGGTGTCACTTGATGGTACTTTGTGTTTAAACATTTTGAGCTGTCCCCAAAATACCCCATTTTGGGCTCCCTTAAAACATTGTCATACCTACCAAAAAGTAGTTTTTAAATTTTTGTTACGGTAATACTGAGTTAAATTTTCCTGGTACAACCCATACAAACGTTATTAGGGGATATTGATGTATATTTTTACATGGAACCTCTCCTTCATTAACCTTTTATGGCTGATGAAAAATAAAAATGGCAGAATTTCTGTGATGGGCCTGTTCTGGAGGAGTTCACCGAAATTGTTTTAAGCTAATGGCCTTTAAAATGAGGTTGATGCGGTTTTACATTTAAAATTTCTGAGTTACTCCCAAAATAACCCATTTTGGGGTTTTGGAACAAATTGGGATACCAACAAAAAAAGTGCACTTTTATACCATATAGAGGTATGCAGAGTTTGGTTTTCCTGGTGTAACCCGAAAAATAATAATAAGGGGTCTCCAGACTTTCTTTTAACTCTGTATATTGAGGATATACTATTAATATGAATCCCAATTATAACTGTTATCAGATAATTTTACGGATTGTTACACAAGTTGTAATTGAGGTTAATAATTTTTTTTATGTTACAGTATTGATTGGTAAATAAATACTTGATAAATAACTAAATAAAATGTAATTGTTTTTTTTACCTTTTTTTTAGAATTTTGGATGTATATTAATATAAGCAACCTTCATTCTCTGTGGGATTTTTTGTCGTTTGTAAATCTAAATGTTCGTTCTTGCTATTTATTTGTTGTTTGCGTGTGACAGTAATGTCGTTTATGTTTTTCCCCTGAGGATGCCGCACTAACGGTGAAACATGTAGGTTTATAACCTAACATTTACAAAATTAGGATTATTTGACGAGGTAATTATACAATAATATTATTAGTAATAGGTAATGCATCCATAGACGGATGTAAAAGGATCTATTCGTTATGACTAGTTAATTAAACAGTTTTAGGCCCGAAATTGAAGTTTATTTCATCAACCTATTTTATGTAATGACTTGATTATGTTTCATTAACGCGGTATGCCACTCCATTGAATGTATTGTTTCGGGATTACATCAGCCTTCCAAACAATCAATTAAATATCTTGTTCTAAATTTTAAGACACGCCACATTCACATGGTCTACAATTTACAGAAACATCAGTATATGCGCATGATCCCTACAACACAAACCCTAGTAACGGTTAATAGAAGATAAGTTTCACGATGGAACATCTAGACTGAGTTTGATGTCTGAAGAGGACTAGACTCGACTTTACAACTCTCAATCTGCCAAACATAACTCACTTGTATTCCACGGGATGGGAAAGTTCCTTAATTAGTAAGTGGCTATAAGTCTTCACCCCGACAAGAGGGATATTGTCTGCTAAGATGATCAATCTCTGCTTCCATAACTTTTATCTTCTTTTGATTTGTTTTATCATCAGTTTGAAAATAGTTTGATCGTTATAATTTCTTTTCTGAAACCTGATCTTCGTTAAATTCTTTCTAGGACATTATTTGTCATAAGTGACAATTTCTTTTTGAGTTTTTGATACTACGTTTTTAATATTTTATTTTAACGTTAATCAACAGAAAAAGATTTGAAGCTTAGACTTAGTCCATGAGGTTTAAGAGGGTTTGTTAATTTATTCATAAGTTACCTCCAATATTGAATAAATGATAAAAATAAGGTTAATAGCCTGTTTTAAAAATCAATCGTATACTTTGTTATGGGCAACTAGTTTCGGGGTTAAAACACTATTTTCAAATCTTTTTTCCTTTCCTGTTCCTTTTTGTATATTTTTGTAAATCTAAATGTTCCTTTGTGTGTTTATAAATCAAATCATGTTGACAACGGCAAGTGCAAGAGGATTATGTTTGAAACTTGACGAGAAAAAGGATTTGAAAATGGGGTTTTAACCCCGAAACTATAGTCATCCACGACAAATAACAGGATTGATTGATAACAGGTTAGTTACCTTATTTTTGTTCTTAATTTAATTGGCCCACATGATGGATTCATTACTCATATGACTTAAATTAATTCTAATGCTATACAGTGTGAATCAGACCACCCGTGTACATACTTTAACGGGATATACAACCGCTTGTGTAACTAACTGACTCACTGATCAGGTATACAATGTTTACCCACTTCTAGAATAGCTAGGGATCTGAATTTTTTGTGGAGATCCGTCTCGATCCCAAACCACCCAGAAAATAAAAAAAAAAATACATTTTCAAACTAGGCATCATTTATCCCCTCCAAAAAAGAATGTCCTTAATTCCCCCTTATTTTGAGAAAACACGTTTTTAAAACGGTATAGCTTGAAAACTGTAAGAGCTAGCAAAGATTTGAAAGAATTTTTATGGTCAGAAATTAAAATTATTTTTCAGAAATAAAACTCCTAAGCTTGTATTAAATTTGAACTGCTTCACCTTAAAAAACGCCTTACTTCAAAAATTTGTAAGATGTCTTGTATTTTCGAAGTTTTTTAGTTTTTAAAATTATTTTTCGGACATATATTTGTGCGTTTAATGATCCCAACATTAAAAAGTGTCTTAAGTGGAATTTTAAAATGTTAACCTACAAAAAAATTAAATGTATGATTTCAATAAAACTGGTCGTTTTTAACGCTTGTTTGGCCAAACCGTTGGCACGGGTGGTCTGATTCACCCTGTATACAATACAATGAAACAGTCATAGTTTGCATAGCAACCAATGACTTTAATTATTAGGATTACCAAGGCTAACCAAGGATTTGACTGATTTGTGTAAACTCTAAATATTATTTGTTTTGATTTCTACATTTCGGAAACGTCACAAATTTAACTATACAACTAAAATATTATTTATGAAGAACTGGCTGATTATACTTTTCAAAGAATTAACAGTTTAATTAAAAAATGTTAGGGCCGTATCTACATATTCAAAGGACGATTTCCCGTATTTAAGTATAAAAAAACATTGATTTAATAAAATCACTCTTTTCATTGTTCGACTTTATTTTTCCGATTGTGCAAAGCGTTGTAAAAATAAAGGCTAGAGACATGATGGAACTTAAATTGTTAATTGTAAATAAGCCCAACATACTTCAACTAGAGACCGGTGAATATGGAACCTATCTATTGATCATAACTACTTTCACAACTGGCCATAATAACAACAAAACGACCGAATAGTGGTTGTCCGAATGTCCATCACAACGCTTGTACAGGCGAATGACTATGACAAGAACCCCGATGATAGAATAATAGACATTACACAATAGATACGCATTGCATCAACCTAAAATTAATACAGTACCAAAATCTCCGAATTATGGGTAAATTTAATCAGTTTGCATGGGTGTTTGTTTGGAAATTTATATTACCGAATCATTACTACAAGAATATTTGGGCAGGCCTAGAACTTAAAATAATAAGTTTATTTGTACTGAGAAACCGCTACCAACGAAATACGGGTTTTTAAGCTTACTAAACAATGGGCTGTCTCTTGACAGAGATGTTTTTTAGATTTTACCTAACCCGCCATGTTAAACTTCCCTATCCCAAGCGTGATGTATACTACTTCTTTACTTCACGAGCGATGTAAAGTTAAAAAAAACTCACTCGGTGAGGTAATGAAACCCATTTAAATAACATTGAGTGCTTAACTTAAAAAAATATACCTCTATGGAGCCAAAGATGTTCAACACTAGAAATCAGCTGTGCGATTGAATTTTATTGTTATGCTTTGAAGAATTTTCCTAACCTAGCTTTTGTTTGTAAATGAACGTTAACTGTTAGAAGATGAGTGAAATGGATAGTGAAAAATATTGTTCGTAACCTCCTGTATATTGTCGGGTCAGGTAAAATCTTGTACGTTACACGTTACGCAAGAGCTTGTTTACATCACTTAGGAGAATTATGCAACTCGCTTCCGCTCGTTGCACAACATTCGCCTGCGTGATGTAAAAACGCTCTTACTACACTTGTAATGTAAATAGCTATTACGCTTCACTAAATTAATACAGGCGAGGCAGTGAGAGCACCCCGATTTTCTTTCGGTGTCACATTAGAAGTAAAGCAACAATGAATGAACAGCTGTGCTTATAACATCAATCAAACTATGCAAATTTTAGTAAACATTGTGCCTGAGGCTTGGAACACTGAGATTTGACTTAGGAACCTACTTTTAAAATAGCGATTCTTGTACAAACACCCAGAGATTGTTTGGATCACATTCCATACTTGGTCAATATAGCGCTGTTCTAGATTGGAAAATAACAGGGAACTGGGTAATATTATTTAGGATAACAGCTTAAACCATAAAAATAATCTGTGGGTGCCGCAAAACTCTTTGTACACCAGCAAATGTTGAAAGAGAGTGAGTCGCAGTTACTTAAAGTCAAAAGAGGTTTGCCAGAATGCTTTCGTTGTTGGAAGCTTTACGTTGGCTCTTCGCTTTCTTTGTGGGTTCTCTCTATAACCTACTTGAAATTTAAGGTTTTTCAAAGTTGCCCTAGGGATTTTCTTAAATTTTCAAGAAACTAAAGTGATTCCTGAAGAAAAATTGGAAGGAGTATTGGCATTTTCAAGTGACTGAAAAGGAATGTCAAGTAGGACAAGGACGTCCCTTACAGGATTTTGTTTCCAAGAAATGGAAAAATGACTTTGTTAAGTTAAAATTGCAAAAATTAAGCTGTGTTTTGTATATGTATAGGGTATATATTATTGAATTTTTACTATTTATAAATTGGGACAAAGGGCATTGCCTATCCCTGTATAGTTGTCCAAAAGTAAGTTTGGTGCTAAAATTGAGCTAAAACATTCATGCCAATTATTCTATCGTATTTTCAAAATGCTGTAATATGTTTTACTTACGACCGTTCTTTTAAACTAGCAGTTTTAATTGCAGTTCGATTTCAGTTCTAAGAATTGAAAAGATTCACTTAACGGCATTGTTTACTTACTTAGCAGCATTGTTGTTTTACTTTACAACACGAGTAACAGACCAACGAGTTATAGTGTTGGTAGTACGTACGTTTGACGGCATTCAAGCTCATACACTCAATCATAAAAACAGCTTTGTCCAAAGCCACGTAAAAAACATTAAATTTCTGATGTTAGTTATGTTCTAGCACTTTTCGGTACATTATTTTTCCTTTTTTGCTACTACACTGCACTATACTAATATCGTGAATTGTTTATACAAGAGTTGAGAATAATAAGTAGTGATTCTAAATGATGATGATGATAGGTACATTACTATACTTTAATTTGTCTACGATAAAGATAAAGGTGTATTTACATTAATGCTATAAAAAATGATAGACTTTAAAATGTTGATGAATGGTAGAATATATTTATTGATCGGAAATATTTTTTATTGTAAAATCAGTGGGAATATTTTACTATTATATATTTTCACCCAACAACGCATATACTGTGTGTGAAATAGTGGTTTTGACTGCAGTTAAAAGAAAACAGTTTAATAGTTTACATCACAATTACTTTCTTACTTACGTTGAAATATTGGAAGTCTTCATCGTACGAGTTGTCAATAAAACACCTATATTTACAATATTTACATTTTACGTGGCATGGCAAATGTATTTTGAATTAAGATTTGAAAATCAGCTCCTCAACGAGTCCCCCCCATGAATATAGTGGCCCATCCACTAGGGCTTCATGAACAACTTTTGTAATTTTTGTAGTTCCATCTCATGCAATCGTAGTGGCAGGGTATTAAAAACCTTTATAGCAGAGCGCAGATAACAGGTTAGGGTTAGGACCCAAGTGACACCGTGGCATATCAAGGTTTTGTGCTCTTCTGGTGTTGTGGGTGTGCTGGTGTTCCCTTTTAAAATATTCTCCTTCATGTTCCTTTAGGAGGATGAGAATGTCATAAACGTATTGATGGAAGACATTAATTATGTGCTGATCCTTGAAAATAGGCTGGCAGTGCTCATTGTATTCAGAAGATGTTAAAATTCGGAGTGCCTTTTTTTGGAGCAGCAATACATCGTGGGCTTCATTAATATGTCCCCACAATACCACAATTCCTGGATACTTGGAGCATTAAGCGATACTGGCAACTAATAACTTACCCGTGCTCTCTGTAGCCGACGTAGTAGCCCAGGATCTCGCCGTTCCAGAGGTGATGAAGGGGTGCGGTCCAGGCGACCCGGAGAGTGTCTGAGGCGGTGGCTGTCACGACAACGTTCTGTGGCTCTCCTGCAGGGGCTTCCCCCTCTGTCTGGACCACGATGGGCTCACTAGGCTCCCCTGCCCCTAGCTCGTTCTCAGCCAGCACCCTGATGGCGTATTCTGTGGCTGGCGTCAGGTCCCGGATGGTGCATGAGAGGTCGGTGTTCACCCCGATCTTCTGCCATTCGTCAGTAACTCCTGAACACGTAAATCATAGGTTACGTCACCGTTTACAGTCATCATCCTGGTAGTTTTCCGAATTCCGATGACTATGTAGTTTTAAGGTTTGCCCCATTGTCAAAATTTCCGTCTTCAGTGAACATTTTGTCATTGTTATACATCAAAACCACACACACATACAATACATACACGAACACGGTGTTTAAGTTATTTAGAAATAAATATCTGAATTGATTTTGTATGGGTCTTACTACCATAGGCCTACACATACTTATTAAAAACCATTAATAATAATTATTAATATTTAAAAAAACAATTAATCAAAAGCCAAGCAATCAAATATAGTTGGATCTAATTTTACACATAAATATTGAACAATTTTGAACGTTTTTAATCAGGATCGAACCGACAACCTTATAAATAGTAGACGATCACTATATACACTAGGCAGGGCATTAAAAGTAAAAGATTCGGATTTGAGAAAAGTTACAGTATTTGTTTATTAGCAAATATGCTATATAAACCTGGCAATTTTAGGTAGATATGTCATAGTGAATTTTAATTTGAGTGAACTTGTCAAACTGTCAGACAACAATGGTGTAGGTAAAAGGCCTACGTTTGTTCAGTAAATGCAAACGCGCTGATAAAAACCTTTGCTATTTGAAACGTCTGTTCGTTCACACAGACTAATCTACTGATATTGGATTGGCTTACGACATTCCTGTTGTAATAACATTGGTGTTCAGATGTTTTAAAACGGATGCCCTGAAAATTGAGAATTTTTCTCCAAGTCGTATTCACCATAGTACTTTTAGTAGGCCTACACTGTGCCATAAATACGATTATGTTGAATAAAACTCCATACTAGGCCTGAGAATAATTTTAGGGTACCAAACTTGTCAATATCAAGTATGCGATCTTGGTAATATGTTTAGGTAGTAAGATATACACATTTTGAGAATATACACAAATACAAAGAGTAAATTCTGTCAACGGGATAGAAAGAGTATAAAACATTATAATGACTACAACAGAGGTTGTACTATTTTTAAAAGAGGCCAATTCTTGAAAGTGAAATGACATTCCCTCAATACTAATCATAAAGAAATGTCCAGAAACATTTTGGAACAATATTTCAAGGATTTTCAATCATGTGTTAAACAGAGAGTGCAAGCATTTGGTAATACAAACATGCATACAAATCTTCACCCAAAATTAATGCATATATGATCCCTGAAATTTTTTATAAATCACAGGTTATTTTATTATTATGGCTTCGACTACACTGGATTTGTTTCTACTTATTACGAATATAACAGTTTTAAGGGAACGCGGTCCAAACCCCTGATGATCTGTTCATTTGATCTTAACTCTTTAAACGTAACAAGAAATAAAACACTTTCAAAGGAATAGACCTACAGATACACGTTTTGTGTCTATTTTGACGGAATCTCCAAACAAAACGAGCCTGATTCCAGGAGCGCCAAGGCAAAATGCACCTTGAAAAGCAGTAGGACTTTGTTAAGTGGAGACTTAAAATAATTTACTGCTCAGACGGTCTGTGACATGTCAAACTTATATAATATATTTTAATGATCTCCCTAAACGGTTAGATTCAGATATCCTTAGACCATATTGGACAGTGATGATAATGCAGTTAGCAGGCATATATGGATAATAAATCTTAAATAAATAAAGTAGTACAGTCCGGAAATATTACGCACCGGATTCTTGACGGTACTGGACAAGGTACTGCAGGACCGGACTTCTCTCGTCGGAGGGCGCTGCCCAGGACACTGACAGACTCCGGCTGGTGGCGTCCACAACTCGCAGGTTCTTAGGCCGTCCTGGGGCATCTGGAACAAGACGAATGATGTTGGTGGCCTCTTTTTACCTTGCATTTGCCCGTGTACAGTGGCCTAAAAGGCCTTTGTGTATCAAGAAGAGAACGTACCAAGAAAACCAAGGTGTTTTGTGGTACAGTATTCTAGAACTATCTGTACTGTTGAATTGTTGGGATCCCACGACATCGTTACCTTGTCAAAGTCCTTTGCTCTATTGACTGAGGACCACCGGCCTACTAGTATCTAACACTGATATCTTTAAATGAAATATCATCCAGTCAAAACATGATGATTTATACCTTATCGCAATACTATTCCGTGAAAATAGAATCTTTCTAGAGTTTAAATTGGATTTTTTTTCATATGGCTTGATTTATCCTAACATTAGTCTCAGTAGGACAGGCAGGCCTATGACTAATTGGGGGAAATGTTTTGACTCTAAAGTAATCACCCATCAATATAGTGTTAGATAAATTTATAAAAAAAACTTAGATCTAATTAAACAAAAATTACTTATTCATTTGTTATTTTTTGTGCAAATAATACTTTATAACAATAATATGTCTATAACCAAGAGTTGTTGTAACCACCCTTAAGTTTTGAAAACGCTCTCAGAAAACTTACTGTGGTAAGGCTACACTACTAGTTATGAAATTATGATGTCTTTTTAACCTATGATTATAAATCTATAATGGTTGATGATTATATAATCATAGCATTACGGATGAATCTATCTCCATCTTATGTCGATCTTCAGTAATTAAGTTTAATTTCAAGCAAGAAAGAACAATATGTTAATCATCTACTCTGGTTTATGTTAGCTAAGATTTTTCATTTGATCTTTTTCTTTGCATATAATTGTATATATATTGTGTGTGTCCCAGTGTATTAATTTTAATATTGTGTATACCGTATGAATGAATTAGTAAACAATCTATATTCTCCTATACTGTGATTAGGCCTGATACAAACGATTTAGCTGATATCGATGATTGAGTAGTTAACAAATAATCGAGGACATAAAAATACACTGGTATTTTTATTTTCCTACTAAAAGAATCACAGACAATGTTCAGAAGTCTTTCTGGACAGTATTTCAAAGATACTCAACCGGGTATTATGCATTCGTTTCAGTTTATGAAAGTGCAATGATAACCATTTCTTATTTCTTTGAGCAAACATCGTGCCATGTCTCTGATGAATAATTATTTTTCCATCCTATTAATATTAAATCATCCAACATTAAAAATTCTATTTTCTTCGAGTTAAACAAATTAATTATTAATGTATATTTAGTATTACTGTATTGTAATGGTTGTAAGTGAAATTTAAATCCAACTTTAAATATTAAAATTTAATATTTAAATATTTATTATTTATATTTCCTCCACCCAACTTCTAAATCATTTGATTACATTTTGCGCTATTGCACTTAGTTGGATTTAAATTTAACTTCATTATGCAAAGATGATATTCTTGCTTTCCAAAGCGAAACAACTTGTATTCGACCTTTTTTTGTGTGTCCAATGTAGTCTGTAAGAGAGAAAGGTGAACTCACTGTCACAGATTACAGAACTATGGCTTGTCACAAAACAAAAATAAACGCGTAAACAGCCTTTGATGTCGACATAACGCCGCGGGTTCTAGCAATGTGCGTGCGAGAATCAGTATCCCGACAGCCAAGGGGAATATCATGTCGGGTTGATGCCTATGTGCATTATTTTTATTTACCATAAAACTGAACACAAATGTTTTTCTCGAAAATGATTTTCTATATTGAAAATTGTACAAACAACTTGAGTAAAAAAAAAACCGTTAACAAAATACAGTAAGGAAACAGGCTACTTAGGCAGGGCATTTTAATTGAATGAAAATTATTTTTCAAGAATTTGTCAAAAACAAACAACAATACAATAACACCAATTTTTATTGTTTTTGTTGGGCATACAAAATGTAGGCTTTATCTAAAGGTGAAATGCCTTTTTTATATCTTAAATACTTTATATGAGTAATGAAAAAGATTGTTAAATATATATTTTTTCAATTTGTAATTCATATAGCTAATGTGTAAAGCAATGAAACCCAAAAGAAAAATCTTCTGTGACTTAAGAAGGTAGCATCGCTCCATGCATGATTTATTTAAGTGTCAGTATTCGTTACCTTGCACTTGCAGATGTACTATCCTGTCCGCGCGACCGTAGGGGTTCGTAGCTACGCACACAAAGGTACCACTGTCGGACTTGACAGAGCTAGAGATGTACAACGCAGACAAGAATCCTCCTTTTACTTTGTTCTCTTTGATCACATACCTGTAAACAAAATAAAACTGTATTAGACACAGCTGTAATCATAAAGAATGTCGTTGTCATTTATGTGAAGAATGGTATAATCATATGAAGAACAATAAGCAAGAACAAGAACAAGAAGAACAGTTCGGTTTAGTTTCCAAAAACAGCTGAGGTAGCATTTTATAAGTAGTGTATCACTAAAAGTAGGATGATTAAGTCATGAGCCAGTAGTTACTCCAAGATTGGGTATCTTTTACAGAACACTTCATATATGTTTTATTAAAAACAGAAGTATAGGGGCACACTTACTTAATAGTCACTATTTGTCTGTCACCCATGTTGAGTGTTATGCAGTGTATACATTAAGATTTGAAACAAATCTGTATTTTTTAAAACCGAAATAGATAGAAATATTCTGTTTGTGGTGGTGACTGTTAACAAAGGTTCTGTAATTTTTTACGTTAACATATTTTTCAACCCCCCTAATAGGGTAGGGGGTAGGGGGTGAATTATTTTTTCAAACAGCAACCCCTATTAAGTGACCCCTCATTTTAAAGGATTTGTCAAAAGAAACACAATGACGCAAACCCGAGGTGGATATCTCACCCCTAGCCAAAATGGCAGGTATTCCAAAATTTGATTTACTGTATGTGAAAAGCACAAATTTCACAAATATGGAAAAAAAATCTGTATTTTTTATACCGTAATAATTAGAAATATTCTGTTTGTGGAATTGATTGTTAACATAGGCTCTGCTATTTTTTAAATCAACAGTATTTTTTAACCCTTTTAACAGGGTAGGGAATGGGGTGATTATTTTTGTAATAACAACCCCTATTGAGTGACCCCTCATTCTGAGGGGTTTGAAAAAAAATACAATGACGCAAACCCAAAGTAGATATTTCATCCCTAGCCTAAATGGTGGGTATTCCAAAATTTGATTTTGGTAAAAAAGCACTCATTTTGGAATAGCCACCATTTTGGCTAGGGGTGAGATATCCACCTCGGGTTTGCGTCATTGTGTTTATTTTAACAAGCCCTTTACACAATAGTGGTTGCTATTAAAAAAAAAAAATCACCCCCTACCACCTACCCTGTTAGGGGGGTTATACATTTTTTTGGTGTAAAAAATAGTGGAACCCTTGTTAAGAAGCATTGCTACAAACAGAATATTTCTATATATTTCGGTTTTAAAAATACAGATTTGTTTCAAGACTTAATTTACACACTGTATTTCAGATCAATGGTATTTATATCATGACTAATATCAATATTCATCTTGATCGAGCATCGAGCTCCTTTGCCTAAAGCACTATTCAAACACAAATCAAGGTACTCCTAAACAAAATATAAAGCACAATCTATTTCTTATTACTCCCGGAGCACTAATCGTAAAGTAAAAGTTTACTTCAGGCACATGAGTACTAGCTTTAAACAAACTAGGCAAGAAGGTAGGCAAAACACTACTTTACTGATTAAGTCTAAAATAAATATCTCGGAAACGTGTCACAGAGTTAATCTTTATACTTGGTTAAACGTTGCCAAACAATGTCATTGGATGTTATGACTGTCATAAAACAAACAAGACATATTTCCAGCTATGTACAAGCCATGAAATAAAAATTATAAAATTGTGATAACAAGTTCTTATTTAAATTGACATTGAAAATAGTTTCTGTTACGTTTGTTGCCTGATTTATTGCTATATACTATTTTGTTGTCATTTTGAAAACAATTATTGATTAATGGTTAAAAGAGGGGTATTTATTTTGTTGTAACTTAAAACACCACTATAAATAAGTACACAATGTTTCTTCATTACATGGTAGTATTGACAACAATCTAAACAACGTTGATTTAAGAAATCATTAGACCTCAGTAAGACCACTATCAAGCATAGATCGTGTGGTCGGCTCAGCTTCAAAGCATTGACTATATCCCTTTTAGGAACGGCCCATTTATTTACGTCGCAAAGTTCCCAAAGGAAATATACTTTATTGTAAGATTCATCACCCAGACATTTTGACATTTTGGTGTGTGGAGATTAGGAGTCCTGTGTTATCGTTGTGAGACCGAAACACTCTTTGGGGATTATATATATATATATTTTTTAAGAGGATTTTAATTTTGGTTATGACTATCGACGTTTTCAAATAAATTACGAGCAGTTATAACTTGGCTTTTAAAAAATTCGATTAATGTAACAATTTTGGAGGATCATAAAAGTTTTAGGGAAGCATTGGAGTTTAATGAGCAATTTTCCATTGAACAGCACCTAACTTCTAAAGCCTTCCTTAAACGAAATCAACACTATGAATTGAATGTCCATTACAAAGAAGTAACTTTTATAATATTGAGATAAACAGTTGGTATACAATCAAAAATTGGATTGTTAATGAATGCCACTCAAGCCAAGATCTGATATCAGCAGAAAAATTGTTGTTACCAAATCAAAGGTTCCAATACACAATGTATCACAATTGCTTTAGTTAAAAAAAAAATATATATATATATATATATATATATATATGATTTATTTTTTACGTTCCTATGAACATTTTTAGTGCCCAGACCTTTTACGCTTATTCAGCAGGTACTGTATCTGTTCTTTTCGACAATTTTGCAACCATATACATAACCTAAAAGCTGTATTGTAGAAAAGCTATAAATTAACATATCGTAGAACATAATTCAGTTTCTAGGCCATAGGCATTTTTGATGAAAGGATCACAGACGCTTGTATAGATAAGCTGTCCCTGCCCCTCAAATGTTTGTCGATTGGCCGGGATCAAGCCCGTCCCTCATGAACCAAAGCTTGAGGTAACACTAGGTATCCTGGTTGCTTACTGGTCATACCCAATAAGTAATATTATATCCAGCAACAAAGAAATTATACCAATTGGTAATAGGATGAAGCAAGAAAAACTGTGGATATCAATTTGTCCCAAGAATCCAAAAGAAATTGACATTTTTGCTAACGTACTCAGAATATCAAAATATACATTTTCACCTATCTAGACTAGCACACCGCTTCTTTATTAAAATAAAGTAGAACATAGGTGAATGAGCCACTCACAGAGCACGAATACACTGCAAAAATTATATTTCCCCTCTTTTTCCACCCCTTTCATAATTTGATTTGGGTGACATGCAAGATGTTATAGTCATACATCGATGGCGCATTGCCCGTTTTTCACAGCACAGTACCCAGGATGGTAATGGTTTACCATAAGTTTTTTTTAGATTGTTATGCTTTAAAGATTATAATTGTTGACAGAAATCAGTAATCGGAATCAATGTACTTTGTCAGGGGTCAAATCGTTACCATTATAAAACTGGCTTAAACATATACATGCGAGTGGGATGTCTACTTTTATCTATATTCAAGGGCTGTACTTACCTAGGGTTGAACTGCACAGGAGGCTGGCCTTCTCTATGCCAGGTGATGCTCATGGGTTGGTCTCCCTGGGCTTGACACTCCAGGGTCTGACTAGCACCTCGGCGAACACTCGCCTGGGCTGACTTCACCTCAAACTCGGGTGGGTCTGGCAAATACAATTGCCAATATAAAAACATGGCCTTTCATCAGATCTAAGAATAACATTTTTTGTGACAAAGTAATTTGTCTGAAGTTTCGTTAGTAAAGAAAGATAAATTCAACTTAAATCCATTTGACCTAGTCAACTTAGGCCTCTTTTATGCACGACGTTTTCCGTCAGGCGGAATCCATTGGGCGTCGGGGAGTTTTTTTACATCGAATCAAATGCTTTTATCAACCATTTATGCACGACGGAATCTCCGTCGCGCTTCAGCGTTCCGCCCGGGTCGGGCGGAGGATACGCTCCGCCGAGTTTCGGCGTCCCGTCGGGGCGTTTTTTTACATAGGATCAAATGGAACCCTCTTATGACACGGCGATTTCCGTCAGGCGAATGCAGCGCTGCCAACCTACACCCCGTGCTCAAACTGAAATTGAGTTTGCTCAATTTCTTGACAGTATTATTACTTTAATTACTGTCATCCACAGTATCGGTATCGCCTAACCATTGTTAACAGATGATCATTGTAATAGATCAAAGATACAACAAAAGAAGTGATATAATTGCAAAAAAACTTACATAATGAGTATAATTCAGTTTACATTTTTGTTTAAATCCTCGTAATAATACAATCATTTTTCTTAACACACGAATAGGTCGAAATCGATAAACAAGGGTACTTTTTGTATTACTGATGATGGTGAAATGAACAAAGTTGGTAGTACTAGCAACCCCCACCATGGACATCATAAAAACCAGTGGATTCCGCTCGGCGGAAAAACTGCATAAAAGGGACATTGATTCTGCCCAACTATTTCGCCCGACCGAAAACGTCGTGTGGTCGTGCATAAAAGAGGCCTTAGCCCCGATGTCCCCGTCGGCCGGGTAGGCAGAATGCTACACTATCGCTCGCAGTAGTAATTCGACGAACTACTCAAGCGCCAGACGGTTAGTAGTACAGTAGTCGCAGCTACTATAGTCTGGGCGCGCGGCCGCGCTATGGCGGGGGGTGTAGAGGGGAGTGTTTATTGCTCATTTCCAAAAACATCTGGCCCACACGGCTCTCTGGGGTTGTTCAGCGAGGCTGTGGGGGTGAGCGAGCCGTTACTCTCAGCACGGCTAGTACACAAGGGTCCGCGTGCCCAAACTAACTGCGACTACTGTATAAGGCCTCGGGTACGATACGAGCGGCGAGCGGCAACCTGAGGTAAGCGGCTGTGGGGGTGGCGGTTACGCTCACAGAATTTCCCCTGTTGTAGGAGTTAGTTAGTTAGTTTAGTCGAAGATAACAATCTGTATTGACCCGCAGGACGTATTACGACTATTGTTGTTATCTGACAATTCTCTTTTACAAACTTTTCGCTCCCACTTCATCCAATTGTTTTATGGTGACTCAAGTGTTTTTAAATGTCCGTGCTGGTCAGTCCACAAACATTCCCTGGACTGCACCTCACTTATCAACACTTTCATTTGAGAATAACTCAACTTCACCTCTGTGAGTTTGGCTGGAGGCTTGCACGTTTGCTGTTGTTCCTCTGACAATATCGGCTAAACTGAAACATGACTCATCTGAGGCGTTTTCGCGAAAATTGGTTTGGACATGGAACAACGAGCGGTGCTTTAAGTGTCGTCGCTAATCGCCGCTTGCTGCTCAGACAACAAATTTGCATTCAACTAAATTAGACCCGATGTCAGAGCGGCACCACTCATGCCGCTCGCCGCTCGTAGGCCTACCCTGGGCCGCGCTGCAAAATGCCGCATCCTTGTAACAGATTTTTCATGATATTTCCGTTTACAGTACTTGCTCCAAAGGTGTTTAACCAATATATATTTAAGTGCTCATTCTAAAACATTGGTGCATAAACCATAAAAGATATTTAATATCTCTGATGTTGAAGTAGTATTTTTTCCTTGAACAATGCGTTTTCTTATTTTTTTTATGTACAAAAGTTTATTGTAAATATACATCAAGTGAACTTTACTATACTTCAATCTGTGAACATACGTCTATTCATTTTTTTGCAGTTTTAAAAGTATCAACTATGATGTTTCCATTATTTACGTTTTATTTTAATACATACTATTAAGATCGTACTTTTGTTTCCTTCAATATGTCGTATAACTTATAATAGTGCCTCAGCACCCTAGAGTTACGTACCTAACTTATCAGATCAAATAGTTTGATATAGACAGACCTCTTGTATTTGTTTATTTTTTACATACTACTTGTCAAATGTTTGTAATGCTTTAGTTTACATACTGAAAGGATACAGATATTTAAAAATTGAAATATTTAGTTAGCAGACACTCACTGAGGACGACGAGAGAGACAGTAGCACTGAGCCCAGCGCCGATACCGTTGGTAGCCTCGCACAGATACTGGCCCTGGTGCTCGGGGGAGGCTTGTCGGATGATGAAGGTGCCGTTGGGGAACACCTGAAGACCTCTGGCACGGGACAGCGAAAGGTCCTGGTAGTCGCGGCCTCCTGGAGAACAGCATACGTTATGTACTAATGTAATGTCATAATTATATAGTCAACAGCGCAATCCGGACAGAACCGATAGAAGGTGTCCAGAAAGATTCACTGAAAAGGGGGCGTGGCGCGTGTTGTAAGCATGTGGAAAAAAGGATAGATGAGTCTAAGGCCTAAGGTATGTGAACGACCCTGTACCATGAATCGCTTCCCAGTTTTTCAGTTTACAGAGATTTAAGCATTAACTTAAAGTTGAGATTGCGATAATTCCTAACTAGTTCAACCTTTAAGCCTTAAAGAGGGTCGAGTATTGATGGGTTTAATCATGAAACGTCTTATTTTTAAAGCTATTTGCCTTGCTTTGGGTAGGCTCGATACCTATTTCAAACCAAAATGTTATAGCAAACAAGTATTATGTGCAATGATTTTAACCTTGTCTAATTGCTAAGAATATAACGTTTTATAAACTATAGACAAACATGTAAGCCATAAATATTTTACTGTCTTCTGAATTAATATTATACAGATTTTTTGGTTGATTTCGTTGTATATAATCAGAATCATAATTATAATTAATTGTCAGAGTGTGCACCAAATCTTGAAATTTAATGCTGTCGCCCCAAATTAGCGGTCACCCGTTGGTGACATGTTTTGTCAGTTGTCATTGATCTTAACGATAAAATAGACCAACGTCCAAGGGTGTGAACAAGTTCAAAAAAACGAAATTAGGAACGGATTTTTAAGGCGGTGACACACTAGCGATCTATTCCCCAATCAAGACCCCGAACCGAGCAGTGACAAGGGAGAAGGGAGGTAAATATCAGCAACATTTCAATCCGAACATTTTCCCGAACAAGACCAAGACCAGACTAGTTCTACCGAGCGCGGCAAAAGGGAGTTTAGAGAGAGAGGCATTTAATAATAAAACAGAAATTTAATATGAAATAACATGCTACAAAATGATCATTTTAATTAATTAATATATAATTGTATAGCATCAGTTACCTAATACAAATGTTTAACATTATGGATATCATCGATTTAACGGTTTCAACCTGTAAAATTTCAACCTGTAAAGGCACATGTCTAACCTTAACCAAACAAACCACAAAATTACAACATAAATGTCCATAATATATTATGGCAAAATATTACCCAAAATTTATTTATTTAACCAATTAAAGAGTTTAATTGCCATATTACGTTAGAACTATCAACGCCAGCGCAGGCGGCCGCTCGGTGCGGCGCTCGCATACCGTGACACGCTACCGTACATCACTCCGTACATCGGACCGATCTTTTCTTTGATCTTTCGCAAAAAAAACCGCCTCTAGAGCGCTCGGCTCCCTGCTCGGCCTGATGTCTGGTTCGCCGTCTGGATCGGTGTACGGACCCGTGACACACTATCGAAACCCCCCCCCTTCGACCTTCCTTCGACCTCCCTTCTCCCTGCTCGGTTCGGGGTCTTGATCGGGGAAAAGATCGATAGTGTGTCACCGTCTTTATGATGCTACCTTGAGTTTTGTCGTTACTTCATTCAAAGATCCATTTTAAATAAATGCTGTTTTTGTACAAAACTGCATTGTGAGAGGAAATATATAAAATGTTAAGGTGTTATAAATGATTTCTCAATTTAGCCTACATAAACATCGAAACCCTATGATTGGATAGGTGGGTTATACGAAATTAAAATTGGAGGATTTGTAAATTGACAAACGTTTAGGATATTTGATAGGAAAACATTAACAAAACCTAATATTTTTACGTTTTAAACACTACTTTAACAACCTCCTTACAAATGTATTGCTAATGAATACACTTAACCACGTTGTCCAAAAAACACAATTTAACTATGGTTTGACCTCTGAACAATGCTATGAAAAGGCAAAGACTACATATACGAGGTAATTGGTTTTTGTTACTCCAATCCAATTAACTAATTAATATACGTAATGTGAGTGGAAAACAAGTCTAGAGGAGTTGATTTAGTTGATGTTGAAAACAAGTAAGTGGAGCGGGAGTTTTTAGGCTTTAGAAATCAGTAAATTTATGCAAAAACAAATAAAAAGAACAAAGTTTCAAAGCTAAAAAAGGAAATACTTAATGCAATTTGCTATAAACTATACATTTATGATGGAAAACATATTAATGGTGTGGTCTAAAAACAGAGCTCAATTAATGGCTATTGTCACCAGTTACAAAGAATGAATATTATTTGTATTAAGTTTAAATAAATAAAAACTTCGAACAGTCATAGATAAAAGGACATTATGTACAGTTTGATTTTCAAATTATTTGACATTAAATTTACATTCATTCACTAAAGACTTAAACCAAATTTTATTGTAGACCAAAAGCTAAAGCCGTGTGGATAAGCTTTGTTTTGTACAGGGAACTTCTGTGTTTAAAAAGCCTTATTTAAAAAAAAAAACCGTGTTTATTTCATTTTCACACCACAACACACATGAACCACAATCATTTATAATAAGATACAAATTATAATCTATAATTTGCGTTACTGTCAAGTAACGGAACCAGTTCCTTATAATTTTCAACCCTACGATACAAGAAAGCGTCCAAGGGTTAAATTCAAAATATCCATCCCGGCCTATAAGCCCCAGTGGCGCAATTGGTTAGCGCACGGTACTTATAAGGCAGTGTCCGTGAGCTATGCCGGGGTTGTGAGTTCGAGCCTCACCTGGGGCATAATTTTTTTTATCTCTGATTCTTAAACAATACACGAAGGGAAGTGACAATGTCGGTCAAAGTATGTAAATAGACGCTCATAAATGTTATAAAGATGAAACAAAACATTTTACCACATTTCGGATTATAGGCCTACTTATTGAACTTTCAATGAGCCCTTGGATTTCAAGTTTGCATAATTATATCAAATACAACTGAAATCTAATAAAACATACTTCAAAGTTGTAAAATTAACAGTTTTTATGTGAATTTTTAAATTTCACTTATAGAGCGTGCTTTTAACATCAATATATTTCTTCATTAATATCCTGTATATTCCCGTAATAGAATACTATCCCCCACAAATTAAACCTTAATTCAACATAAATTATTAAAATTATAATTAACTAATTACCTATTTTAAATTTGTTAAATTAATTTTTATACACTAGTAAAAATTTAAGATATTTTAACTCATGAATATGTCTTTGAATCCTTTTTAATGGATTAAAATCTTTAATAGGCTAAGGATCTTTCTTTCGTAATGGAAAAAAAGAAAGTGACCTTAATTTTAACTTACATAAAATTACCTTTCTCCGTGATTCTTATTAAATAACTGAAAAAAAAAAACTAATACCACACACATTTAAAACACCAGTTACATTGCACTCGAATGTACAGCGTGGAAGCCGTACAGTTTTTTATGCATTAAAAATATCAATATGATGAAACATGGTAACCCAAATCAATAGTTTCTTCTATTTTCCATACATCACTTGATTTGTTTCGCTCTCTTGAGTAACTTAAGGGTTAAAATTTAGAGATACTGTGTCAATTAACTTACACTTGCACTTACACTTACACCATACTTATACTTGCTATGCTGATATTGAAATAACAACAATTCATTTACATTTCAGTTATAGAGCAATTGGAAAAATTAACTTTTGGGAAATGTGCCTCGTGAAATTACCTATTAATCATTCAAAGGTATACTATTATATATAATAAAAGTGTCTTATTATTGAATCTTAGGTAATCCGAGTTACCGCTAAAGACATAATTGACGCATTACTACTGAAAATAGTTTTTATTCAGTCTTAATTATTAACATGACATAGTAATTTTTATCAATGTTAGTCTTCACCAATTTATAAATAATTTTTCACAACAACTTTGGTTATAAAATGACCATTTAGTGAGTAAATAGGTAATATAATGCGCAATTTCAAGAGGGTAAAGTGGGTGCTCTTTCTACAGGGTCTGTGAATTATTAACTGTTCCAGCTGGTTTACAGGATGTTGTTTTAAAGTTTGTGTGGACATTTTCCTCTACGCTACGACATCGTAAGAGCAATCTGTGTCCACCATAAACTCTACCCGTTTTCCTCTTCATAAGTTCGCGGATTTGATAAATGGTTGATATAAAGTTAATTATGGATAGATACAATAATTGTATTTTGTCAATACATAAAATATTTATTTCTTCTAAGTATTTATTTTTGTGCGTTTATATACGCCATTGGCATATTTTAGGTTTTGTTTTTTTAGAGAGGGATTCCAAACCCTGGTTATGATACTATCTTGTTGCGACATATTTAGGAATAAATTATGGTCCAAACTGGTCCAACTCCCAAAAGTAAGTTAGTCACAAAGGAATCCACAACCTTTAAAAAGTAAAGTTAATCCTGGCAACATCAAGTTGTATGACTGTAAAGAGCTATTTCAAACTCTGAATCAAATAAAACAAAAATTCAAATTGTGTACACTTGTAAAATGTATTGTAGCAAATGTTCGGGGGTGTAAATAAAAAACTCCTTCTCTCTTTGAATACCTCTTTCTAGACTGTGTGTAGTAGTTGCGTAGGAAGAAATGAAGGCAACTGGAGCAACCGTAGAGTTGAATCTTAAACTATTGGATACGAAGGCAGTCATCCTATATTAAGTATATGGACAAGCTGTGGCAATCTTTTCATAAAAAGAGAAAATACCCCCACCCCCAATGCAGCGAACCTGCAGACTAAGCGAATGTCCAATTGCCGAGTTGGATTTTCCCTAAAAATACTAAATATTTCCTGAAAATTGTCAGACTTATTTTGTATTTCAATAGATTTAAGGGTTTTGGGTGCTTAGGTTTGCTGCTACGTGGAAGGAAATAAAGTGTGGCTTTATTAGAAATGGTAATAGCTTTGAATGAAATAAATAAATTAGCCAAATATGATCAAAATATATCCATAAACAAGCAAACTACAACAGTTTACTTTATTATCTTCATAAGTATAACATGGTGATTTGAAATTCCCGGGTCTACGTCTTACCATGAGACCTACGATAATAGTTTATCACTTAAAAGGAAAATTCCATAAAAAACTCAAAGTTAAACTAGCCAAAGCTTAAAATTCCTTCGCCCCTTAGTTTTCTTACCGTGAAGCTACATAAAAGATGCACTTCAATGTTGTCACAGTTTTCCGTGCTTAGATTAGACATTTTGTTTTCCACGGGAAGACAACGAAGATCAATCATATAAAAGAGTATTGTTTATATTTTAAGTTAATATTTGTTGAGGACACACGGTCAAAACCTTGGTCTACACCGGAGTTTGCGATGAAATGTCAAAAATACTTCAACAGCTGATATAAAAGTCACATTTTGTCACAAATTCCGGTATAACAATGGCTTAAGGGCAATTTCAACGCCAATCTTTGGATTCTTAGTTGTGGGTTGCAAAGTTGCCAGAATGGATTAAATATACATATTCAATAACATTTCTGCATATATGCGGCGTGAAATGTTCAAGACGATTTGACTTTTGCACAGTTGACATATCTGGTATTTCTTGATTCTACTTGATATGTTACTGTGCAGAATCCAAGTCCCCCTGAAGATGTGACTCTACAGCGAGACCAAACACCAAAACGTTAGTGGATACAGAAGTTTCATTGACGCATTCCTGGCTTGAAGACCGTGGGAGCCTTGGACAGATCTACGTACCTATAACTTTTCTCCAGATTAGGGTAGGAGCCGGGAACCCCTCAGCTTGACAGTCGAATGTGACGAAACTCTCCCTCGTTACGTTCCTGTCTCTGGGCTCGGTCACCCATCTCGGAGGCACTGAAATACAACAAACATGCTCTATGAGCCATAGAGGAACGACGTATGATTAATAATAATAGCTAAGGCTACTTAACATAGAAATGTGTATAGCATTGGTGATGCATTACACAAAGTTAAAGATTGGATTAAAATATTCTGTTTTGAACGAATAGTAACAAATTATAGTTTTCAGGGTCAACGCAATACATTTTGCTAGCTTAATGTTATCAATGAAAAAATGTTTGGCAAATAGAAACGATCAGTAAGTCAATGCTGGAATATCTGTTTAAATTGTAACTAAAATCATAAAAGTATCTGTCAAAAATTATCTAGAGATTTACATACTTTGGTATTTAGTTAATTGTGATATAATAATTAATCATGATGATTTTACGTCTGTAAGTACAGACTTTTATATGATATAAAATGATTAAATTTCAAATATTGATCGATTTTTGTACCACGTATTGACAGTTAATCGTATAACGTTACTGGCAAAACAGTTCAATAATAATTTAAAATTATTATTAAAACATAAATTAAATTTAAGCACATAAAATTCTGAACATGCTCGAATAGCATCATGAAAACGTCAGTGTAAAACATATGGTTGTCATAGAAAACCTAAAAACAATCTGAATTAACAATTGCCATTAGATCTATACATCAAACGACTAGTCACAGAACATTGAAATTGCTGGAGTGTAGTATAATACAAATGTGTTTTATCAGTGCAGTGTGCAAGCGCAAGCGTGCAGTGGGCTTGCGAAAGTGCAGTGCAAGTGCGGAGCAAACCTTGGTGTCTCCTCCGACAAAACACATTACATCCAACCGTGTCGTTCCTGTAAACAATCGGATATAGTACAGTTTGTGGAGGAAGATCGCTATTATTGCATAGCGTTTGCTCGATTGCAGAGTGACAAGGAGTGGCAGTGAGTGACAGTGAGTGAGTGTGCAAGAAAGAGCTTCTGCGGTGCGGTGCTGTGCTGTGGATGTCCACTGTGGCAGATACGTTACCGCTGACGACCAGAGGGGCGGTCACTTTACTGGACTTGGCGTCGTTGGCCGCGATACAGGAGTAGTTGCCGGAGTGTTCTCTGCCTACATGAGAGATGGCGAGAGTGCTGGAGTACGCGTCTTGGGTTATCTGGATGCCTAGAGCGGCTGATATCTCCGACTCGTCCTTCAGCCACTTTAGTTTCAACGGAGGATCGCCGGCTTGGATGACGCACTGGACCTGGGTGCGAACTCCCTCAATAAGCTCGCCGAACGAGAACGGTCCTATCCTAGGAGGAACTGAAACAGACAGAGTGGTGGTGAGGTAGAGCGAGGGTATGATGGGAAGGGTGGCGGAGGTTACCGTTGACTAGGAGGTTGGACGAGTGCGTGTCCGTAGCGGCCTGATTGGTGGCGACACAGGTGTAGCTACCAGCGTGTCTAGGTGCTAGAGACTCTATGCTGAGAGAGCTGGTGTACTGGCCGTATTGCTGGACACTGACGTCCTGGTCTAGAGCGCCACCGTCCTTCCTCCACTGGATGTCCAGGGGCAGATCGCCCTTGGTGATGAAACACTGCACTCCCACACGGTCGCCGACGTGCAGATCCGTCAGGAAGGAGAACGGGGTGATTCGTGGAGGCACTGTAACACATCTTGTCTAACATTACCCCCACAACACCTAGATCTAAGTCTACCAATAGCGTCATTACATGCATTCACGATACCAAATTTTGATTCAAAATCATAGCTATTCGTGTAAGATATAAGCCTAGCTTTACGTTTACACTGGGGACTAAGGTATATAGTAGCGTATTATGACAACTGATTAATTATGCATGAAGAAAATATATTTTAAATCAACAAAACAAAGCGGAAAATCTGCAAACGTTGTTGTTAAGATTCTAAGTGTTGTATATCTTGTATAGACCGACAGTAAATTACCGATGATTGAATTTCTTAACCGATTTATCAGATATGTCACACCAGGCAAACATCATGGGGCCTCTAGAATGTCTAGAAAAGCGAGGCTATCAAAGGCTTAGTAACTATATGAAAAATTAATAAAAGCGTTGACTGTAAATCCTAAATGTGTGTGTAGGCATGACAATTTTAATTAAACCATAGGAATTGGGTAGGTAACAATGCTCGGTTGCGGTCATAATATAATCGCATCGTTGGGGTCCGATGCAGTAGCAGTGGAACTGGAAGTATGGTGAGAGGACAGAGAAAAGGGACGGTGTGGTGTACGTGTAGTAGGTACGTGGGACGGTGTGGTGTACGTGTAGTAGGTACGTGGGACGGTGTGGTGTACGTGTAGTAGGTACGTGGGACGGTGTGGTGTACGTGTAGTAGGTACGTGCGCTGTAGCGATCCGGCAGCACGGTGTACTCTGTCAATGAATACAAACCACTATGTATTCATTGACTCTGTCTAGTGTCTGTATGTACTGCGAGTGCGTCTGCGTCTGGTCTGCGTGCCCGTGCCGGGAGTGCGCTGCGAGGGTTGAGGGCGAGGAGTGGAGGGGTGGGCGGGCATTTGCTGCCAGCACTCTCTGGCAGCGAAAGAATAAAACAATTGACGCACGCGCTGTCTTTCGGAGGTCCAGACCAACTAACTGAACCCACGGACCTGGCTCAGCTCCGACCACCACAATGGGCCCGTTTGTATGCGTTGTCGTTTAAGGATTTATTTACAGTCAACGATAGAAGTCAACTAAAAAGAAAACGATTTCCCCTGACATCTAATTTCTTCTGCATGGTGTTAAACAATGAACTGAATATATTTACTTTCAATGATTTATAACGCCATTTAAATGTTATAGACAATAGGCCAACTAAAATTAAATTAAAACTTAAATCGAATGGTTTAGTCTAAGATCCTACAATTACTTAATTTGAGTATCGTTCGTTTAAAGTATACAAGTTCAGTATTGAACATTTTTAGCCACTGGAGGGCGTTTGTACATATTAAAGATTAATAGTACCTGCAGTACTACCTTCCTGGAAAGTTCCTGTTTTCCGTTAACTTCTTCATTGTTGTAACATCCAGAATAGGTGAATTACAAGTAATCAAGGTTAAGTACCGTATATTCAGTTCAGACAATTCCTGATTTATAATAAATTTGACTGTGTATACATTCCGCGATGGATTAAACAATCATCAGATCTACAGAAACATAAAATATCCTCTTCACAGACTCGCACTATTGAAAATAAACACATACATAAAAACGTTTAAACATTAAATTTTGAAAACTTTTTAATTTAGGTTGTAGTGATGGAGTTTATCGCTGACCAGCTCTACACCTAAACTTACTAGTGTGCAAATACTTAATTTTACATTTAAACGGGTTTTACGTTGGCCTATGTGTGTTTATCCAAAAGTGACGAATCTCCGAAAGGGGTGTTTCATGTTTGTGTAGATCTGATGATTGTTTAATCCATCCCTAAATGTATACTTAGTCAAATGTATTAGAAACAATGAATTACCTGAACTGAATAAACCTGTACGTAACCTTGATTACTTATATTTCCGTTAGCGATACGTGATCATTGGTTTTGATCCCAAAGGTTAATTTTTAAGGTGAATACTAATTTATATTTATAAAATCCACCTAATCCCCCTTCCACAACCCTAAAGTTGTGAAAAGCCGTCATAAACACATACACGGAAAAAGTTTCCGTGTCTGTGTATTCATGCTCGTGTATCTGTTTATGGCAGATCTTTCCGACCTCAATGATGAAGAAAGTAAACAAATTTGTATTAGAATTGAAATGAACTATTAGGTTTAAAAACTGTCATTTAATAACGAATGAAGACAGGAACACTTGACAAAACTACGGGTATTTGTAACATTTCATTCCGAATTGGTTAGATTATCACACTGTGATAGAGTTAGGCAAGAAGGTTGGACTGATTTCTGATATCTTAGCTCGTAAAATTTTCTCTCCAATGACGTCCTTAATCTGGCGAATAATCTTCCAAATTAGAAAATAATGTTAAAGGGGATTTTCCTGAAGAGAGGTAAGTTATTGTAGCCTATTAGTTCAGTTCAAGTAGTTTTTAAACCCCAATTTTAGACCTAAAACTGTATTCCTTACAATTGTTTCTTATTACATGTGTTAACAATGTAAGTTATAAAACAAGTTATAATATAAGTTATTAGTTTATGATTAGAAAACATAGACCTTTTGTTAGTATAGATGTGTTGAAATCCATTTATTTTGCTCACATTCAAAGTCATTTGTCTTATAGTATTGTTGTGTGGGGCCATTCTGGTAGTATTAAAAAGCTGCAACTGTTGCAAAAGAAAGCTGTTAGAGCAATATTCAATGTTGACAGTGAAACACATTGTAAGCCATTATTCAAGAAACTTGGAATTTTATCTGTCACTTCTCTGTAAATTTTAGATTGTTTACTGTATATTAAAAATAATATTAGAGAGTTCCCTACAAATGATTCAGTTCATAACCATTTTACCAGACAAAACACTTTTCTCCGTCCAAACCAATGCAACTTTATGACCACAATCAATAACTTTAGTGAATTTGGCAAAAGATTGTATAGTATGTTACCTGCTCACATTAAATGTCTTGAAATACAACAATTTAAATTTACTATCAGAAAGATTTTGTGTGATTTATGTGTGTATAAGGTCAAAGAATTTGTAGAACATACTAAGTAGGTTAATGGATATACTGTGATGAAATTGTATGACGTTGCTATACATGTATTTATAAAGTTGATGGCAATAAATGGATTTGATTTGATTTGATTTTAAACATCATACATTATGAATGAGGGACGGTGGATTAGTATAAACATGTTTTGTATTAATCGTATTCTGGTGATATAAAATATGCTAATCCATACTATCCCACTATTATCAGTATCCACTTACAAGTACAACATAAACTATAAAACCAGTTTTACTGTAATATAAATAAATGAAGTCAGTAAATACAAAATTAACGCGGATAAGGATTTCAGCAAGAATGTTTCGGGACATAAACACAAAGAAGCCTGTACGACACATGCAAGCGTTGGTTGAGTAGAGAGGTTTTTGCCTCATATTACTAAGCGGTCGCCCCTCCTCGTTTACTTAATGCTGGTTTTTCTTTATCACCGACCTTTTACATTAAACTACTAATTTCAACTCATGTTATCATGATTCCCCCCAAACCCCTTTGTCCCTTTTAAAATATTTTGTATCTCCTTAATTTTTATCACTGCATGTTCACGTTTTTAACCCAATCTTGTTAATCCGTACCTGGGGTTTTATGATTAAGGTTTATGATTCTCACATTTACCTTTTACTAAAGTGATATTTCAAAAATTAAATTCCTGATATAATATTTTATTATATTGTGATCGATTTTATCTCAGGACTATTGCAGTTAACTACCAAACCATCACCAGAGGTGTTTTAAGTTAATCGAGTTGTCGTGTTAATCTTTTGAAATTTTAGTATATACATCAATCTCTAGAAACCTGAATACTAAAAGATTAGTATCCTTACCATTTTTATTTCAAACAGGTTTGTAGAGAGTGATTTCTTCTCTTAGGTTTAAGCCCAGTATAATAAAAAATCTATTTAAAATCGTTACTGTTTGGTTGGACGATAAAATGAATTTAAAGTGCACAGTGATTCTGGATCTACGGTTTACCATGATGTATACTATGTTCAACAATTAAATCAGCTAAATGTTGTTAAAGCACTTACGAAAGGTATCACTTTGAAACTAAAAATCTAGAAAACTGATTAGCTCACAATAGCTTCCTTTACTGACAGATCTGTGCAGATAGAAACGAAGTCATTCTCTTTCGAAAATCTCGCAGTAGGGTTAGAACACTTCTAGAATTGAGTCTCGGAATTTTGCTTTCTAGAATGTCTTTTGAAATACTAATGAGCTAGACAAAGACAAGATTGTTCTACCAATGACAGAGAGGTGGAGTTGTTGTGATGATGTTCGGCCTTGCTTGTTCTCCGCCGTACACCGGTATTCCCCGCTGTCCGGGTCCCTCTGCACGTTGTCCAGCAGGAGGGTGCCATTGGGGAACACTCTTTGACGACGGTTCAACGGCAGTCTTCTACCCTCTGGAGAGAAATTAAAATTTCAAAATAAACTACACTGCTCCTTAAATTTGTACTGTATACAGAACTAGTTTACATATACTATTTATTTGTGCATCTTATTTATTGTGAGTCGTAACTTTCTTGGGATGAATTACTGGAACGCATCCGAATCTTTGGCTACTATTTTTGTAAATTCAATGACGCAGCCTTCTCTCAAATATCAAGATTAGACATACTATTTTGGCCATGGAAGCTTACCTTTCTATATTGTTTATGTCGTCAATTAAATTGTTTTTGGGGGGGGATGGGTAGTTTTCGTAATACAGATTATTGATATTAGAACTGAAATATTAGATGAGTTAACCTACAGCCATAAACGTAGGACTCGAAATAAGAATAGACATATAAAAAAACTGTTTCATAACAATATTTTGGAAACATGCTGGATTTAACATCGTACTTTTCAGTTAATTATAATGGTTAGGTCTCATGAATGTGATTTATCGATTGAATACTTATCTAGATAATGTCTTCAATGAAATAACCTTAAGTATAACCACCTTTAAGTTCTATCCTTTACCTTTTTCCCAGGTTATGGAGTCAATGGGGTATCCTGCGACGGGACAGGCAATAAGAAGCGGTTCCCCTGCCACAGCTGAGATATTTGGCATAGGTCTCACATAGGGAGGTCCTGAAATGATCAATTAGAACCAGTCTTAATTTCATCACAAAAATAACATGATGCAAAGGAAGGTTATAAGATACACTTAAAGTGGTAATTAACTCTTTGAAACAAGGTACTGAACATGGAAATATTTGTTATAATAATCATTGTTATCGCGTGGCTTCTTGTAAATCGTTCTCTAGTGCATAGAACAAACCTTTCACCTGAAAAACACATCCTGAGAGACATGTATAGACCTGTAACTTAATGTGGAGTCAAAACCGAAAGGTCGTGGCATAGCAATAAAAACAATGCTATTACATCATGGGTGAATGGTGAGATTTGAGCCAGGGCCTGCAGGAACAAAGTCCCGCTCTCTTACCATCAGAACGGCCGCACTCCAACTGAACAATGGTGTATGATTAATATGAATATGTGTACATTTGGACATTTATTTAGCTAAATGATCTTGCAGGATAGTTATTTCATTTATAAAACAATAATTTGATTTTGATTTGCAAGTATTATTTTTACATAATTATATCTTTAGGGCTACAAAGTATAGGGTACTGTCTCATTAGAGTGCATACATAAAATGCAAACTATGTTATCAAAAGGCACATTATAAAATATGTACATACAGTACACTTATCAACTTCAAACTCCTTATTGAAGTGGTTTTAGTATATTTAAAGCTATAAACATTTCTAGAAAAAAAACTCATTCCAACTACTGTTACAACAAATGAATGATGAGCGCAGTGTTTGTTCTTTGTTTTCGGCGACACCCCAGTAGTAAAACATCACATGAATGTCTCTTACGACGACATGTCTACTACCCCCCTCTACCCTTCATTGGGGGGGACTAATTGTGACACTTTACCCCCTCAGGGTTTAATCACAATCGTAAGACACATGATTGATACTGGACTTTTACAAGCAGTAATCAAACACAAATGACCTTCACATGATGTCATCAAAATGAGATACCAGCCATTCACAGAATGCATTGGTGTCAAAATTTGACTTCTCCTTTAGTTTATGGTTTTGAGATATTTTATGTAACTTTTAAGATTTTATTATTTGCCTTTTATCTGGTTTGGTAAAAAATTGCGTATTCAAACAGAAATTAATGATTGGATCGGCGGACTTGGTGGCTTAACTACGTCCATTTTTATTAATAACTGGCCACTGCTTTAAAACGGGAATGGGATATCTACTTGTTTATTCAGGTCAAGGTGACATAAAAATGGGAGGGGTTGGGGGGGGGGGTAAAAATGGGTGAAGTAAAGAACGAGGGTTTGGCGATGCTGTGTAAGTAGGCTGAAAACTTAACTTAAAAGGTAACTTGATAGCTTGTACTGCCCTGTAGAAGCTGTGGCTTTAAGTAGGTCAGTGTGTTTGTTAAGGATGGCATTTAGTAAGATGAGGTGACAGGAGCCTAAGGTATAATCAAACGTATTGAGTACATAACCTTATGTCCAAATAAGGTTATTTTAATTTTCTCTAGATCGTGTGTTTATAGTTTCTTCTTATACTTAAGAGTTTTTTAATCAGTTAACAGAATATAATAGAATAGAATAGAATAGAATAGAATAGAAACGTGTTTTATTTGAAGCGGTTTTCAGTACAAAAATACACTGCTTTTCAAAACAACTCAAGTCAGGTACACAGTCTTCAATACAATAATAAAAGAGAACAAAAAATTTAATTATATTTCCATAAACAAGTCATATTTATGTCCTATTTAATTGATATTAGATTAAACGAGTAACATTAGATTTAAAGGTTTGCTGCTACGGGAAAGGGAAAAGGGATTTTTTACTTTCATGGTAATTAGTATTTTATGAATAAATAAATTTGCCAAACGAAATCGAAACATATCCATAACAAGCAAACTACAACGGTTTTGTTATATTCTCTGTAAAATTAACATGGGAATTTTAAATCTACACTTTTTTTTCTCCGTAACCATTAATTGTACAACAATGCTTCGATGTAAAGAGTGTCCGTTTTAAGCTCCAAACGATGGCTGTGATAAAAAATAGGCATTTCCATTTTTGAAAAATTAAAATAAAAAAAACAATGTATATACAATTTTAAAACCCCGTAGCACCTGGTATCCGATACCCCATCTTACTGGTTAGCGAATCAATCACGTTTATACAACTCTACACATTCATGCCAATTTTTATTAAAATCAGACCAAAATTGCTCGAGTTATCATGTTTACACGCACATATATGTTTCGTGTGACCGACAGCAATAGCTTCTTTAATATAGGTAGGAAAATTCACAAAAAATACAAAATTATATTACGAAAGAAGAATCAAAAAGATGCGTAAAAGATAATATAGCTTAACATATTAAAATGGTCCTTGTTAGGAAATAAACTGTATAAAGACTTTCGTTTGAATTTAAAATAGTTTTCGGTATTAGTTTAATATATGTTTAAATAAATTGTAAATAAATAAACTGTAGCGTTTACAACATCCAATGAAGCCCAAAATCTCCTTAAACCTAGAGCCCAACAAAATGATAAAAACCTGAGCAAAAAGTCAGGAGTTTTTAAAATAACATGCAATGACTGTAATAAATTCTATATTGGACAGACTGGCAGACCATTTATCAAGAGATTTAAAGAACACCTTCCCAAAAATAGTATAACACAACAATCCAATTTTGCCGAGCACCTAGTCAACAGCAATCACAGTTATTCCAGCTTGCTGACGTCACTATGACGTAGTAACCTGAGTGGCCAAAAGTTTGTTCGCGGCCGGAATTTTACCCCCGCGGATTTGGAAGTCTAATGAAAATAGTCAGAGCGTGATAATTAGATTAGCGATAAAAACCGGAATTTTACCCCCTGTCCATATAACTAGCGTTTATACAACTGAAGATGTACGGGCCGGATTTTTACCCCCGGAATTTTACCCCCGGATTTTTACCCCCCGGAATTTTACCCCCTGGCCGATTTTAAAAATTGAATGATTGATTTTCTTATTTCTGTTTTTAATAATTGTAAACATTTAATTATTTAGTAGCCTATCTTTATTTATTTATTTTGTAACCTCAACTAAGTAAACAGAATTCGCTGTTTTATTTTGATCATATTAACCAACAGTTGGCTACAAAGATCGAATCCCGATACTTGAATCTCAAAATTAAAATTAAAAACCTGTTCGATTAGTTAATGTTGCAAATAAATTAAGATAGGCTACTTAATAATAAAATGTTAACTATTAATTTAAAACTGAATGAAGATGATTAATCATTCTCACTAATTTATATATCTGGCCAGGGGGTAAAATTCCAGGAGTAAAAATCCGGGGGTAAAAATCCGGGGGGTAAAAATCCAGGGGTAAAAATCCGGGGGGTAAAATTCCGGGGGTAAAATTCCGGGGGTTAAAATCCGGGCAGTACATTCTAGGTTTTTATAATATGATGTGTTCTGATTAAATTCACAACCGTGAAAATATATGTTTAATTCCGCGTTTAATCCATCGAGGTGATGTCGCGAAACTCAAAAGTTCGTGGCCGGAATTTTACCCCCTGGTTTGTGACGACACGTTTGCCCAGGGGGTAAAATTCCAGGGGGATAAAAATCCGCTACGCCGAATGAAAATTTAAAACCTTTACACGTTTGTAGAAAAAGTCGAGTAATGACACCACTAGAGCAATATGTAATTTATAAAGCCTCAAACCCCCCCCCCACAACCTTCTGAATGATAAAAGTACACTAAAATCCAACATATAATTCGAAGCATTGCTTAAGTTGAATGAAACGCCACCTGTAGCTACAAAGGACAGAGACAGGACAAAGGTCAACTCTGCAAGTAACGTCTGACTCCAGTCGAGACTCGACACACGACCGACGCGCGTCTATATGTCCGCAGTAAAAATAAAAGTAGGCCTACCACGTAAGTTATTGTGTGTTTTCATCATGTGTATAAGTATAAAAATTCGTGTATGTGTTTTCAAAACTTTAGGACGCACCTAATGGGGAAGCTCAAGATCTTGTATTAAGGACTGATGATGGCGATTTAACTTTGCCGAAATGCATATACATTAGGATACTTAAGGATCGACCGCGGACACAGGCAATTTAACCTTTTATTAAATAAATTCTTGAAGAATAATTTAAAGTATGTTTTGAATTGAAATACAATCAACATGGTCATCTGCAACTGACAACTGAAAATATAACTGTTAAAACGGACTTTAACTGTGCGTTGTATCTGTTGTACAATACAACTTATTCTGCAACTATTCAGATTGTGTACAATTGATGTAATGCAAAAAGTAGCTCAATAAATTTCAACAATACTAATCGTACTGTAGTAAATTCTAAATTAAATTGTATTATTTATATTTAGCCAGATATTCCGTGTGCTATGAAAAGCTATTTTACAACTGTGCCAACAATGCTAACAATAGACTAAGAGCCTTATATGACGATATATTTCCAAACAAGCAACAAGAAACTTTACTTTTAACGCTACATTTACTACATTGGCAATTTACATTGTAGTACGACTAGAGTTGTGATAAACTTTTCCTTCATATAGATTGATATTACCACGTCCGGTACTCGCGGATACAGGTTACTTTCAGTGATTACTTTGTAACATGCGTTACTACTTGTGCTCTATACATTACTTGGAAATAACCTACACACGATATACCTCCGTCCCTACCTAGCTCAAGTAATTACGGAATAGAATTTCAGTAACTTAATTTGGTAAATATTAAAAGTACGCACAATTTATATTTCAATAGCAAGAAAAAGGCCACCCGACCTAAAATTCGCTTAACCATATAATGTATTGTTCGGGTCTATGTCGATTGTAGTTCTTTATAGTAAACTCTATTCGGTTCAAACGTATTTAATCATTTCTTTAAATATTCGTGAACTGGTTCAGTTGGTAATTTTATTGAAGCGACGGTTTCTGTGAATATTGCAATGCTACTTAAGTTTCTTACAATTATTTTGAACCTTTTTATTTTCTTATCCGTCATTATTTATTATATTTACTAAAAGCATCACTTTTTTCAGTAAACTACTGTTAACCAGTTCTTACTCTTGCAGTTCCGTTACATCACTTATATTTATTCATTGTATTGGCGTAGTCGAAGATGTTTCTTGTTAATATTACATTGCACCTGATTTTTTTATACTATTGGAATCGACCAAATCGAAAGCTTGTTAATGTTTTAGTTAAACAGGACTGATACGTCGCTCTTATTGACTGTGTATTCCCCATCGCATTCTGACATCTATATGTATTGCTCATTATTATAATTTATTTCATGATAAGTTACATTCTATATCGAGAGTCAGTTACATTTGACCAGTTCCTAATCTAACCATACTGCTACGTCACTAATACCGCATTCCCGAATAGTGGTGTTGCAGTGACCAGCTGTTTTCTAGTCTCTTTGGTGTCCACGTTCTACTCCACGTTTATTACGTATTTATGTTCCGACAAAGTAAGGCTATTATTAGATTGATTTCATTACGGGTTTGCCATATCTTTTGGGGGAACTCAATAGTTGACCTCGTGGTCTACATAATACGTTCATATTAGTCAGGGGGTGAGATTTAGGCATCAACCCCTGTTCTCTGATCGGATGGAACAGAGTCATGATACCTACTGATATTAGGCTACCCATCACTTCCGGGTTTCTGATACCTGATGATTTTATGACACTATCCACAGCAATTTAAATGAAAGTATCACTCACTACGTTTTGGGAAAGCGGCTTAAATCCCTTATTTCTTTGTGTGTATGTCAGGATTCAATCCCACTCCTCGCACAATGAAACTTTAGATGATAAGTACTCTGAATCAAACGCTACTGATACTCACCATAAACCCTCATATCAGCAGAGTGTGATATCTCCCCTATCCTGTTGGTCGCTGTACACTGGTAAATACCTCCATCCTCCACCTGGACGTTGCTGATGTTGACGTGACTGATCACTTCTCCGTGAAGTGTCACGTATTGGCCGATGAGAAACCTGGAACAAAAACAGCTCGTTCTGTTGCGATTTTGACAATGCATTTCTTATGGTCATAGTAGGAGGGTAATCGATGACAATGATGTAGCCGATGCGTAAATACCAGGATACGTATTTTCAGGTGAAGATGAGTGTTAAATGAAAGGAAAGACAGGTTTTTACGTACTATGATCAGCCGGCTCATGAATGAGGTCCTTTAAAAGCACATTAAAAAAGGACAGTTGAATCATAACCATTAAAAAATTATGATCTTTCTAAGGTTCAAAATGGTACTCTTCTGATTGCCAGTCGAACACTATACCTACAGCCATATTTGACACCATATCACCATATAATAAAGAGTAGATACGCATGAAGTAAACTAATATCATTGTAATTCCACGTACAACCAACCTTTAACGGTATGAATGCGGAGAATGTACATTTTATGTATTCTAGGATGGAATCATTATATTTGAGATTGTGTACATAAGGCGTGTCCGCTTAATCCAAGGATAAAGGAAATCTTTGTAGTCTCAAATAATATATTGCATTTTTTTTATATGATTGCGGTTGGATTTTCAAATTAGGTTAGATTAGGGATTAGAATAGTTATTTGTGTAACTATTGCAACATTGCGTGAAGTGACACTTTGTTGCGCATGAGAGAAATGTTTACGCACGAGCCGCAGGCGAATGTGGAAAGTTTCTGGAGTACAGCAAAGGCACTTTGCGCTCGCGTTACACATTATGTTTTTACAGTAACTACAAAGCATATAAAAATAGTCTTTCAAATGGTAAACAACACCGTTTAGGCTAGGTTATGTCCAAGCGTTAAACGAATAAAGAATGTTAACACGAAACAAAAGGTTAAGTCGTAGTATCTATCAAAAAGGCTGCGAAACGCTGCACTAGCTGATCTTAGTCGTAATACCGTGTCTTTAAAGGTTGCCAACTCATTTTCAAAGCGTACATTTATTATAAAAGCACACCGTTTTGTGTTATTTGGTTGGAATACTTGAGTGCGGCAAAAGGAAAATTATCGCGGCAAAAATAAGTAAATGCAGCAATTAGCTACTTTGCGTGCTATAACCAGTGCAAGGAAGCCTGCTTTGTCAGTTAACTGAGTTAAATACTGTACATGTCCTTACTGAGTTGAATGCATTGTTTAACCGACTGCAACTTAAAGGATGATGTATTTTAAACTGCAGAATCTTGCATATCATATTGATTATCATACTTTCAAAAACTAAGAGCGAAAATAGATCATACTGTCAGCGAGTGCCTCGTTCTACTAGGTTCTATAAAAATAAAAATTTTGGTGCAGCTACGTTGTTCGTTGAAATACTTTCAAGTTTATACGGGATAACCTAGTATCATTTCTATACAGGGTGGCTGAAAAGTAACTTGCACCCCCCTTAACTTTTAAACCTTTTGAGATATTTGAAATCGGTTTATGGCAACATACATTCTTAGAAATGAGAGGCTAGTTATGGTTGGTTTTGAAAATTTTTCCCTTAGGGGTGGGGTGGAATGGGGGTGGGCGTAGCTCAAAATTTTCAAATGACAAGTATATTTGGAGCTTCGTATAATTTTACAGATTTTGACAATACTAAACAATTGACATAAAGAAAACCTAAATCGAACCAATAATAACAATATTGCACCCTAAAACGTTTCAAATTGGGATTTTTGAAATCGGTTTGCGGCAACCTGTTTAGATAAGGGCTACAATAATGATAGCGAACTTTGAAAATGTTGCCCTTCAGTGGGGTGGGGTGTAGCTCAAAATGTTCAAATAGGAAGTATGGTCGAGTGTGGTATAATTGTACAGGTCTTAACAAAACTAAACAATTATCACGAATAAAATTGAAATCGGACCACTAAAAACAAAAAGACAGTTAAATATTACTTTTAATAACCATTGTCTTAATAATTTTTAGCTGCCATTTTGTTATTAGTTGTCCAATTTATATTTTCTTTATGTTTATTGTTGAGTGTTTGTTGTCAAGACCTGGGATATGGTACCAAACTCGACTATACTTGCCATTTGAAAATTTGAGCTACTACCTACCCCCGCTTCCCTAAGGGCAAAATTTTCAAAACTAACCATAATTATTGTAGCCCTTCATTTCTAAGAAAGTTGCCACAAACCGATTTTAAATATTCCAAATTGTTGAAAAGTTAAGGAGGGTGCAACTTGGTGCAAGTTACTTTTCAGCCACCCTACATATTAATTCAATATACTGTATTTTTAAAATCTACTTGCATTTCGTACCCTATATCCAGACATAAATAAAGCTGAGAACCTGTATCGTTTGAAGCTTTTCACTATATACCGAACAACGGTGGTTGACATAAAAGGTCGATTCAACTCGTCAGGGAAGGTCTTGCGATCGATTTGACGATTCGTTCGCAACAGGTGGACAAAACGACTGGCTAACTAATAAATACTGCCAGGGAGGTGATATAGGGACGGCTATTTGGTTTAAACGTTCTAAATCCATTTGTTTTAAACGTTGGATTCACATTTAATGCTGTAGCGTTTCAAAAACCTTTCTGAATATTTTTACAAGATTTTGTGTTGATGCAATACATTATCGATGCAATATTTACATGTTATAATATTTTTGGATTTAGGGATTTCATAATGTTTCTTATAAATAAAAGATAAAACAGCTTTAGAAAAAAAAACGGATGCTAACGTATTTTAAAATGTTTGAATGGGATTTTATCCAAACAGGTGCCGAATAAAGGATTACTTACGCTTAGAACCCTACATAATATAAACATATTATTTGCGATTGGTTACGTTTCTGCTCCGTAGAATAAAAAAACGTGTTTTTAAAACATCAAATGTCATGAAAATACTTATGAAATAGGCAATCTACGGTATTTTTTCCCCTTAAAAATGTGGAAGATTTTGTACTGAGTTCATCACGTTTTATATCTCGCTAATCAATAGGCGTAAGATAAAAACTGTAGGCCTATATAAGAAATCGTTTATATTTATAAGCTGATTTAATGAAAAGATAATATTTTTAAATCTTGGGCAAAGATTTTTTTTACACATTTGCTCTGTCATTACATAATGCTTATTTTGATGATATGGTTTGTACTATAATTATATTAAAAGGTTCCATAACTCAATAATTTTATTGATTTTTCATTCTAACAACAAAATGACTGCTTACGTTTGGAACGGTGTGATTTATGGACTCACCAAGGATTTATATACTATCCCCAACATCCAAATTTGCCACTACCAGACCCTTTGGATGGAGTCAACCACAGTGTTTGAGGACTATCCCAACCCCTTACCTTTAACCACACCAATAAAGCCTTAAAGCAACAACAATTATGTTCATCCAACCCCAATGAAACCTGAATACAATGATTTAGGCATACGGAGATGCAAAATATTGATAATTTGTATGATGTATACAAACTATCAGTTAACTTTCTTTATACATAATGGGAACCCATGCGGAATATAATTTTTATGACAGCGGTTTGCCATAAAAACAGTTGGTTTGTCTGATAAATACAAAGTTGATCGTAAAAAAACAACATTCTTTGCTGGTTAAACGTGGGTTGGCTGAAACTAATTTTCTTATTTATCACATTTTTCTTCAATCTCTCTTCAGCCAACTTCTTACTCTGTTTGTGTTACGTGTTACAACAGACGGCACAATATTTTGCTAAGGCTCAAGCCCACTGGATGGAGGGCTCTTGTAGGGCTTCAAACTATATATGAATCGAAATTGCGTTGCCTTTAGAAGGTTACTAGCCTTAACTACTTTTATAACCGATCAAAACGCTGCAGTTTTTAAACTCGTTTTTACAACAGTTTTTCTTTTTGCTTGGGAATGAATGATACTGTTGTTATTTTACAAAATAGGTTACAGCGTAAGTCAGTATATAGGTCTATATATAAAGGCTTTTATATCAAGTACTTTTTTAATATTTTAATTATTATGTTCAAATTAAGATAAAGAAACGTGTGTTAGTTACTTGTTTGAATAATAACATGTCTTGGATCGATTTATTTTTATTTTGCATGATAGATAATATAAAACATAGTTTGGTTTAAATCTGCACAATGAAACTATGCACCTGATGTATGAAATAAGCTAAAATGCACTTGGTATTTGGTAAGACTTCGACAAAAAATTTTTATCTGTTTTGTCGTGAGCAGTTTTATATTTTTAAAGGGCCGGACGATAAAGGGCTTAGCTATTTTACCATCGTATTGTTCAGTTATTGGAAATTTGAACCTTTTTGATAAAAAAATTGACAAAGTAAGACCCTAATCCCCCTACCATAACTAAGTGTGTGTGTGCTTTGCCCATAGTCAACGGATGCTGTCTTACTACTTTCTCAGGAGGCCAGCTGGTCTGCAAAACACATTTGAAGCAGTGCTTCAAAGGCTACATGCGATTTGCCCCTTTGAAGCTAATCTGTCTTTAAACTTCATCAAATCTGTAGTATATACGTTTGTGTTATTTATTTTAAATCGCGTATTGGGTTTCCCTTTTAACGTGTACGTTATTTATTCGTTTTCAAATATTATTTATGGTGGCTGACTATAAAAATGTCATACAATATATTGTATACGGGATAGACAAATTTAAGGGAACCATTGTAAACCAACCTTAGTGCACCATTCTCAATAATAAAATAACATCTTTGTATACTGTATCAAATTGTGAGCTTTTACTGAAATGTTTAAACTTGTGCAACTCCTCATTAAGTCAACTCTCATATAAGGGTTATAAAAGAAGGATAAATCCCTACACTGTATACATCTGTGGGCTATCCCTATACATCTGTGATAGCCCAGAGCAAAATGGTAGTCATTTTAAGTTTCAATAATATCACCCAACGAGTTTTTCAAGCGAACCGAAATAATCTAGTGCACCATGCAAAGACGTCTATTTCTGTTTTCCTTTACCAAAATTGCAGTTGGTTTTTCTACTGACCAAAAATAAGATATTTTTGGGGGACCTAAATCGTTAAAAG